TTTACAGAATTTCTAATATAGAGAACTCACAGTTGTCCAATTCCCTGAAATCCGTAAAACATCTTGACGGAATGCGGATAAACATAGGCCTTTCTCACCGGAAAGCATGGTACTCGCTCCATACCCCAAGGGAGCTAAAAACAATACTCACCACTAATGAGAAGAAACAATAAAGCGCTATTAAAATATCTTATTACCATATCTGATTGACTACCGTTACAGGTGAGGTGAGGTGAAATTGGGTTTAACGTCGCGTCCAAGATTATTGCACTTATATAGCGACGTGCATGCACGTGTATGTGTGTGTGTGGCTGCTTGTACTAGTCCGGACTGATGCCGATTTATAGTGCTAGCACACTGAGATACCATGCCGCAGTTTAACATGAATACCCCACTCGGACACAGTATACTGACTCCGAGCCGACCAGTCCTTGTTTTAGCCCCTTAATGCCGAGCGCCAGACAGGGTAACAACAAGTACAATCTTTTAACGTCTTTTTGTATGACGCGGCCCGGGATCGAACCCTGGACCTTCCGCTCTCCGGGCGGACGCTCTACCACAAGACCACGGACTACCGTTACAGCTAGACTGGAGACCATACATCGGTATGTGGTCTGTGGCTAGACAAAAAACAAATACATGGTTGGTTGGTTGGTTTGTGGATTAACGCCGCACTCAGCGCAATATTCCAGTTATATGAATATAACGGCGGTCTGTATTAATAATCGAATCTGGACCAGACAATCCAGTGATTAATATCATGAGCATCGATCCACGCAATCGGGATCGATCACATGCATCGACCAAGTCAGCGAGCCTGACCACCAGATCCCGTTAGTCGCCTCTTACGACAACAAATACATGGAACAATTGCAAAACATGCCTCTACAATACCGCGGCCAATCTCTGTATATCGATAGGAGTATATCACTTTATTAACACTGTTTGGACAAAAATGTAAAACTTTTTTCTTTTTTTCTTTTTTTTTGTTCTTTTTTTTGACATTTTTTATTGTAAAACTTGATCCGATTTCAAAGACTAGCTATATTACATGGAAATACATAGTATATAGTAAGCAGTGCTTAGATATGTACTGTTGGCCCTTTCGATCTTTATTAGTTCGTTTCCAAAACGTTTGACGTAAACTACAATGAAGGTGATCGAAAAAATCAAATAAATTCAGCTTCCAGATTAGTATTGCTACAAATGAGTGAAAAACAAACAAGTTTTAACATGGCAAGATACCGAAAGATAATTGATTTGGCTTTTGGGGCTGTTTTTGTTTGGTTGTTGTTGTAAGAATAAACATTTGTGTACGTATTATTCACTATTTATTTATTTATTTCGGTTATAAAATCTCCAAAATCTGACAAAATATTTTTCTCAATATTCATTTTATTTTTCTGGTTACAGTTTTGTCTTGGTCCCATAACCACACAAAAAATAATAAATACTGTGCATATATTATAGATATAGTCTGTATGTCGTTTATGATAATGCCAGCATATTAATAGCTGCATCATATGAAGACAATAATAATGAAGACACATTGCTATGGAAACTCGTTATTTCTCAACAGTCGTCAGTTCACATGCAGGTGAGAAGAATAACAATAAAACCTACACTCTTTATTCGGGGTCGACGACCTGGCAAATGTCTTTGTCCGTCGCACCACGTGTGCGGGGATCGAGAAACGGGATGGCTCCGTGTTCCAATGACTCAGTGAAGACCAGCTCCCACCTATTGATGGGCTCTGTCGATCTCACCACCAGCTGCAGCAGCCAAACAGGTACATCATCCCCACTCAATCGATGCCCGCTTCCGGATCGATGCGGTACAAGTCAGTGATGTTACTGGGTAAACATTCTGCACAATTTCAGCTTTCACTAAAGAAGTATGTGTCAGACTGTCTTTATAAACAATAACAAATATATAAAATATTCATGTTTTAAAATGTTTAACATATCGGACAGGTCAGTATAGTTTTTAAAAAAAATGTTGAAAAAGGAACCTGCAATTCACGATGGGTTACATAAATATACAACTGTGTAGTGGACGCTTCATTGAAATAAATCACGGGACTTAATTGGCATCATGCATATATATAAGTTTATTAAAATTTTCAGCGTCGGGAAGAATTTATGGTTTGACGCTGATGCGAAACAACATGCATTTATGTTGCCTAATCCAAGTAATTGTTAAGTGCTTCTCATGAGGTGTCCCTACCCTCGGAAGTCTCTTGTGAATACCTATATACCTGTCTGTCTTGAAGGCACACATGGGTATGTGACTTTGCTAAAAATCATTCTGAGTTGGTACAACGTGTTCAACGCTTCAAACAAGCCCATTCTGTGAAATACGGACAATGAAATCGTGGCCCCAATCCAACCCAGGCGAGCATGGTGTGTGTCTGTGAAGATTTTAAGACGCTTCTCACAGTATGTGACGTAGACATTGCCTGTGGATCGTCCACTCGATTTTCGGGATGGGGGAGGTACTCGGTTGCTCTGTAAACGGCACACTACCAATATACATAATAGGGAAACTGACACCACCCCGAACCTCACCCCTCAGGCTTAGTCCGCGCATTACCGTCAAGAATAAGAAAGTGAATGTTGTACAACGCCGCCCTCAACTCGATTCCGAAAATAGCACGGCGGTCTGTAAATAAGAAGCGGGTATGGGCCAGACAATCCAATGACTATTCCAACCATACATACGTTGGCGATAGCATGAATAACACTGTCATACACCGTGACCCTCCGATCGTCACATTAGACAACAATTAGGTCAGGTGTGGTGAATTGAAATGAGGTTTGACGTTGCCTTCAGGCATGCACGTGTGTGCGTGTGCGTTTGCGTGTGCGTGTGTATATGTGTAGGCCACTGAGATACCATGCCGAAGTTTAACACGGATACCCCACTCAGACACACAATCCAGTCTATTAACGTGTTTTGGTATGAGGGGCGGTCGGGTAGCCTAGTGGTTAAAGCATTCGCTTGTCACCGAAGACCCTGGTTCGATTCCCAACATGGAAACAATGTGTGAAGCCCATTTCTGGTTTACCGCCGTGATATTGCTGGAATATCGCTAATAGCGGCGTAAAACCATACTCACTTACTCTTTTGGTTTGACGAGGTCGGGGATCGAAACACCGACATTCCGCTCTATCCACTAGGCCACGGAGGCGGTCGACAATCATTGGGATAGGATTACTTCCCCTGACCGTGAATCACCAGTCTCCTAAACCCTTATCTGTTACTCTTCAGGTCTATGACAGAGCAAAATAAGTTTACGGAAAGCATTACTAGGTGGCTTCAGTTGTAACGGGAGTATGGGTACGATGTGTGAAGCCCATTTCTGGTGTTCCCCGCCGTGATATTGCTGGAATATTGCTAAAAGCGGCGTAAAACCATACTCACTCACTCACTGTAACGGGAGTACAAAAAAACACTGTCAAAACAGTAGCATTTATTTCGGTCATATTTCAACATAACTATTGTTTTCCGTGTAACATCACCTTTAGTGAGTCATGTAACACAGAGCCTTCTTCCTCGCCATTAAACAGGGCTCCAGACCTAAAGAACGTCACCAACGCCTCGAAAGCATTACACTGTATACAGTGCCATAGTGTCTGATAGTATCCACACAACATTCACCCTCGTCAGGAGATTTGGCAGCAGCATAGAACAAGCCCGGTGATTACGAAAACACAAGACAAAAATACGGTTTTGGTTTGTTTGTTGTTTAACGGTTGTTGTTTGTTTGTTTGTTTTTAACGCCACATTTAGCAATATTCCAGCTATATGACGGCGTTTGTAAATAATCGAGTCTGGGCCAGACAATCCAATGATTGGCACCATGAGCATCGATCCACGCAATTGGGATACGATGACGTGCATCAACCCAAGTCAGCAAGTCTGACCATCCAATCCCTTTTGTCGCCTCTAAAGACAAGCATAGTCTGTACTATATATACACTGCCAGTCTCTAATGACTACTTGTATGTCTTAGAACTGACAGAGTGAGCTAGCTTTAACGCAGCTTTCAACAGTACTAACGTTATGTTACGGGGTGACACCTAATATGATAGGCAGGTCCTAGACGTTCCTTAAATAGTGAACCAATAAAGGGAAGCAACTCTTCACAGTGAATTGCAATGCCTAAGATCACTGACGTGATTGGTTTTCCTCTTTATTTCACGAGGCACACGGCAATATTCCAGCTGCTTCAGGAGACGTGGGGCCAAGGGCGTGGAGACATCCCGCAGGTGACATCCTTACCTTGTCAGCTTGCTGACGGTGTTAACCTCTTTAGTCATGTGGCCAAGACGTCCAGCCCCAGATCAGAAGGTCCGTGGTTCGAATCCCATCACGGTACTTGGACATTTTATGAAATTACATGACCCATAATAGAAGACCCTGCAGTAAACAACAGTGACATCGTAGAACCACTTGAAACTTCTACATAAGCCATACTGCGTAAAACAAGTATGGGAACACACACTATTTAGTATATATTTCAGTAAAAGTAAAGCTGAGTGAATGCAGTGGTATTGTGTCTTATACATTTGGAACACTGCAGAGGTAATGTAAGCAGACATGCAGTTGGAACCCTGTAGGAACCCATATTGGTGGCGTTTTGGTGACAGTCAAAATGACAGAAAACATGTGGAAATGTTCCCGAATCCCGAACATGTCCATTGTCACACGATGGTGGCTGCAACCCCAAAATAAACATCCACGTGCGCTACACATCTTCCCGAGACAAGGGAGTTAACTGACTGTAAAAGTCCAGTTTCCACCCTTGCCGAACTAGGCGTATACTATGGAGTTACATTTTGGCTGGACTAACGAGTCTATGCATAGTCCAATCAAAACCGCGCAACGAAATCGAAATCCGGTTCGTAAACTGTCGTGCAGATTTTGGTCGATTGCAGGATTTGCAAAGCATTTGCACCACTCACTCGTTGTCAACAGATCTTTTCAAAATCTATTCATGTTATTAATCAAGTTGCTCGCGTGATTTGATGCACTTCGCGATGTAAAGACATGTTTTATCACAATATAGATCTGGATTTTCGATCAGATTGTCTTGCCTGGGCGCCGCCATTTTGTTTGAAACAGATGCAAGTGAAACGAAAGATGCAATCTGATTGGTCAATAGGAGAGGCATAGAAGGGACATAACTCGTAATAACCACTGGTGGCGCTACGACCGAGCCTAGGAATTCCAGCCTAGTTCGGCAAGGGTGGAAACTGGATTATTACAGACAGTTAACTCCCTTGCCTCGGGAAGATGATTCTTTCCGTTCAACATACGGCTATTATTTAATTTGTTTACTGGTGTCTGGTCCATTAAATACCACAATATCTGAAATTACCCAATGTGTTCTTGTTATCATTGTAGTCACTGAGATATGATGGAAATAGTGGGTGTTCCCATACTTGTTTGACGTGGTATGGATCTATATCGCAGATCTTGCTGTCGCCTGTACGTGTTACACGAGGCAGGACAGGAGCCCAGTATATGGTGTTGAGTCTCCTGTGATATCCTGAAGTAGGTACACCACACGCATGTCTGCTCTTCGTCATCAGACGTCCCTTGTGCACGAAGTCATTATTTAAAACACTGCAAAAAAGCATCAAACGAAAGTATCGCCATCTTTTGTGTACGTTTTGCCGTAGAGGAGGGAACTAAGATAGTCGACCAAACCACTCAACTGGTAGTACTCCGCTTCTGTAAGAAGCTCCCGCCACAGGTTTTCGTTCTGCGGAAGGATACCTTCCTTGATACAACCGTCTCTAAGGTAATTCAGGATATACCGGAAGTGGGTACCGTCTCGGTCTATGAAGAAACTCCCGTCCAACTCTCGCTTCAGCTCGTGTCTCCCACTAAACATGGCCGCCAACATGGAGTCGGGGTCCTTCGTGAGCGTCAACAACGACGTCGTGAACAGATGGCCGCCGATGTCCAGCTTGATTCGACTGTCCTGGATCTTGTACATCTCTGACATCCTCTGAAAGAACATTGACTGACCGATAACTAAACGCCATATCGTTACATGTAATCCTAAGTGATTACAGATTTCCAACGCGAGTCAGCTATGGTAGAGATAATTACAGACTGAGCCCTGTGGCCAGAGACCAGGCCAGAACACCGAGGGAGGTCGTATAGAGTGAGGGAATGAGGGAGTGTGGGAGTTGGGTTTAACGCCGTTTTGAACAGTATTCCACTTATATCAAGGCGTGTCAGCTGAATGTGCAGGAAAGCCCGAAGTGATGCAGGTCTCAGATGTTTACAACTTTAGTGTAACCCACGAGCCACATGTTTTCTGACAAACATGAAACATAATCGGGGGAAACAGGGATTCGAGAGAGTGAGTTTGGTTTAACGCCGCTTTTAACAGTATTCCAGTTGTATCACGGCTGTCAGCTTAATGTGGGAGGAAAGCCCGAAGTGATGCAGGTCTCAGACGTTTACCACTTCGGTGAAACCCACGAGCACGGGTATGGTGCTGACAAACCTAGAAACATGATTGGGGCGAACCGGGATTCGAACCCACAATCATAGGTCTCTGGCGTGCCATAGGGACGCAACACTGCACAGCGAATTCCAGCAGTGGCAGAGATATTTGAGCGGCGTTTGGGGTACAAGGCCAGGCCTTGGGGGAGGTCGAATAGAGAATACACTATCGGGGTGTCGTAAATATATATATACGACATTCACGTCTTTTCATGATGATATTGACAAAATGGAAATGAATGCCCAAAAGAAGTGACAATTTTGATGGAAAAAAACTCAATTAGTATTCTACCATTGCTTGTTCCAGGACAATCTTATTCTGACATCTCGCCACAGCCGGTGAATATGCTCATTGGAATATTACTGTACTAATAGAGTACATGAAATACTAGCCTATCGGTTTCCTAATCTGCATATAAATAACATCTATATGAGATTAATGCACATATTACGTACATAAAATCTGTTTTTATAGGGCTTTTCTCGGATGTGAATGTCACGTTCGCGAGTACAGCTGTCCGGTAATGGTAGAGATAGGGGTGGGGTGGGGGGTGGGGTGGGGTAGGTTAATCCAGTAAGGATGAGGATGCTACATCTACACACATGTACATGTTGTGTTCTACAGGGACACGCTGTGGTCAGGGTGCGGTGGCCTTTGGGTCACGGTGTTCGCTCGTCTCCAGGGTTCGATTCCCAGCCCATTCTGCCCCCCCCCCCCCCCCCCCCGCGATTTAGCTGTAACGGGAGTCAGGTAATTCATACCTGGATAAATTTCCAACTATCCCCCTTGCTACCCTATATCAATTATCATAGCGATACGTCAATTTGGATCATATGCATCATCGATTATTCAGTGTATAATATCTCTATGCGTTATAGAATTGGGATATTATGCACTGTTTAATCGAGAATGACTTATGCCTTGTTTGTTTGTTGTATAACGCAGCACTCAGCAATGTTCCAGCTATATGACGGCGGTCTGTTAATACTGGAGTCTTAATCCAGTGATTGGCATCATGAGCATCGATCCACGCAATTGGGATACGATGACATGCATCAACAAGTCAGCAAGCCTGACCACCCAATCCCGTTAGTCGCCTCTGAAAACAAGCATGGTAGCCGCTTACGGCAAGCATGGGTTGCTGAAGATCTATTCTCTTCGCGGATCTTAAAGAGCCTAATGATGTATGCAGTCGGAAAGAGTAATGAGAAACGACTTTATACAAGTGTTTTCATTAAATAAAAAATAACACAAACCTTGATTTCTGATTCGAACCTGGTTCTGTCAGCTGCCATCTGTTCTCTCTCTCGGTCCATTTCATCTTGTTTCTTCCTAACACCCACTTCCGCTTCTTCCATTCTGTCCCGGAAGTCCCGTTCAAGGTCAAGCCTGCGCCGTTCGTACTCTCTAATCTTCTCTTCACACGTGACGAGCTCGGCATGGAGACGCCTCTCACGGTCCTCTAGACGGATAGACATCATGTCAGTGTTCCTCTCGCGCGTACTCATGTCACGTTCACGATGTCGCAGTCGACTCTCACGTTCATCCACGTAGTCCTTGGCGCGCTGGACGAAAACGTTGTAGCTTGAGTGTAACTTCTCCAGAAAGGACTTCCCAATGTGGTCGATCTGGTCGTGGATGTCGATCTCCCACGTGCTCGTCACGTCTTCGAAGATGTCGTGATCGACGAGGGGGCCGATGGGACTGTCCTGGCAGGACTCCGTGTTCTCGGGGTTTGTTTTCCATATCCCGTCTGGGTCCGACACCTCCAGAGCTACAATCGGTCGAGTGAAATCTGAGTCAATGTCAAGACTTCGACCTATTGTCTTGTCTCTGTAGAAGACTGTCCGCCAGTCACTGTCTACATCCGCCTTAGCCCACATTCGGGTCGTCTTCTCCTGGGGGATGTGATATAACTCCCGTATCTTCCACTCCACGTGACCGACCTTCTCCATCTTGCTGAACCTCACGTTATGGAAATCTTCAGGAGGAGAATTCGACAGCATCACTTTGAAGGAATTCTGATTGTGTTCTATTTCAGCTGCCCTTGAGTAGTGATACACGACTAACTTCATCGGCTTGTGGCCCTCCGATAGCCCGTACCACTGAATCAGCATCCTCCACACGTCTTCGTGTACTACGTCGGCAGTATGTGCGTAGTCCCGTCGCGTGACGATCGGCCCGGGGGGTGAGGTAACGCGCTTGGGGTAGTATTTCCTCGTGCTGGAGAGCCCCACGTATCGTTTGAGATGCTCCAGCCACTCCGCTACCACCACATACCAGAAATCCCCCTCCACAAGTTTCCGTTCAAACATTTGTTCTAACACCGACTTCTGCGCCGCCGGCTCGGGGGGAGAGGGTCCTGGCGCGGGGGTGGGAGGAGATGGTGGGGACGCTGCTGCCATGCCACTCGACCGTCGTTCGACGAGCACCTGACGGTGGTGGAATGATGACGTCACGACAGTGCCGCTTGCAGGCATTGCCTGCGCTGAAACAGACAGAATCACGTGAGATGTACATCTTCTCCCCGCCCTCCAACAATCTACTGCGTTCTTGCATTCCGTACCTATGACGCTGTTGCCAGAGGTGCCAGACACGTTGCTAGGCAAGTGTTGCTAGGCACGGTTCCTTTTCAGAGCCTAAAATAAACTTTGGATCCGAGCCACGTGCATTTGTTTACAAACGTTCTTGAACGAAACTCCGCACTTAGATTAGACTATTTTAAACCGTCAAATATCAGGTTCTAAATATGTCCCTTCAACTACTAAAAGACTGGCAATCTGGCTGCCGCGTTAACAACACAAAACAGTAACAAGCTATGGCTGCAAATAGCATCTGTAGTTTGAGAATAAGAAGAGTTGTTATGAAATAGATATATGTTGAAATGTAACAGTTTGTGAAGCTCTAAACTTCAGGGGCAACTACGCGATAACGTGAACGTAGCTAAAGAGGACACGTTGCTTCTGGTTGTGACACAGTGTCACTTTGGATTGTGTCACGATGATGATTGTCACGGAGTTTAACATAGGTAAATTGGTAATACATATTCAAGATAATCATCCCCAACAATCTGAATCAATTAACGGTTAACTCCACATGTACCGTTTACAGGTGCGGCGAAACCTTCCGACAGCGCGCGTGCGAAATGTACCCGGTCACGTGACAATGTGACTGTCGTCATCGCCTGTGATGTCATGCCTATGTCTCCCACAGTGGCGGTTGTGTCTATATCTACCATGTAGATCAGTTCAGAGTTCAGAGTTGAAAAGTCATTTGACGGCGTCTACGTGCATTATCACAAGAATCGTCAAAGAGCATAAAACTGTGACATTCTAAATATCATTAGTTAAAGCTGTAGTTAGTTGAAGTTAAATCTGAGTGCAAAAAGTTACCAGTAAGAAACAATATTTAGTTAAAGCTGGTTTGTAAACATAAACTGTCCTCTCACCTTCTGTTTACAAACACTGACAGATGACAGTGGCCATTATGAGTTCTCGAGAAGACAATGGCGACCAGCTGTCCGACACAACTGTGTGAACGAGTGCTTACCTGGTGGGATGACGATTGGCATTCACCTGTAGACTGTTTGAGATTTTCTTTAAGACATCGCGTTAAGATTTGTTTTATACAGGAAAAAATCCACGTGATTCAGGTGAAAGTGAGGCTTCCTTTTTGTTTGGCAACAACCTGCTCGTGACGTCACTGCCTGAAAATAACGGCTCCAATGTGAATATGCAAGCGTTTCGAAAGGTTCCGTGTCCAAACGCCGAGTGAGGTTAAGCAAGTTCGGCGACCAGAAATACATACCTGTGCTGTACTGCCAGTGATTGGCCCTGTGAAATAGGCCAGGTGCGGCTGTGAGTGGGGGGTGGGGGTGGGGGGTGGGGGATGGGTGATTAGGGGGTGATGAGGGGAGGGAAATTAGACTAGAGTCAAGGTTGTTACGGTAAAGTCGATTTTGAAACCAGACCCAGTGCGGACCAAGACGTACATAGCGCAACCTGCAGCTCTCGCGGCGGGACTAAACTTATCTTTGAGATTGGCAATAGCTGGGTGTTTGAAATCCATCACATCTCGTTTGTAACAAACGGAACAACGCTTGAAGTGTTCTGGGTTTGTTACAGTTGCCACAACCCGGCCAACATTTTTCTATCACACTCCATGGGCATACACCTGAAGAGAGTTGGGTAGCTAAAATGTTTCACCTGGCGTCGTGGAATGTTCAGTCACTGGTTTGTCTGGCCACGATAACCAAATACATGCCGCGGCGCTAGACGACATATTGAATATTCACTGGCGGGAACCACATTCCCCCATTTTATTCTTCTATAGCGCTCTCATTTCATTGTTCGAACTTTCTTTAAAATAAAATAGTAAGCACTTCCAGTGATGTTTGGTAACTGTGAACTCTTAGAATATCTAATTATTGGAGATAGAGGATATCAAAGTTTCAACTCGATCCACCACTTTACTATTGTCTTTAATTTCAAACTTCACAAATTCCATACAACATATTTCCATAAATTCAGTGAATATCCACACAATGATTGAATAGTATATGACACACTCCAAGAATAAATTGCTGCACAGTTGTAGGACCCGTGAAGATCCGGGGTTGAACAGGTCTTCAGCAACCCATTCTTGCCATAAGAGGCGACTGTGCGTGTCATAAGAGGCGGCTAACGAGATCGGGTGGTCAGGCACGCGACGTGGTTGATGCATGTCATCGTATCCCAATGCGTGGATCGATGCTCATGATGTCAATCACTGGATTGTCTGGTCCAGATTCGATTACTAGTATTTACAGATCGCCGTCATACAGCTGGAATATTGCTGAGTGCGGCGTTAAACAACAAACAAACAAACAAAACAGTTGTAAGATAAGTGCAGGATAGATGTAGGCCAGTAACTAAGTAACTTGGACAGCTGCTCGGACAGGTTGAAAAAACGTATGTCCTCTATTCCTTTAACACAATCTTTTTACACTCTCTTAGAAACATGTCTTACTTCTTTCAACTCTCTGCTGTCTTTCTCACACTCATTCGTCTAACTCTATATATTAAATTCTTGGGGGATGCTTATCGCGGTTGATCAGGATCCCACAAAGCGATCGTAGCCCTACGACTATCGTAAGTCTATGTTAAAGTATGGGAGATACGATCGTCTTAACGCTACGATCGCTTTGTGGAACCGGGCCCAGGTCACGACCTCTAAGACTCCACACAAGACAATTAACTTTTAAGTCATAGCTGCAACATTATATTATTGCTGTCACCAACCCCTGGGAAAATAGCCTGAGACGTCCACTGGCAGCAAGGGCTGGCTGATTCTTATGTTTTATCTTATAGTGAGTGAGTATGGTTTTACGCCGCTTTTAGCAATATTCCAGCAATATCACGGCGGGGGACACCAGAAATGGGCTTCACACACTGTACCCATGTCGGGAATCGAACCCGGGTCTTCGGCGTGAGGAGCGAACGCTTTAACCACGAGGCTACCCGACCGCCCCGTTTTATCTTATAACTTTACTAAACACATGCAAACACGTTCAAAGACAAACCCTAACAAAATTACAATAAAAATGTTTTTCCACATACAACAAATACATAAAATTCGGCTCTAACAGTTACAAAAATAACTGCGTTTTCTTGGCGTTTGTCAGAAACTGGTGCAGAAAGCTTTATGTTGTTTGTTGTTTAACGCAGCCATTGATCACTATTTGGACCAGATAGACTTGCACATATCTGTAAGGCAATAATTATTAGATTTCTAGATTATGTAAATAATAAGAACAAGTTGTCCCCATAAGAGAGTACTGTCCACATATCTAGACTTGCCTATTAGGAGTATAAAATTACTACACATCCATGGACTTATCGTTCAGTACAGCCTTGGAGCAAGGCTATCTCACGCCCTACACACATACGTCGCTTATATGTGCAATAAATATACTTTTAATACGGGCTATGTCAATGACTTTGTTTGTTTGCTTTCTTGTATTCTGGTGGCTATGGAGCATGAAGTCTGTCCATTATTATTGTCAACCTTTTTGTGCCATAATCTTGAACGCGACGTCAAACTCCGTTTCACCTCAACTCATCTTTTCCATTAAAAGCGGCGTTAAACCCAACTCACTCATCTTTTCCAACTAATAACCCAAAGCAGGTTACGATAGCTCCCTCTCAATGCGTCACAGCCCAGGTAGCTATATACCGGGTTAGTATTGCATCAAACCTTTTGAAGATTAATGTCGACGCTGGAAGTGGAATATAATGACATCGCGAAAATGTCAAAGAATTGAACCGAGATGAGCGTCTCACAATCGTATCGCTTCACTGGTTGAAACGCGTCATCATTCGAATTCGCTTTGGTCTTCTATTTCAAAGCAATTTTTAAATTACAATATGAAAATGAATTTTGCGATTTCATGAAGGTGTCATCTTACCGAGGCAAGGGAGTTAATTGACTATAAAAGTTCAGTTTCCACCCTTGCCGAAATAGGCAGGAATTTCGGAGTTATATTTTGGCTGGATTAACGTGTCAATGCATTGTCCAATCAAAATCCCGTAACGAAATTGTCATCCGGTTTGTAAACTGCTGTGCAACTCGGCGTTGACAGATATTTTCCGAATCGTTTCATGTTTTTAATCAAGGTGCTCAAGTAATTTGATGCACTTCGCGAGGTAAGACCCGTTTTATTACACCATAGATCTTGATTATCGATCAGATCGTCTTGATTGGGCACCGCCATTTTGTTTGAATCAAATGCAGGTAATATGGAATCTGATTAGTCAAGATGAGAAGTCGATGATCAGCCTTTATCGCGAGATAATCACGGGATTGTCTGGTCTAGATTATTTACAGACGACCGTCTGCTGAAATATTGCTGATTGCGGCGCTAAACAAAAAACAAACAAACAAAACTTTATCTCATGAATGTCATTTATATTATATAGACTGGTATAGATTGACATTTAGTCCCAGAAATAAACTTATTTACAAAATAGAAATAATAAAATCCAAATGTAGCCTTAATTTCACTGACTAACCATATCTGCAAAGCTTTAATTTGTTGGAATTTCCGTAATCTTGTCAATGTCAACCTTCATTCCTGTTTTCATGCCACTGCTACTCAGACGGCATATTTCTGACCGCTCCCTGCCACCCCCTCCTCCCTTGGTGTCCCTCCTCTCCCCAGTGTGGCAACAGCACTGTTGCTTTCCTTGTGTTTTCCAGCTCTGTGTTTAACGATTGTCTCATTTCAAATGTTAGTCACTTTCCACTTCCAGTTTGTGAACAAAATAACACATCTTTCCCTTTCAAGTACATAGAGGTTATCACGCGAGTGTGTTTGGGGATGGTAAATATCCTGCATTAGGAATAAACATTGTATTTAGCGAGCCTTGGCGAGCTAAATACATAGTGTTTATTCCTAATACAGGATATATACCATCCCAAAACACACAAGCGTGATAACCTCTTTATCATATAATGTCATTCTTTAATTCTGTGCTTCAAAATCGCTTTCCCTCTCTCACAAACATTACCGAAACATTGCGAGTTTTCCTGGAATGCGCGCATTAATATTTATTACGTCACAGGGTAAGTGGTGTGTCAGTCGGACAGTGACAGTAGCCAATATAGTTCCAACTGAAATCTGTTTCTTATACAGCGGCGAAGCAACATATACGCAAAACAACAATTGTTTTTAATTGCCTTTTGCGGCAATCCATCGGTCTGTCCGCTAGAGTAACTGCCCTTTGTCAAAGGGAAGCTACTCTAATCCTAGTCTATGAGACGTCACGGCCACGGTCAGACGTTGTTGACAGTCGGTCTGTCCTGTCATAACGATAAGAAATGTACTCAGATGTACACACAGCGACAAAACGAAACAAGGTAACAATTCAAACATATTTCCGTCAAATCCAACTATTTTAATTTGTGGAGAAGGTTTCAAGCCGCAGAGGTCTACAAGCACAGATATGGCTACTGATCCCGCTTCTCCAAAGTTGCCAAAACTTATAAAATGCCTTAGCTGCGTCACAGTTAGACACAGATTTTCAGTATATTAGACTGTTCTTTTGATAATGATAGCAATTATCCCTGTAGTTTATCCAGATTCCCGATGGTTAATTCTGACTCGATCGCCGAATGACGAGTGCGACGCCATGTTTGTTTATAAACAGTGAAAGTAGTCCCTACTTGACCTTTGATATTTGCATCTCTATCCGCATATGACCCCAACGGATATCGTTTTTATCCGTTGGCTTTATCCTGCCGAGAAACCTACCCATTATATGATAAAACACAATATTTCTTTTCTGATTCGGACAGATCTGCTGAATATTAAACTTAAAAAGTGCAGTCAGAATTCCCTTTTATGCCTCATTGGATTCCATTGCAAATATATTTGTGAATTATGTTTAGAACAGGGACGCATTCTCTTTATAAAGCTTAAACCTAGACTTGCACAAGTCTTTGGGGCAATAATTATTAGTTTAAATCATAAGTTCTAGATTATGCAAATAATAACAAGTTGTCACTTTACCGAGGTTCGGTATATGGCCTCTGCTATAAGAGACTGGATTCCTTGTACTGTCCACTTATCTAGACTTGCCTATTAGTCAGATAGATAGATAGAATTACTTCACATCCACGGACTTTTCTTTCAGAATATCCGTGGAGCAAGGTTAGCCTAAACCCAATATGTTGTGTAGTTAATTGGGAGCTCCCACAACTGGCATTCATTAAGTTTAGACAAAGGAGAGAGGGTTTCATAGGTGTCAGTGGGGGTCACCCACATCAGCTGTAAACACCGGTGTGCAGAACAAGATTAACTGATAACAACAAGCCAGAATCTCGCTTGTTAGCCATGCAGACTTTGACAGACCAAAGAGCTGAGGCAATCTAGACTTGCCAAATCATTTTAGACTTGAGTTGGACTCCTTTTTATTTTTTTTTCTCTTGGGTCTGGCAGACAGACTAGTCCCGGTACCACCCTCCAATACTACCACCTCCTCCCCCATTTTCATCAGCACACAACCCCTCCCTCCCCAGTCTCATCAGCACTCAGCCAGCATCCTCCGCTGAAAATAGGAGAGAGGGCTGGCACCCATCAATCTATAAATAGCACCGTTGGCACCACTTCCGTCGGGCTAGAGAAGAATAACTTGCACCAAGAAAGTTTTCAATCTGCGATTAAAGTAGGATTAACATCAGAGTTTGCAGAAGTCTTGTGCGATGAGTACGTGGTAGACTTCATGTGTTCCTGTGATCCGACATTCACCCAACAAACAGCAGCGGAGCGCCGGAAGTCGTGGAAATCAGGTAACAATTAACAGAGGTGTGAATATTGAACACGTACTACATATTTACACATTGTAACCTTGCTGTGCGATATATAACGTAATGATCATCGATGGAGCAATATTACGTGTATTGCCTGATACTCTGGTTAAGGATATGGTGGGATATACTTGTACTTTGATGTTCGCTTGAGACTTTGTTGCCAGTTGTAAACAAGAGACAATTCACGAATGATATGCATTAGGGACTTTTTTAATGACCCCCACAAATACATGTACCATGTTTTTTCATGACGCCTTATTCCCACAATAAATGACCACTCATTAAATAGTGTTCAAATTTATTTTTAAAAATCATTTGAAATGATAGAACTGTCGTTTATTTTGCACCCACCCCCAGGCCTCAATATTGTTGTGAAACATTTTGCTCCCCCTCCCCCCACCCCCTCCTTATTGCTGTGTCAATTTTACATGACCCCCCTCCCCACATGATCTCACCCACCCCTACAGTAAATAACAGCCCCTAATCATCTGTATATTTACTCAAGCGTGTCTTCTTGTGTGACAAGGGGTAGTGGGATAGCCTAGTGGTTAAAGTGTTTGCTTGGTGCGCTGAAGACGCAGGTTCAGTTTCCAAATGGGTGCAGTGATGTGGGAAGTCTATTTCTTGTGTCCCCTGACGTGTAATTCTGGATTATTGCTAAAAGCGGCCTAAAACCATACTCACTCACTCATTCACAGATGATAATATCATATTGAGAAATCATGTGCTAGGCTTATAGCTACTGTTGGGTGCTTTTTGTGATATATGACACTTCATCATTTCAGGAATGGCTAAATTCTTTTATTATTTTTTTATGTAAATATGAAAATATAGTTTTATAAATCCACATCCTTGGAAAGTATTTGAAGCATTTAGAAAATTTAGGGAATCATATGGTTTTGTCATCAATTATTATGTCAGTTGAACCTTGTTTGGTATAATGAGGTATATGACATACTTTTTGTGATTTCATGCACATATGTATTAAAATGGGCGGGGGTGTCAAGTCTTCTTGCATTCTGGTGGCTATGGAGCGTGAAGTCTGTCCAATATGATTGTGTTCACAGGTACAGGGCTATGGCGTGTGAAATCTGTCCCAATATGATTGTCTTCACAGGTACAGGGCTATGGAGTGTGAAGTCTGTCCAATGTTATTGTCTTCACAGGTACAGGGCTATGGAGCATGAAGTCTGTCCAATATGATTGTCTTCACAGGTACAGGGCTATGAAGTGTGAAGTCTGTCCAATGTTATTGTCTTCACAGGTACAGGGCTATGGAGCGTGAAGTCTGTCGAATATGATTGTCTTCACAGATACAGGGCTATGGAGCGTGAAGTGTGTCCAATGTTATTGTCTTCACAGGTACAGGGCTATGGAGTGTGAAGTCTGTCCAATGTTACTGCCTTCACAGGTACAGGGCTGTGGAGTGTGAAGTCTGTCCAATGTTATTGTCTTCACAGGTACAGGGCTATGGAGCATGAAGTCTGTCCAATATGATTGTCTTCACAGGTACGGGGCTATGGAGCGTGAAGTCTGTCCAATATGATTGTCTTCACAGGTACGGGGCTATGGAGCATGAAGTCTGTCCAATATGATTGTCTTCACAGGTACGGGGCTATGGAGCGTGAAGTCTGTCCAATATGATTGTCTTCACAGGTACGGGGCTATGAAGTGTGAAGCCTGTCCAGTATGATTGCCTTCACGGGTACAGGGCTATGGAGCGTGAAGTCTGTCCAATATGATTGCCTACACGGGTACAGGGCTATGGAGCGTGAAGTCTGTCGAATATGATTGTCTTCACAGGTACGGGGCTATGGAGCGTGAAGTCTGTCCAATATGATTGTCTTCACAGGTACGGGGCTATGGAGCGTGAAGTCTGTCCAACATGATTGTCTTCACAGGTACAGGGCTATGGAGCGTGAAGTCTGTCGAATATGATTGTCTTCACAGGTACGGGGCTATGGAGCGTGAAGTCTGTCCAATATGATTGCCTTCACAGGTACAGGGTTATGGAGCGTGAAGTCTGTCCAATATGATTGCCTTCACAGGTACAGGGTTATGGAGCGTGAAGTCTGTCCAATATGATTGCCTTCACAGGTACAGGGCTATGGAGCGTGAAGTCTGTCCAATATGATTGCCTTCACAGGTACGGGGTTATGGAGAGTGAAGTCTGTCCAATATGATTGCCTTCACAGGTACAGGGCTATGGAGCATGAAGTCTGTCCAGTGTTATTGCCTTCACAGGTACAGGGCTGTGGGTTCAGCTAGTGGTTCAAGCATCATGCCAAAGACCCTGATTCAACCCCACAGGCGTACAATAAGTAAAGCCCTTTTCTGGTGTCGATGTCCCTTGCCGTGATATTGCTTGTATATTGCTAAAAATGGCGTAAACCTGTATTCACTGACTCACAGTTGCCTCTGATCGCATACTCCTCATCCCCTAAAGTTGAGGGTGTACTGGGTAGGACCTTTCCCGGTGGCCTGTCGGATGTCCCTCAGTGTCTTGTCATAGGTGAAGGTCACATACTGTCCATCCATGCTTATGTTTTTCTCTCCGACAGTGTCACAATTGTTGGAAACTGAGTGAGTGAGTGGGTATGGTTTTACGGGGGGGGACACCAGTAATAGGCTTCACATATTGTACCCATGTGAAGAATCAAACCCAGGTCTTCGGTGAGACTAGCGAACGCTGTACTACCGACCGCCCCTGCAAACTTATGGTGTGTTATGGTGGGTGGGGGTATGTCTCAAACCTTCAACATGTTATAGATGTAAGTGTTTTACCTGACATGACGGTGTAGGGTGTTGTTTCACAGGCCACCTGTTGCAAGCCCAGGATGGATGCTACAGAGACTCTTGCTTTGAAGACCTTGTCCGAGTTCAACCCTCCCAATTTAGGAGATGAGCGCCACCTGGATCTGTTCCTGGACTTTCTGCTGACGGTGGCGCTACCAAGTGGCATCGGTCTAATCCTGGCATTCTGCATGGCAATGTGCATGTGCAGTTCCGGCTCCAGTCGGTCAGTGTCATTTCATAACCACCAGTTGATCAGTATCATCAAAAACAACCGACCAGGCAACTATCATCATATAATGACCATCAAGTCAACTATCATCATATAATGACGATGATATATTGACTGGTTATCCAGAAGGATGATATATTGACTGGTTAACCAGTAGGATGATATATTGACTGGTTATCCAGTAGGATGATATATTGACTGGTTAACCAGTAGGATGATATATTGACTGGTTAGCCAGTAGGGTGATATATTGACTGGTTAGCCAGTAGGATGACATATTGACTGGTTATCTAGTAGGATGATATATTGACTGGTTAGCCAGTAGGATGATATATTGACTGGTTATCCAGTAGGATGATATATTGACTGGTTAGCCAATAGGATGATATATTGACTGGTTAGTCAGTAGGATGATATATTGACTGGTTATCCAGTAACATGATATATTGACTTGTTAGCCAGTAACATGATATATTGACTGGTAAGCCAGTAGGATGATAATATTGACTGGTTAGCCAGTAGGATGATATATGACTGGTTAGATAGTAACATGACATATTGACTGGTTAGCCAGTAGGATGATATATTGACTGGTTATCCAGTAGGATGATATATTGACTTGTTAGCCAGTAAATAGAGGTTATCACGCGAGTGTGTTTGGGGATGGTAAATATCCTGTATTAGGAATAAACATTGTATTTAGCGAGCCTTGGCGAGCTAAATACATAGTGTTTATTCCTAACACACGATATTTACCATCCCCAAACACACAAGCGTGTTAACCTCTTTATCGTATAATGTCATTCTTTAATTTTGTGTTTGGAAATCGCTTTCCCTCCCTCACAAACATTACATTAACTTTGCGAGTTTTCCTGGAATGCGCGCATTAATATTTATTACGTCACAGGGTAAGGGATGTGTCAGTCCAACAGTGACAGTAGCTAATATAGTTCCAACTGAAATCTGTTTCTTTTACAGTGGCGAAGCAAAATATACGCATAACATCAACAAAATTTACTTGCATTTCGCGGCAATCCATCGGTCTGTCCGCTGGAGTAACTGCCCTTTGTCAAAGGGAAGCTACTCTAACCCTAGTCTATGAGACGTCATGGCCACGATCAGACATTGTTGACAGTCGGCCTGTCCTGTCAAAACGTTTGAAGTGCAATCAGATGTACACACAGCGACAAAACGAAAGAAGGTAACAATTCAAATATATTTCGGCCAAATCCAACTATTTTAATTTGTGGAAAAGGTTTCAAGCCGCAGAGGTCTACAAGCACAGATATGGCTACTGACCCCGCTTGGCTAGGGCTAGTGCCCTCGCAAAATTGTTTCGAAATTTATATGTCCAAAGTTGCCAAAACTTATAAAATGCCTTAGCGACGTCACAGTTAGACACTGATTTTCAGTATATTAGACTGTTCTTTTGCTTATGAAAGCAATTATCTCTGTAGTTTATCCAGATTCCCGATGGGTTGTTCTGACTCGATTGCCGAATGACAAGGGCGACGCCATGTTTGTTTATAAACACAAAAAGTAGTCCCTACTTGACCTTTGATATTTGCATCTCTATCCGCATATGACCCCAACGGATATCGTTTTTATCCGTTGGCTTTATCCTGCCGAGAAACCTACCCATTATATGATAACATGATATATTGACTGGATATCCAGTAGGATGATATATTGACTGGTTAGCAAGTAGGATGATATATTGACTGGTTATCCAGTAACATGATATATTGACTGGTTAGCCAGTAACATGATATATTGACTGGTTATCCAGTGGGATGATATATTGACTGGTTATCCAGTGGGATGATATATTGACTGGTTAGCCAGTAGGATGACATATTGACTGGTTATCTAGTAGGATGATATATTGACTGCTTAGCAAGTAGGATGATATTTTGATTGGTTAGCCAGCAGGATGATATATTGACTGGTTAGCAAGTAGGATGATATATTGACTGTTTAGCAAGTAGGATGATATATTGAACAGTCTGTCACTCAGGTATACTGAAAATGAAGGTTCTTAGCATGTTCAGACTTTACCACTGTCCACAGAATACACTCGAGACGGTTGCTGATCAATACTTGAACAACATGCATTTTGTACATGAAAGGTCAACATTTTCTTAGTTTGTGTTTGGTTTCTTTACAGGAAGAGGAAGTTAGAATCTGATGAGTAAGTGTCGCTTACAACATCATCTCATGTTGCTAACAACTTTGTCTTCTGTTGCTAACAACTTTGTCTCCTGTCGCTAACAACTTTGTCTCATATTGCTATTTTGTCATTAATTGTGTGTTAATAATCATGTCATCAGCTGATAAATGGCTAACACAACTAACAAAATCACTAATAATTCTTGACCCATGAAGATCCGAGGTAGAATAGGTCTTCATCAACCCATGCTTGCGGTAAAAGCCAACTATGCTTGTCGTAAGTGGCGACTAACGGGATCGGGTGGTCAGGTTTGCTGACTTGGTTGATGCATGTCATTATATCCAAATTGCATGGATCGATGTTCATGATATCAATCACTGGATTGTCTGGTCCAGACTCGATTATTTAACAACAAGAAGACAAATTAATAATTCTCCTTTTACATCCTGTGAACTTGAAGCAAGACTATGATGGGGTACACAGATCTTGCTAAATTTGACATTAGGAGCATTTGTTTGTGGTGAGACAGTATGTAAGCTGATTGTGTTATGCAGGCCACTCTTTGGGGGACCAAGGTTAGAATGGGCCCCCAGCACTGTTTCTGGTTGTAATTGGTCATATGATCATAAGCCCTTGTTGCTAACAATCTGTGGCCCCATCATGCAGTTCTCTTCAAGTTGTAGACTACTAGAGCTGAGAATAGTAGAGCTGTAGGCTAGTATCATGTTGGTGTTGCTGTCACCCAAGCCTGCTTTACATCTGCACTCCTCCAGGCTTGCCATGTACAATGTCAAGGTCAGAGTTGCATCTTCATTAGATTCATATTTGATTTCAGAAAATAAATCCCCCAAAAGTATGTATTTCTTCACTCTGTGAAAATATATCCTGCTTTTAACAAAATGGCACCCTATACATGAATCATTTAATCATTAATAGATTCAAGGTATAACACAGAAAGTTGGTTTTCTTTCATTGTGTAGGTCTATTCTCTTTTATGAGAAGAAATAGAGTGTTAACCTGCTCATATTTAGACATATGAATGAGTTTTTAGTACGCTGCCATACTTTTCAATCTTTTGTCATTTATTATAGGGTAGGTGGGTCAGAGGGAATCAGGGGAAGGTCACCAAAACATATGATAGTCTCATAAAAAATAATACCATACAGGTACACATATTTTGGGAGGGTCATGAAAAAATTGACATTTAACATTAAATGTGAAGTGCTTTTGCATTTTGTCTATTTGAGGGGCTCTTGAAATAAATGTACAAGGACATGGGGAGGGTCATGAAATAAATGTCCAAGGACATGGGGTCAAAGTTCGCAAAAGGTCGTTCTGACGTGACCCGTAATGGGATGTCCTCAGATTTTTGTTTAGCGATAGCAAGAACTAAGATCTGATTTTAATGAGATTGACAAAATCACAATAAGACAATCAAAATGTAGAATATATTACTGTAGAATAGAGAGGTTGTTATCAATAAAAAAGTGTCATGCATTCATATTTTTCCAACTTTAAACTGCCTATTAATAATTTAAGAAAACAGATATATGTCAAATCGAGAATCGAGAAAAAGACAACTCTGATCTTGCAATATGGATGTCTGTGTTTCCACAGGAGATGGTATTAATCCAAACTAACATTTCCTTTACCAGCACGGCTTGCAGCAAGCACAAGAAGAGACTGATACTTGTCACCACAAGACATAGTAGCCACAGCCAAACTTAAGAGATGGACTTGAGTTACAGTAGAAATTAACATAGGCATGGGGGCGGTCGGGTAGCCTAGTGGTTAAAGCGTTCGCTCGCCACGCCGAAGACCCGGGTTTGATTCCCGACATGGGTACAATGTGTGAAGCCCATTTCTGGTGTCCCCTGCCGTGATATTGCTGGAATATTGCTAAAAGCGGTGTAAAACCATACTCACTCACTCACTAACATAGGCATGATCAGTGTGTGAAATAGCTGTCTGCCCGCTGGCCCGGAGGCTGGACAGATTTCAGTCAGGTTGAAGGTTCTGAAATGTCCCAAGCCTGACTGGCTACTGAAATAAACTGTCCCATATCTATTTTCATAAAATTTGATACTGGTTTTTAACTTTGAAGGGTAGTTAGTCCACCTGGCCAGCAATATTTTGAGACTCTTTTACACACTTGACATGATGGAGGATCAATATTTGACTTACCATATTTGACGTAATAAGCACCCACAAAATTAGAAATAGGGGGCTCTTATTTGAATATAATTTTGGTGAGAAAACCCCCCAGAGTTTATGCTGACAGCCTGAAAATGATACAAAAGAAGAATCTGTGTGTATTATATCCGCTACACGATTATTATATATTTTCCAGAATTTAATTGCCCATAATTAAGGGTGCTTATAAAACACTAGTGCGTATTATACACGAATAAATAAGTCTTGTGTACATTGATCAATCGGAAGGGGTGTTAATTGGGATTGTTCACTAGCCAATATATTAGTAAATTTCGCCATGGGCGCTTATTTGAGCGGGGTGCTTATTGTGTCGAATTCGGTATTTGTGAACTGTCTGCCTTTTGTTTCAACTGTCTTATCAGGACTATCAACTGTAAAGTTGGGTATATTGGTGACTCCTGACTATAGACAATGACAGACCATGGTTATATAACTTGATGCTTTAAACATACTGATTACTACAATGCTGATACCTGAGATATTCCGTGTGTCCCATTGCTAGGACACATGGTTTGAATATGATGTTGCTGACCTTGACCTTGTTCTGGCAGTGAGCAGTACAGCCGGTATGAGTCCGTGCGTCGGGCTTCGCTCAGTCTCCGCCACATGTCGCAGAAGAGAGACACGCCCCTCATGAACAACGAACACTGCATGACCCTGGACCGTGACCACCGACATCGCCGCGGGTTCCGGCCACGGGATGCGTGTCAGTCAGCTCCTGGAACTCTCCAGAGGTACGTATGTTCCCAGCTTATGTCTTTAAGTGACATTCACAGTAACCTGCTTCCTCAGGGGACATCTCTACTATTGTTCACAGACCCGTGAAGGTCCGAGGTAGAATAGGTCTTCAGCAACCCATGCTTGCCGTAAAAGGCGACTTTGCTTGTTGTAAGAGGCAACTAACGAGCCGGGTGGTCAGGCTCGATGACTTGGTTGATGCATGTCATCGATCCCAATTGCATGGATCAATGCACATGATATAAATCACTGGATTGTCTGGTCCAGACTCGATTATTTACAGACCGCCATCATATAGCTGGAATATTGCTGAGTGCGGAATTAAACAACAAACCAACCAACCAACAAACTATTGTTCACAGCTTATCACTTTCCTGAGGCATCTTTCCGAGGCAAGGGCGTTAACTGACTTTAAAAGTCCAGTTTCCACCCTTTGCCGAACTAGGCTGGTATTATGGAGTTACAGTTTGGCTGGACTAACGAGTCTCTGCATAGTCCATTCAAAATTGTGCAACGAAATCAAAAACCGGTTGGTAAACTGTCATGCAGTTTTCGGTCGATGGCAGGATTTGCAAAGCATGTGCACCGCCAACTCGCTTTCAATAGATATTTACCTAATTTTTTCACGTTTTTAATCAAGGTGCTCACGTGATTTGATGCTCTTTTATCCACCGGTGGCGCTACGATCGGGCAGAGGAAGGGTGAAAACTGGACTTTTGTTGTCAGTTAACTCCCTTGCCTCGGGAAGATGTCCTCAGGTGAAACACCACCATTTTGAAACCTAGTACACATTGATACTTTTGAAAGTTTATTATAACTATAACCAACATATTTGCAACAGAAATAATACAAATTGCAAATGGTTTCATGAATTAATTGTTTTCATCTACTAATTTTATTACAAATTGCAAGCTCCTTTTTCAAAAAGATGTGTCTGTACTTCACTTATTGTTGGGATGTGTTTGTAGACAACATCGTCAGCGGGCACACTCCGACTCCCAGCCCCCTCCTCCTGCCTACAGCCCCCCACCTCAGTACCCGGGCAACGAAGATGACCCTTTCAATTAGTAAGTCAGCCTTGTGTTCCTTGTTGATGGCATACCGTATTCAACGTAATAAGCGTCCACAGCGATATTTGCTAATATTTTGACAAGTGAACAATCCCAATTAGCACCCCTTCCAATTGATCAATGTACACAAGACTTATTTATTCGTATATAATACGCACTCATGTGTTTTATGCACCCTTAATTGTGGGCAATTAAATTCTGCAAAATATATCTGTCATGTATAATACGCACAGACTTTTCTTTTGTATCATTTCAGGCTGTCAGCATTAACCACAAAATTTAAGATCTTTCAACTGTTTTTTTTTCATCAAAATTTTATTCAAATAAGAGCCCCCTATTTCTAATTTTGAGAGCACCCTGGGCACTTATTGCGTTGAATACGGTACTTGTTTGGCCTTAATTTATTTTCCCTGCCATGTTTAGGGTGTGTGAAGCAGTGGGGGTGACTATTGGTCTGGAAATCACTATTGCAATAACTATTGATATTGAAAGAAACTATTGCGATAACTACTGATATTGCAAACAACTATTGCGATAAATATCGATAGTTTTCAGTGTATCATTTTAGATGGATTTTAGAGTTGAATTAAACCTTGGAACTTAAGTTTCCTTTGAATGTGATAACCATAACAACAAATAAAAAGTAAAGTTTGAGATATGACTGATTTGTTTTTTCTTTACCCAAATAATTTAAGAAACAGAAACTTCCACATTACCATGTGTAAATTACTACTGCTCATGATCAAATAATTAAATTTTCGTTGTGTTCATGGAAATTCCTGCATTCTGATTAGCTGAATTGGTCACGTGTTATTGCATTCATTTCCCAATGAATGTAAAAAATTAAGCCACGCCCACCGCGGCGCACTACTTTTATTACTGCGGAATGTCGGGGAATCCCAATATTACAGTCGAGGGAATTCCCTTTCTGCAGACGTGTATCGTCATGCACAGGACATTTAGCGACTTTCATGCATATTCATTTTCCAAACAACCGTTTGAAACCGAAAACGAATGAAACAGCAAACGTGCAGGCTCTCTCGACTGTTTTTTCCCCGCTCGTCTCGGTTCAACTTTCATGTCTTCGGGTTTCATGTCTAACTAGCATTTCTCTAACTGAGTTTTACCGTAATCAGGGAAGTAATGTTTGAATCACGCAGTAAATGACCATGTTATTTGAAACAGCCGCCTTCTCTCGGTCGACATATTTCTTCCGGTTCGTTACAGTCTGACTGTTGCAGTTCTTTTTGCCTCTTGCCTTAATTGACAGGTCTAATGAACATTGTTTTAATCCCACTCTCCGTTGATTGGCTACTGACTGTGTAGGCGTGTTAAGTTATGTGCATAAATTAAACGATCACCTGATACATGTCACGCCACTGTATATATTCCTACACCTGGAATGTTTATCAATGTCGTCATTTTTGTCTGTTTTGATATATGCAACTGTTTTGGGTTAAACTATTGTAGATAAAACATGTTTAACGTTGTCGAATTTAATTATAAGCATTGACTGTATATTTTTTTCGGTTCATTGAGGTATGAATCGAAAAACCGATGTGCAAACTTTTGTAAGAATTCACTACGCGGATTCATACAGTTTGCACATCGGTTTTTCGATTCATACCTCAATGAACCGAAAAAAATACACAGTCAATCCTTAAAAGAAAAACACAATTTGAACAGCACTGAAGCAACTGAAATGGATACTATTGATCGGAAACTGATTTAACAATCGATTCATTGACTTTAAGTGCTTACCAATAGCAATATATCGATATTTCGATTTATCGTGACAACCCTATGAAGCAGGGACCCTATGTACGTCTGAAGTATGTTGTGCGTGAATTACCTCTAGAACTCCTGTACAGATTTGGTTCAGAGTTTGTGCCAAGATATCTTGGGATGTTTGCCAACCCCAGTTGAGTGTGATGACCTTGACCTTATTTTGAAGGACATGGTAAGCATTTGACCAGTGTGCTATTGGTTAGAGAGATATCTCCAGAACCTCTGCATGAATTTTGTTCATATTGATGGCACAAGTTCTCAGTGGTGTTTGGAGACCCCAGTTAATAATGTTGGCATTGGACTTATTTGACCTTCAAGGGCTTGGGAACCATTTGACCATTTTGCTGTGTATTAGATATCTCAAACACTATGTAGCAGGGCATGGTCAGCTTGCTGACGGGGTTAACCTCTTTGGTCATGTGGACAAGACATCCGACCTCAGATCAGGTCCGTGGTTCGAATCCCATTACGGGACTCGGAAATCTTATGGCCCATACAACTACATATAATTTATCAATAGGTTTCTTTGGGAGTCATAGACCATGGATGAATGTGGTTACCTTGACCTTATATTTCAAGGTCACTGAAAGCTTTTTTCCTTTGAGCTGTTTCTTAGGTAAATTGCTCAAGATATTCTTTCCAGATTATATTCAAGGTAACAATGTCATTGGGAGAGTCTGCACACACACTTTGTGTGGTAACGTTGACCTTATTTTCAAGGTGGCAGATAGCATTTAATGGATTTTGATTTTGTACACTAATCTGATTTTGCGTCTTTGCATTTCAGTAAACCTACACTGACCCCTGGACCAATCCCTGTGGTTCTCGCAATCTCAAATTACCCGCCCTTGATTTCCATTTGCCAATTTGATTGGTATGTTAGACCAAGTAGTGTAGCCAATCAGTATGTGACTTACAAACCAGCCTCAATGTTGGGTTGGCCAGTCCAATTGATTATGATCGAGATTCGAAATTTGACATTGAAAAACTGACTGACACAGAAATGAAAGCCCTCAGAAATCTTTTAATGGAAAAAAATGTCTTCATGTCCAATAAAACTGGCAGTGGCTTTGAATTCTAGGTACGGTAATACGAGTTACCTTTTCCCTTATCTTGACGTTTGATTGGTCGGTAAAATGCTAATGAATATCCAGGGCTGGTAATTTGAGATAGCGAGAACCAGAGAGGGTAGCTGGGGTCAGTTTACTGAAATGCTAGCTCGGGAGATACAGTGGATGTTATTTGGGGGGCATCAATACAACGATACTTCTTAGCAGGCAACCGTTTCTCCAGTGGGTGCCTGTACCACTTATACCTTTGAGATGGAGATGCAGCCAGTGTTGAGTTGTGCTCATTATCATTTTGGCCATATCCCAGGACAGCCATCATGGCTATGTACTTCTGTCTGATTTCAAGATTCTTTCTGATGTTTATCAGCTTCAACCAGAGAGTGAGTGAGTGAGTGAGTATGGTTTTACGCCGCTTTTAGCAATATTCCAGCAATATCACGGCGGGGAACACCAGAAATGGGCTTCACACATTGTACCCATGTCGGGAATCGAACCCGGGTCTTCGGCGTGACGAGCGAACGCTTTAACCACTAGGCTACCCGACCGCCCCCTTCAACCAGAGAACACAATTGTCATATATGTTGTGTCGGTTTCAGTGATGACATCCCGATGCAAGAGTTGCCTGGTCGAGGCCACATCAACACTGGCGCCTCCACCTATAATGGCTACATGACAAGATGAACATCATCATTTCCACATGTAGCAGACACCAGTGATGGAGGGTAGTCAGCAAGTGGAGGTCACAGTCCGTCTGGTTCACTGGCCATCTTGTTCAGCTGGCTTCATATACCATATTAGAATAGATCTTAAGCAACCCATGCTTGTCATAAGAGGCGACTAATGGGATCGGGTGGTCAGACTTGCTGACTTGGTTGATGCATGTCATCGTATCCCAATTGCGTGGATCGATGCTCATGATATAAATCACTGGATTGTCTGGTCCAGACTTGATTATTTACAGACCGCGTCATATAGCTGGAATATTGCTGAGTCTGGCGTTAAACAACCAACAAACAAATCATATTCCATACTGATGGACAGAAATATGTAAAGATGTCAATGGTAGACACCAGTCAGTGACTTTATCCTCTAGTCTGAAGCCCAAGTCTACTAAAATTCTGTTTGGTCTTGTAAGCTCAGTCAATTAGTGCCAATAGAATAACACCAATATCTATAGAAAATTGTGTTACATGCCATCTTCGTGTTTGTAGACTCAAATGTTACAACTTATTGCGTCTAGATGGGAAGCAGACTGTGGAACCTGACCATCCTTTAACAATAGTGAACACACACATCAACATTAGTCTGGGGCAATATTGCCTTTATCATCCACAGGAGATATCGTTTGCCATGACGTCACAATCAAATGACATCACTGATTTCTCTGCCATTGATGCTGGTTAGCTGTACTTTAAACACACAAAACACTTGATATTACTGTATACAAACTGAAAAAGTTGGAAGTATGATTTCGGATGATAAATAGTGTCTTTTGATATCCATATATCAACACAAGTCGATGAAAGTTCAAATCTCTTAAAAGTTTAAAAAAATAAAAGAATTGGTTCTCAGACTATATCTTTTGAAAATATAGTGCGGACGGGCAGTTTTTTGTTTGTTTTTGTGTTGGTTTGTTTGTTCAAACTAGTATGTAACCAAATAAACAATTGTGTAACCAGAAAGTAGTTTAGTACAATCAACCTGGGAGAGGGTTTCCCTACATAAATGTGTTCCTTGATGAGTAAAATAATGGATTACATTATTTGACTTCAGTTGGACTTGTAATTTTTAAGGATTTTTGTTGTTTATTTTAAAATGGAAATAAATGCAAAAAATTGATGTGCTGCAAACTTTATGATGATGCATGCAGTGCCTGAGAACCAAGACTATTTTTTTTTAGGCTTATCAGTATATGAAGATGGGGTGCAATGTCTGTGATGGTTTGTCTGTCCCCAGTCTTGTCTGTCCACGAAGCCTACTTAGCACTAAGACTGTTGTATCTCCCATACTTAAACATGGACTTAGTCGTGTGCTAAGATTGCTTTGGGGAACGGAGCCCTGGTGATGTTCTTACTAACCTGGGGCCTGTACAAGGTGATCTTAGCATTGAGACTATCGTATCTCTCAAACACTACCATAGGCCTGAACAGTTGTAGCACCGAGATCGCTGTGGACAACGGGGCCTTGGACTGATGGCCAGGCTATGATTGTTGCAGTTTCCCATTCTCACACCATCATCATGGCGCCACAGTGGCTCCATATTTTTATACCATGGGAGGAGGCATGTGCTGTTCTATGTTCAATAAACCATTCAAATATTTATAACAGATTTCTTTCTCTTTTTGTCAAATTTTATTACGTTTTATTCATCAAAATATATTCATCCAATAGACAGTACCATTGTGCTCCAGGCTCTGGTTATATTCAGTCAGGATTCATTCAACTTTCCACATGCTCTTACATCCATGCTGGTCATCAAGATATTTGTAACAAGGTAACACATTAACAGCTTAACGCTTAACAGTAACGTGTTCATGATTGAATAAATATGGATAGTGCTCTCAAAATCATTATCAACACATACTTTGTAACTTGGCAACACAATAAAACATAACAGTAACATGTTAATGATTGAATAAATATAAATAGTGCTCTCAAGTTCATTATCAACACATACTTTGTAACTTGGCAACACAATAAAACATAACAGTAACATGTTCATGACTGAATAAATATTAATAGTGCTCTCAAATTCATTATCAACACATACTTTGTAACTTGGCAACACATTAAAACATAACAGTAACATGTTCATGACTGAATAAATATTAATAGTGCTCTCAAATTCATTATCAACACATTCTTTGTAACTTTGCAACGTATTTAAACATAACAGTAACATGTTCATGATTCAATAAATATAAATAACATTGGTGCTCTCAAATTCATTATTATCAAGACATTCTTTGTAACAAGATAACACATTAAAAGTTTAAACTTAACAATGTCGTGTTCACGATTGTATAAATATCAACAACAATTGTGAATGTAATATAACAGTGGTAACAGTAACAGTCACAAGTGAATCTCTGAACAGTTGTGTGCGATACATCTGTACTCTGGCAGTGTTGTAGTCGAGAAAAATGGCAGTAAGGGACAGTTATCTGTTGTATAATACAACCAAGATGATGATCCATGCTTAGTAATATGACACAAAATGGCTGATACAGTGCCGACTGCACTCTCTCTGTAACACATCAGTCACAGCATGGCTGACAAAAAGCCGATGTGGCTGACACAATGCCAGCGTCACTCTCTCCGTAACACATCAGTCACAACATAATGACAATGCCAACGTCACTCTCTTCGTAACATATCAGTCACAACATGGCTGACACAATGCCGACGTCACTCCCTACGTTACACATCAGTCACAACATAATGACAATGCTGACGTCACTCCCTCCGTAACACATCAGTCACAACATAATGACAATGCCAATGTCACTCCCTACGTAACACATCAGTCACAACATAATGACAATGCCAATGTCACTCCCTCCGTAACACATCACAAAAGCTCATAAGGGTTCCCTTTGAGCGTCTGTCCTACGGACTCAACACGACAAATTTATGGAAATCTACGTAACATGCCTCGTCCAGAGAAGGACTTACAAAGTGGCCATGTGTGAATGGTGCAGCTTTGGATGTGTACAAGACGGCTGATGCCAAGGTGAGATAATACTGCAGCACAGGTGTATATAGGCAGTTGACCAGAGTTGTTGCCCTCTACCAGCTCCTCCCCCTGCGGAGGTAGATGTTGATGTGTACAAGACGGCTGATGCCAAGGTGAGATAATACTGCAGCACAGGTGTATATAGGCAGTTGACCAGAGTTGTTGCCCTCTACCAGCTCCTCCCCCTGCGGAGGTAGATGTTGATGTGTACAAGACGGCTGATGCCAAGGTGAGATAATACTGCAGCACAGGTGTATATAGGCAGGCGACCAGAGTTGTTGCCCTCTACCAGCTCCTCCCCCTGCGGAGGTAGATGTCGCTGTAGGCTTCCTTCTGTTTGGCTTCCAGCGTCTGGTTCCCACACAGATCTGTGACATAAATCAACAACTAGGGTTAGAATCGCACCCCACCAACCTATGCTTGTGTTTAGAGGCGACCAAATAGATCAGTGGTCAGACTTGGAGACTTGATTGACAGCATGTCATTGTTACCCGATGATGTGGGTAGTTGCATAATATCAATGACTGGATTGTCTGGTCCAGACTAGATTATTTAACTGACTATAAAAGTCAAGTTTCCACCCTTGCCGAACTAGGCTGGAATTTCCAGACTTGATTGTAGCGCCACCAGTGGCTGTTACGAGTTATGTTCCTCCTACTGACCAATCAGATTCCATCTCTCATATCACTTGCATTTGCTCCAAATAAAATGGCGGTGCCCAGTCAAGACAATCTGATCGATAATCAAGATCTAATGTCTAATAAAACGGGTCTTATCTCGCAAAGTGCATCAAATCATGTGAATTCCTTGATAAACAACATAAAAGAATTTGCAAAATATCTGTCGACACCCAGTTGGCGGTACACATGCTTTGCATATCCTGCAGTCGACAAAAATCTGCGTTGAAATCCATGTTATTTACGAACCGGATTTCCAATTTGTAATGCGATTTTGATTGGACTATGCATAGACTTGTTAGTCCAGCCAAAATGTAACTCCATAATTGCAGCCTAGTTCGGCAAGGGTGGAACCTGGACTTTTAAAGTCAGTTAACGCCCTTGCCTCGGGAAGATGCGTGAATACAAGCAAAATGAAACGTTTCCCTCCACCCCAGATAAGATATTTCTCTTTAACAGGGTAAAGATATTTGTTATGTGAGATGCGTTGATGATTCTTTTGTGAAGGAGGCCACTTAAAGTACTAAACGAATAGAGGAATCGTGGTATGTGTTCATGTATAATTCTAAATATTAACCTGAGATTAAATTAAATATTAACGCCCTTGCCTCGGGAAGATGGTTGGAAACACCAGTGGATACTTACCCAGGACAGCGTTGAACATTTTGGCAGCATAACTGCGGAAGGTGTTGTGCGTGCCGCAGATGGTGTGGAATCTGGTCCACGTCTTGGTGGCCGTGCGCTGCTCCACGTGTCTGACATGCAGAAGATGATGTGGACATAGGGGTTAATGTGAAACTCTTGAACAACTCAAAACAAGAGGAGTTTGATAACACTCAGGATCTCTGTGGATCACAAGAGTTTGCCACTAACATTAAACATGGCTATATCCCCCGCCCCAGTTGCAGAATTTATGACATAATTAAATCTAAACAAACCCTAACCTTTTTTAACCGAGGTGGAACTTGTCATGGAAATTGTAAACAAAGAAGAGTTTGGAAGTCCATCTTGTTGCTATGGAAACGTAAAAAATAAAAATTTCTAAATAGCAAAAGGCACCAGTTCAGCATGTACCTGACAAACCTGCAAAGTTTCCTGAAAAAATATTGAACGGTTTATGAGTAATGCTCCGGAAACGAACCCTACCCTCACAGAACCTAAGTCCATCTTGTTGCCATGGAAACGTAAACAATTTTTTTAATAAGTTTTCTAAATAGCAAAAGTCACCAGTTCAGCATGTGCTTGACAGACCTGCAAAGTTTCATGAAAAAATATTGAACTGTTTCTGAGTTATGCTCCCGAAACGTGACGGACGGACGGAGCCCGTTTCTATATCCCCCGCCAACTTTGTTGGGTGGGGGATAATAAATAGTCTTGGTTCTCAGACACTGCCTGCATCATCATAAGAACTGCCGCACGTTTCATTTATATTTCCATTTTAAAAAAAGTTAAAAATCCTAATACTTAAAACGAACACGATCCAATAAAGCACGCAGTTACTTCCCTTTACATCCACACTGTTTTACTGCACATCTTGTGTTATGGTAATGGAGGCAATAGGAGTTTGTATGCTTGTTTATGTAGGGAGGCCCTTTCCCAGTTTGATGATACACAACTGTTTATTTGGCTACATGCTAGTTTGAACAAGCAAAAAAACCAACATAACCACCGCCTGCCTGCACTATGTTTGCTGAAGTCATTGCCTGAGAACCAATTCTTTTATTTTTTTAAGCCTTACAAATCTCAACTTCTGCAACAACAGATAGCTGACTTATATGTTTTCTGTTTTACTTGGAGAGTAACAAAAATGGCGCTTTGCGAACTGAACTGTGTCAATTGACGAGTTAAACGAGAAATTTACAGTTTTAATGAAACATTTTCGAGAGAATAGCAAACGGTAAGAAGTGATATTACCTCCATAAATGACCATCTGTCATTATTTTGCCTTCTCTTACGAAAAATATGCATTGAGAAATACACTCTTCAATCGTGTGTCTGTGTCTGCCTGTGTCTGTGCGTGTGCGTGCGTCCAACTATGCTTTATGACATGTTCAAAAACTACATATCAAAGTGTTGGGGGAAACCATCCAGGAAGCACACCTCATCATTTCCTCAGTGTAGTTGGATTCTGTAGATGGAGACCTGACAACAGGGGGCACCACTTCCTGTTCTTCTTGCACAGTCTCCAGGGGCAGCAGTCCTGACATCCCGTCTTGCTCCTGCACCAGCTCCGCCAGAATCTCCTCTTCCGCAGTAAGCTGGTCCGATCCTCGCCGAGATCTGAGATACAGAGAACAGCAGAGATATTTGAACTTCAGGAGGCCATAGACCTGAGACACAGCTGTCATCAAAGATCTGTGATACAGACACCAGTTGGCATCAAAGATCTGTGATACAGACACCAGTTGGCATCAAAGATCTGTGATACAGACACCAGTTGCCATCAAAGATCTGAGATACAGACACCACTTGGCATCAAAGATCTGTGATACAGACACCAGTTGGCATCAAAGATATGATACAGACACCAGTTGGCATCAAAGATCTGTGATACAGACACCAGTTGGCATCAAAGATCTGTGATACAGACACCAGTTGGCATCAAAGATCTGTGATACAGACACCAGTTGGCATCAAAGATCTGAGATACAGACACCACTTGGCATCAAAGATCTGAGATACAGACACCAGTTGGCATCAAAGATCTGAGATACAGACACCAGTTGGCATCAAAGATATGTGATACAGACACCAGTTGGCATCAAAGATCTGTGATACAGACACCAGTTGGCATCAAAGATCTGAGATACAGACACCACTTGGCATCAAAGATCTGTGATACAGACACCAGTTGGCATCAAAGATCTGTGATACAGACACCAGTTGGCATCAAAGATCTGTGATACAGACACCACTTGGCATCAAAGATCTGTGATACAGACACCAGTTGGCATCAAAGATCTGTGATACAGACACCAGTTGGCATCAAAGATCTGTGATACAGACACCGGTTGGCATCAAAGATATGTGATACAGACACCAGTTGGCATCAAAGATCTGTGATACAGACACCAGTTGGCATCAAAGATCTGTGATACAGACACCAGTTGGCATCAAAGATATGTGATACAGACACCAGTTGGCAACAAAGATCTGAGATACGGACACCAGTTGGCATCAAAGATCTGAGATACGGACACCAGTTGGCATCAAAGATCTGAGATACAGACACCAGTTGGCATCAAAGATCTGAGATACAGACACCAGTTGGCAACAATGATATGATAGTCATGATTTGGCATAAGAAAATATTAAATTTCAGGCAAAAGATTTTAGGGACATTATGTTACTAGTACTGTTTAGTCAATAGTTTTGAATAATTTGGATTATTATGACATAATCTTCAGGTGTGACCTGTACATCAGTGTAAGTGTAGTGGCTTCATTGTCATGTACCTGGGCCGACTTGTGAGGCTGTCCTCCATGCTCCTCTCCCTGCTACGCTCCAGGCTGTGGGTGCTGCGGTCAATCTCAATGGACAAGTCCCTCTGTCGACTTCTCTCCAGCGACAGAACAGAGTCACCGCGTGCCACCTCCATAGAATCTCCTTCTTCCATCTGGAGATAAGAACTATTGTAGCAATGTTGTCAGGGGGCAATTCACAACAGCAGTGAAACTGATGTTATTTGCGTGCAACACACCAGCAATGTACCTATGTTATTTGCGTGCAACACACCAGTCATGTACGATGTTATTTGCGTGCAACACACCATCATTGTACGATGGTATTTGCGTGCAACACACCAGCAATGTACTGATGTTATTTGCGTGCAACACACCAGTCATGTACTGATGTTATTTGCGTGCAACACAGCAGCAATGTACGATGTTATTTGCGTGCAACACACCATCATTGTGTGATGTTATTTGCGTGCAACACAGCAGCAATGTACGATGTTATTTGCGTGCAACACAGCAGCAATGTACAGATGTTATTTGCGTGCAACACACCAATCATGTACTAATGTTATTTGCGTGCAACACACCAGCAATGTACGATGTTATTTGCGTGCAACACAGCAGCAATGTACAGATGTTATTTGTGTGCAACACACCAATCATGTACTGATGTTATTTGCGTGCAACACACCAGTCATGTACTGATGTTATTTGCGTGCAACACAGCAGCAATGTACGATGTTATTTGCGTGCAACACACCAGTCATGTACTGATGTTATTTGCGTGCAACACACCAGTCATGTACTGATGTTTTTTGCGTGCAACACACCAGTCATGTACTGATGTTATTTGCGTGCAACACAGCAGCAATGTACGATGTTATTTGCGTGCAACACACCAGTCATGTACTGATGTTATTTGAGTGCAACACACCAGTCATGTACTGATGTTATTTGAGTGCAACACACCATCATTGTACGATGTTATTTGCGTGCAACACACCATCATTGTATGATGTTATTTGCGTGCAACACACCAGTCATGTACTGATGTTATTTGCGTGCAACACACCAGTCATGTACTGATGTTATTTGCGTGCAACACACCAGCAATGTACGATGTTATTTGCGTGCAACACACCAGTCATGTACTGATGTTTTTTGCGCGCAACACACCAGTCATGTACTGATGTTATTTGAGTGCAACACACCATCGATGTACGATGTTATTTGCATGCAACACACCAGCAATGTACTGATGTTATTTGCGTGCAACACACCAGCAATGTACTGATGTTATTTGCGTGCAACACACCAGTCATTGTATGATGTTATTTGCATGCAACACACCAGTCATGTACTGATGTTATTTGCGTGCAACACACCAGCAATGTACAATGTTATTTGCGTGCAACACACCAGTCATGTACTGATGTTTTTTGCGTGCAACACACCAGTCATGTACTGATGTTATTTGAGTGCAACACACCATCATTGTACGATGTTATTTGCGTGCAACACACCAGCAATGTACTGATGTTATTTGCATGCAACACACCAGTCATGTACTGATGTTATTTGCGTGCAACACACCAGTCATGTACTGATGTTATTTGAGTGCAACACACCAGTCATGTACGGATGTTATTTGCGTGCAACACACCAGTCATGTACTGATGTTATTTGAGTGCAACACACCAGTCATGTACTGATGCTATTTGCGTGCAACACACCAGTCATGTACTGATGTTATTTGCATGCAACACACCAGCAATGTACTGATGTTATTTGCGTGCAACACACCAGTCATGTACTGATGTTATTTGCGTGCAACACACTAGTCATGTACTGATGTTATTTGCGTGCAACACACCAGCAATGTACGATGTTATTTGCGTGCAACAAAGCAGCAATGTACGATGTTATTTGCGTGCAACACAGCAGCATTGTACGGATGTTATTTGCGTGCAACACAGCAGCAATGTACGATGTTATTTGCGTGCAACACAGCAGCAATGTACGGATGTTATTTGCGTGCAACACAGCAGCAATGTACGATGTTATTTGCGTGCAACATAGCAGCAATGTACAGATGTTATTTGCGTGCAACACACCAGTCATTTACAGATGTTATTTGCGTGCAACACAGCAGCAATGTACGATGGTTTTTGTTGAGCAACACAGCAGCAATGTACGGATGTTATTTGCATGCAACACACCAGTCATTTACAGATGTTATTTGCGTGCAACACAGCAGCAATGTACGGATGTTATTTGCGTGCAACACAGCAGCAATGTACGATGTTATTTGCGTGCAACACACCAGCAATGTATGGATGTTATTTGCGTGCAACACAGCAGCAATGTATGGATGTTATTTGCGTACAACACAGCAGCAATGTACGATGTTATTTGCGTGCAACACACCAATCATGTACTGATGTTATTTGCGTGCAACACACCAGCAATGTACGATGTTATTTGCGTGCAACACAGCAGCAATGTACGGATGTTATTTGCGTGCAACACAGCAGCAATGTACGATGTTATTTGCGTGCAACACACCATCATTGTGTGATGTTATTTGCGTGCAACACAGCAGCAATGTACGATGTTATTTGCGTGCAACACAGCAGCAATGTACAGATGTTATTTGTGTGCAACACACCAATCATGTACTAATGTTATTTGCGTGCAACACACCAGCAATGTACGATGTTATTTGCGTGCAACACAGCAGCAATGTACAGATGTTATTTGTGTGCAACACACCAATCATGTACTGATGTTATTTGCGTGCAACACACCAGCAATGTACGATGTTATTTGAGTGCAACACAGCAGCAATGTACGGATGTTATTTGCGTGCAACACAGCAGCAATGTACGGATGTTATTTGCGTGCAACACACCATCATTGTATGATGTTATTTGTGTGCAACACAGCAGCAATGTACGGATCTTATTTGCGTGCAACACAGCAGCAATGTACAATGTTATTTGCGTGCAACACACCATCATTGTATGATGTTATTTGCGTGCAACACACCATCATTGTATGATGTTATTTGCGTGCAACACACCATCATTGTATGATGTTATTTGCGTGCAACACAGCAGCAATGTACAGATGTTATTTGCGTGCAACACAGCAGCAATGTACGGATGTTATTTGCGTGCAACACACCAATCATGTACTGATGTTATTTGCGTGCAACACACCAGCAATGTACGATGTTATTTGCGTGCAACACAGCAGCAATGTACGGATGTTATTTGCGTGCAACACACCATCATTGTATGATGTTATTTGTGTGCAACACAGCAGCAATGTACGGATCTTATTTGCGTGCAACACAGCAGCAATGTACAATGTTATTTGCGTGCAACACACCATCATTGTATGATGTTATCTGCGTGCAACACAGCAGCAATGTACGGATGTTATTTGCGTGCAACACAGCAGCAATGTACGGTGTTATTTGCAGGTTGCCAAGTAACCCCAATCACCACACCTCCCTTTGATTACATGGACCAACTGGCAACAACACTTTCTACCTTCTCTGCTGATGGCTGGTCTGCCAGACGCTTGGATCGACGTGTACGGGAACTCTTGTCAGAGTCAGTCGAGTGTACGGCAGCGGCAAGAGGACTCTGTTTGAGGTCAAGGTCACTTCCTGAAAGACCTGCCTCTGCTGGTGGAACCTTGGAACAGGAGAAGTTTGTTGGTCATCTGGCAATATGTTCACATGAAAGAGTGGAATAGGAAGAAACATCTAATCAAACTTTACCCAAATATTTATCTTGAAATATAAACAAAGTGTCCATGGCAGGCAAATTGGGAAAAAATCATCATTTTGTTGAAATTGGGACTTATTTTTAAGTTTCTATTTTCCTACCTTCAGATGTATTTTAACATTGCATTAAGTGCAAAAACTAAGCATTAATGTCTCTTCCACTTGGCCCTGTTGTCAAGGATATACCATTTACCTCTACAAAACCATAACATGAGTTATAATTATATTAATGTGAATTGGGAAATCCAGTTGTGGAATTTTTACTGACATTAGCTGCAGACTTGAGGCCAAATATTGGCCTTTGAGCAGGTCTAGATAAATCCCTGTTTTACTGCATATTTAAGAATAAGTTTCTTGGCCTTACATAGTTTGGGCTGCAATCAAGGTAACTACTATTAAGGACATGGTAACTACTGTCATGGTGGCTACAGATATGGTAACTATCCGGTACTGACATGGTAACAACGCGGTAACTGCTGTCATGGATACTACTGTCATGGTGCCTATCGACATGGTAACTACTGTCATGGTGGCTACAGATATGGTAACTATCCAGTACTGACATGGTAACTACCCGGTACTGACATGGTAACTACTGTCATGGTGGCTACAGATATGGTAACTACTGTCATGGTGGCTACAGATATGGTAACTATCTGGTACTGACATGGTAACTACGCAGTAACTGTTGTCATGGATACTACTGTCATGGTGGCTACAGACATGGTAACTACTGTCATGGTAACTACAGACGTGGTAACTACTGTCATAGTAACTGCTGGCATGGTAACTATTGTCATGGTAACTGCTGTCATAGTAACTACAGACATGGTAACTACTGTCATGGTAACTGCTGTAATGGATACTACTGTCATGGTAACTGCTGTCATGGTAACTACTGTAATGGTAACTGCTGTCATGGATACTACTGTCATAGTGCCTACAGACATGGTAACTACTGTCACGGTAGCTGTTGTCATGGTAACTGCTGTTATAGTAATTTCAGTCATGGTGGCTACAGTCATGGTTGCTACAGACATGGTAACTACAGTCATGGTAACTATTGTCATGGTAATTGCTGTCATGGTGGCTACAGTCATGGTTGCTACAGACATGGTAACTACTGTCACGGTAACTGTTGTCATGGTAACTGCTGTCATAGTAACTACAGACATGGTAACTACTGTCATGGTCACTTACCAGCACTTGTCTTGGTGACTCCATGTCCAGAATGGGGGACAGTCTACGTCTTGTCTGCCGACTCTCTGGAAACTCATCTGGGCTTTTCATTAACTCTGGAAAAGTTAAACAATAAAGAAATAGATGCTGTCCTCTAACTATCACTGAATGCAAACTAGACTTAGTGGACGATGTAAATCTTATTGCATCCACAGCATAAAATCCCTGTTGCATCAACCAGGTACTGTGTATATCATGTACATCATCCATGAGGTAAATAAATAATGATTGCATCCCTGCATTAAGCATAACTCTTACATGCATCTCATCATCCACCCATGAAGATGCGGTAGAATAGGTCTTCAGCAACCCATGCTTGACGTAAAAGGCGACTATGCTTGTCATAAGAGGTGAGTAACGGGATCGGGTGGTCAGGCTCGCTGACTTGGTTGATGCATATCATCGTATCCCAGTTGCGTAGACCGATGCTCATAATGTGAATTATTAGTTACCGACCGCCGTCATATAGCTGGGATATTGTTGGGTGCAGCGTTAAACAACAAACAAACAAACAGCATCTCACCAGCCACAGTCCAGGGCGTGTCATCAATCTCCTCCCCCATGACAGCATTCCGCATCCACAGCCTCAGCAGCGTGGGGTGGCACAGCTCTGACAACAAGAAACATGCTCCACCTTACCACCTGCATCAGACTACACAGATACCTGATACACTCGCCTCAATATCGTGGCTCCTATGATGGTATGAGACGTTCTGTTCACATTAACAGTATATGCCTAAGTACACAGCCAAACTTTGTACTTCGGGTAATCTGCTATACTGAACCAGCACTAGTAATAAGGCAGGAATCTGGCAGAGAGAAGCCTGTCTTACTATGGTGGTAGAAATGGCCCCTGATTCTAGGTACTGAAGCATCACTCTGGGAACAACAGATAAGATATATCTTGAGTCTCTGATATCAGTGTTACTCACAAAGAGTGAGTGAGTATGGTTTTACGCCGCTTTTAGCAATATTCCAGCAATATCACGGCGGGGACGCCAGAAATGGGCTTTACACATTGTACCCATTTCGGGAATCGAACCTAGGTCTTCGGCTACCCGACCGCCCCTACACACAAAGGGAAACATGCATAATGTTCTTTGACAAGCCTGTACCTTTTTTGCAAGGTCGTGAAAAAAGTTCCTCAGGGAGGGAGGGTCTTGTGGATGGAAGAACCTGAAGCATAAAGAACCCAATCACAATTAGTTGTCGATACCTAAATGAAGAGAACCTTTATTAATAAAGATCCTGAAACAAAATTGCATGAATCAAAGTAATTTAGTACATCAGGTGAAAGTTGATTGTGTGTAGCGTCTTCAAATGTTTTGGTGAGGTTTTCCCCAGTTTCTCAGCATATTAGTTTGTTGGCATAGAATCAGTATAAATGGGTTAGAAGTAGATGAAAAAAATTGGTGATTGTCCTCACGTTTGTGCGACAGATGTCTTTGCTGGTCACCATGTTGTGCTTCAGTTGTTTCTTGCTTATCTGGGTCTCGATGTCGATAAACTTCAGGCGGCGCTTACGTCGTCGAGTCACAGAAGTGGGTGCGACAGGCTCCAGCTCCATTGCCAGACTTGGGCGCTGGACATAGATCAGTACTTTGATGTATTGATAGGCAGTATAGAGCAGCTACATGTTCGTACTTAATGTATGCAGCGGTAGAAACTAACATTTTTTGTCCACTAGTCCTTATAATGATAACATACCGGTATAGCAAACCCTTCAAAAAGGGCAAACTTCTACAAGTCCTTATAATACCTTAACTATTGGACAGTTTGACAAGGACTACAGGACTACTGCCAATTTCTATCGCTGTGTATGGCTACATCAGTATACATATACTCTGTCAAAAAAGAAGCGCAAAAGTGATTTTAAATTGGCCCACATCATCGTCATTGACCCAAGTTCCATATGGCACAGTTGATTTACAAGGTGATGGCCAACTATTCTCAATCTAGTATGGCCACCATTAGAGTCCAAAACTGACTGGCATCGTTGTCCCATGGAAGCAATCAGATCCCGAATTGTGGCCTGGGGAATATTCACCCACTCTGCTGGCACTGTATGTTCCGACTGACAGAGGTTGTCTTGTTTGAAAATTATGTTCCCCTGTTGCATACTGGGAAGGATGTGTGGCCAAAGTAGCTCATCTGTGTAATGTTGTGCCGTTAAATTCTCCAGAATCCATGTATGTTCTACAAGTGGAGGAGATGGCTGCCCACACGATCCCTCTACCACCACTAAATCTGTCCACTTCCTGTATGCAGTCTCACGCATAACGTTCCCTGAGACGCCTGTAAACATGGTTAACGTCTACCATCCGAAGCATAAATGTGACTTGACACTAAACCAAACTTGTCTCCATCACTGTTGTGGCCATACTCTGTGACCTTGACACCAATGACATTGCAGCCGACGATGCGGGTCCTCCACTGTCTGGGCTGATAACCTACACAATCCTGGTATTGCCGTAGTTGTAGAGGTGGCCATGGTGGTTCTTTCACATAAGTGACGTAGCCGTATAATTCTGCTCTGGTAGTGATACGTGGTCGACCGGATCTGGGAAGGTCATGTGTTGTCCCGTGTGTCTGATAACGGGTTTACAGTCTTGAAATGGTGCTTCTGTCAGTTGTGGCATGTTTTCGCTGTTCACTTGCCATAAGATTGTGATTTGCGCTTGGGGGGGGCAGAGAATAACAAAGAAACATAGCAGGCATATTCAGTGCTTGTCTGTTTGCTGTTAGCTCTTAGCAATATTACTGCTATATGACGACAGTATGTAAATAATCACATCTGAACCAGACAATTAGTATGTGGCATGCAATCAACAAAATCACTGATCCAGACCACCCGATCAATTTAGCATGGGTTGATGGGGACCAACATTCTTACCCTGAATCCCTGTGGGTGGACATACAGACTTAGAAATTTGGTTCTTTTTTACAACTTGTTCAAAGGACTCATGTATAGCTTCCACCTACTGTCTAGTCCTGCTTGAACAAAGCCAAAATGTTTATGTTTTCTGTCAGTTTCAATCAATTCCAATATGCAGTAAATAAGCATGATAACTGGTTTAGAATTAGAGCTCCAGGTAACTTTTGAGCAATTGAGTTTTTACTCAAAGGTTTCTATTTTAATTGGGTTAAAACATTTTTCATTGGGTAACCAATATTTTTTCACTCATCTTTTTTTTCCCAAAATGAGCAAACATTATGATATTTTAAAAAAACATAAAATAATGTTTTAGATGTAAATAAGGGTTCTAACTATAGGCTTGACTCGGAAAGTAAACTAGCTTGTAACTGTGTTTCGGAAATTAGCTCCATTGTACGCATGCTTAAAAAGCTTCATTGGGTAATTACGCATGCTGTTTTTATACATTAGAGTTTTTGATTTAATGCATGTGTTTCTGTACGCAAGTTAATTGAAAGTAATTGGGTTTTTATTTGGGGTTACTTGTCATGCTTGTGGGGGGTATTTTACGCAAATACGCAGCTTATCTGTAGTTCTGGAATCATAGTCCTCAAATGTACTACAGTCCGTTTGGCTCCAGTGAGAATGATGAATTGCAAATTATCTCAAAATCAGGAATAGTCGAGTTTCACATCAGCTGAGTAGCGCATCTTGTCAGTCAACAACGACATATACTATATAGCATGTGCAGTACATGTTTTCGCTGTTCCCCCTACCGTTGTGCCCCCCTCCCCCCTCCGTTCATGATGTCAACTTGTACACATAACAACATAATAGTTTCCTAAACAACTTTTTCCAGTGATGGGTATAAAAATAACAAACAGCAGATAGTGTTGGGTACAGGGTATTCATTGCCATGTACCATATTGACATTTAATAAACTATTCCAGATTTTTAGTTATTTTGCAATTCAGCGTTCTTATTTGGAGCCAAACAGACTGTAGTCAATGAGGACGACCACCATTGGCTTTTTACTTGTCCTCAGCACAATTTAGTAGTCGCAGGCTAGCAGACTAGCATGAATTCCCATGGCTGATACATATTGAACAATTAAAAAAACAGGGATAATCATATATCAGTACAGTTCGATTGATATCTTTATGAAAGTCAAGCAGGCTTTTGTCATAACTCGGATTTGTCACAAATTTAGGCGATCCCTAGATTTACGTACTCTAGAGGAAAACCAGAAGGACCCCATGACCCACCTTCATTTCAAAAGCTGTGAAGTGAGAGAGTGATTCTGTTGGGTTTACACTGCTCTCAACAGTATTTCATGTTGTGGCATGGCAAGGGGAGGCAACTCCGCACTGCGCAACCATGTTCCCCAGAGTGAGTTATAGGGAAGCTCCCATTGTTGAAAGTGATGTGCAATCTTTTCTCAAGAGATGGGACGATAATTATACAAAAGAGGTCTACAATCACAAGTGTACCGTTCAACATTTGGCTTAATAATATAAAAGTATTGGTTCTCAGGCAATGTCTTTTGAAAAAATAGTCCTGGTGGGCTATGGTTGTTTTTATTTTTCTTCTTTAAACTAGTTTGTAACCAAATAAACAGGTTGTACCATCAACCTGGGAAAGGGCCTCCCTACATAAACAAGCATACAAACTCCTATTGCTGCCATTACCGAAACACAAATGTGCAGTGAATCAGTGTGCATGTAAAGAGAAGTAACTGCTCGCTGTATTGGATCACATTGTTTAAAAGCATTGGTGGTTTTTTTTTAAGTATTGGAGAAAACCGAGGGAAAGTGTTTTTCCAAACTTATAAACCGAAAAAAGAAACTTAAAACAACATTTATCAACATTTTTATGTTTCGAACATACTTTCCATGAACCTTAGGTAATGCACGTAAAATATCTGTTGCTGGCGTACGGATCTTGAAAAGGAAATTCTAAAAACCAGTGTGGCTTATCAACACCTCTCTAGCCTCGTGGTACACTCACTGGGCTACAGATATGAAGGTTGCGAGTTCGATCCTCGGGAATATAATGAAAACATTTGTCATTTGATTCTACATTTCATTACATGTTACAACCTGAACGGAAGTTATATTAATACCCAGGACATTATATAAAATCCCAGGGATATTATATAAAATCCCAGGGACATTACATCGTCCCTGTTTATGAGATTTAACCCGACTGGAAAGTAAAACCTCACAATAGGTTTTAATGCCTATAGAAAGAAGTCTCTTACTTAATAGCGATCCCAATGAATAGGTTTATAAAATGGAAATAAGACCGAACTACGAAACCTTCTGATGATACACAGGTGGTGCCTGAGAACCAAGTCTACTATTTTTATTATCCTTATTTCCAGTAGATTTAGCAATTACAGATTTCTAGTATTTCTTGGGACCAGAAATATGCTGAGATTTATCTAGGATGCTAAACTAAATGCCCTTGGCAGGCAAATAGGGATTTCTTTTTATTAATTTGTTCAAAATTGGGATTTTTTTCAAACTTTATTGGTCCTGTTATCAATGATAAACAAGTTATCTCTGCAAAGCCATAGCATTAGTTAAAACTATATTAACAAGAATTGGGAATTTTAAAATTCAAATTTGGGAATTTTTACTGATATTTGCTGCAGACTTGGGTCTATGAGCATGTCTAGATAAACCCTTGGAATGTACTGTATTTGGGCTCCTGGTTCGTGAGTAAAAAACTTTACAGTCAGGGGAGAACCTCTACCGTCTGATCCATCTGACAACGTGTCAGGCATGTCAATAACCAGCTGGTGGTCGACGTGCAGAGCAGGTAGAAAATTCTTAATTGATGTCAATTATACCCAGAGATTAAAGCTATCCCTGATAAAGTGTCGACAACACTGACCACACGATGCCTCTTTCGACTGGGTTCTTCTGGTTGAATCGGTGTCACCCCCGGGGATGCTGGGAGTTTTCGGCGTGGAGGCACACCTTCGTCATCCACCTTCTTTCCGTGTGGTGTTTCAATCAGTGGATGCAAAACCTCCCTGGAAGAAGAGTGCGTGAGATGTTGTTACCGCTGATGGCAGCTATATTACAGGGTAGAATGTCGGCCTGTAAATAACTAAGTTTGGATCAGGCTAGACTAAAATCTAGTCTCTGAAATGAACATATCGTACATAAAAAAAACAGTTGTTTAGTTATCTTAATAAAAATATAATAAAAAGGAGCCCAGTGACTCTCTTCATTTTCAGTGATCCTGCAGTGATCTAGACTTGCCAAACATTATAGACTTGCATGGGCTGTATTTGATATATATTTGTATCAGGGTCTGTAAGACAGACTAGGATCAGGCCAACCTGGGACTGACGGATAAGCTACGATCTCCGCCGTGAGGGTCAGTAATCACAGTCTGACCCCAACCTTCATTGTAGAGGATCATACAACAAGCAGAGGACTGGGGACCTGTTCTGAAGATATGGGGTAGAATAGGTCTTCAGCAACCCATGCTTGCCGTAAAAGACGACTATGCTTGTCGTAAGAGGCGACTAATGGGATCGGGTGGTCAGGCTCGCTGACTTGGTTGATGCATGTCATTGTATCCCAATTGTGTGGATCGATGCTCATGATGTCAGTCAGTGGATTGTCTGGTTCAGACTCGATTATTTGTCAGTTTTATTCAGTTCCAATATGTAGCAAAAATTGAAGCATTGACAACTGGTTCAGAATTATAGCCCGACTGGTCCTACTACTCAATGAGGAATACCGTCACTGGATTTTTAGTTCTCAGGGTAGTTTAGTAGTCTCAGCTCTGCGGACTAGCGTGAATTTCTAAGGCTGTACTGAGATCAACATCTACATGGTATCTCATCCCCAGCTGTGCTGTGACTTACTCTTCCTCCATTATCACTGGCATGATGTCCGACATGCTGGACGTTGATCGTGACCGCGTCTTCAGCGGGGAGATGAGGTCGGCGATCTCAATGGGGATCTCCTCAACCTTGTCTTCCATCATCTCGATCTCCTTCCCATCAAACCCAGGCAGCTCCTTCTCGTCAGGGACCTACACAACAAACACATCATACTTGATACTATCATCCTCAACACCAGAGTCCTCAACATCAACATCTTCAAAACCAACGTCCTCAACATCAACATCAACATCCTCAACACTAACAAGTTTTCAAAATACACATTGATATTTTATAATCCAGGTGTTATGGGTATTGGACGCTTTAGAAACAATCATAGTTTTCTCACTAATCAGAAGAACAAATGTAAAACATCTCAAGCCATCATCTGAGTATTTACAATGATGCCACTACAATTGTTATAGAGCGAGTAATCGCGATAAACCTGGCCGTCCAAAAAAGTATGATGTCCGAAAACCTATGTTCTGACGATACTAAAGCAATGTACTAATATCTTTTTCCTTTGTAAGAGGTGGCGCACCTTATAAATAAAACCTACCGTATTCGACGTAATAAGCGCCTCACTCTAATAAGCACCCACGGAGATATTTGCTAATATTTTGGCTAGTGAACAATCCCAATTACGTTTCTTTTGTATCATTTCAGGCTGTCAGCATAAACTACGAAATTTACGATCTTTCAACTCTGTTTTTTTTTCTCATCAAAATTTTATTCTAATAAGACCCCCCTATTTCTAATTTTGAGAGTGCCCCGGGCGCTTATTACGTCGAATATGGTAGTATCTTTGCTCTTTTGGGCAACAGAATAGAATGAATGCGAAAGATCAAAAACTTATATCTAAAAAATATTTTCCAGAAAGAGGAAATGGAATATGCAAGGTAATAACAAATAACATGAAATAATAGCAGCATCCATGTCAGGGCAAAGCTGTATGTTCATCTCGCCAGAGACGAGGGATAATGCTGCATTTCTGCTAAGGGTGAAACGATACACCGAGATCCGATGCATCGCGATACTTGATGATATACGATAAACGTGGGCCCATTTATCGATACACCACGATACGGAACGCAAATCTCAAGTACAGCGTTTACTCGGTATTGTGTCTTTCAATAAACCGCTAACTTGGTTATAGCGCGCGCTAACGCATGGCTCCCCAAAACGCACTAACATTTTTAATAAGCTCAGGTTTTACACCGACAGATGTTTTTCCCCATCTCATAAAACATTATCAGCTGATCACCGCAAGCACATAACACCGAAAATACCAGTCAGCAAATTCGAACTGAAGTACGCAATTCAATACCATTATTATACTATCTTGTTATCAAAACATGTTCATTGTATATCTGGACTTGTGTTTGTCATATATTTTATTAATTTTATTCAAAATTTCATTTAATATTGTTTTCATTAAGTAATGTGAAATCGTGTGTGAAGAGATACAGCAACCACGGTCAGATTACCGCTTTTGACGCATTGAAACGAACTTTAGTTGCTAGAGAATGGATACATATATTAAAAATGACATACTTTGACTCGTTAAAAGTCATATTTGTGGCAATTTGGCTAATATATGTCATTCTCAACATAACGTTATCGCAATCGAAATACATGTAGCACGGGAAGTCCCTAGGGTGACTGGTCAAATTGTTCCATACGTAAAAATATCCTGCAACAGCAATCACCAGTACCAAAATGCTACACTTGTGGTTATAAATATATAATTATATAGTAAAAGCTGCAACTAAGGTAACATGATATTGGAATAAATTATTCCTGATAAAACAATAATTTCAGATACAATTTCTTCGACCATTGCATCAAAATTCTTTGAAGTTGTATCACTGGTGGAGTACATTAATTATTCATGGTGTTTGAACTTTGAATTGTTTTGAAGGAAAGTTGAACAACTTCAGTAGTCTTGTTAATATAAAATAATTTTGACTGTTCCAAAATCATGAAAGGTTCAATCTTTACATGCTTTAAGTCTTGGTTTTTTTATCATTGCGTATCGAGATACAGTGATCGCTCGCTATTGCGCTACCAATGGGGTCCAAATAATTGGTGGGCGCTATAGACGGTGAGCCGTTTAACCGAGGCCGAGGCGGGGGAGCGCGCTCGACCAATCTCACGATCTTCGCCTTGTATTGCACATTGCAATGATACAGGTTGTTCATAGTGTAAAAATAAAGATATTCCCATTGTGTTTTCGTCGTTTGTTATTATTTACAAGCCTTAACTGTCACATTCAACGTGATATTAGCCTACTTACATGTAAATATCGATCGATAATGGTAGTAACAGACGCTATGAGTGAAGGGCCAATCACAATTCATTATACAAGCACGGAGTGTTTCAGTGGCGTTGATTGGAAAACAAGAGTTTTGACCAGCACTAGAATTTACGTATCGTATCGTGACCAGAATATCGAGATGCGTATCGTATCGTGACCTTCCTGTATCGTTGCAGCCCTAATTTCTGCACCATCATTTCAACTTTTCATTGATCACTGTTAGTGTTATGCCACAAAGTAGGCAAAACAATAATCAAAATAGACTACTAAGAAAGTACAAGACACAGCACAGAAGGTTTGGTTTGGTTTGGTTTTATTTACGCTGCACCCAGCAATATTCCAGCTATATGACGACGGTCTGTAAAATATTCGAGTCTGGACCAGACAATCCAGTGATTGATATCAAGAGCATCGATCCACGTAATTGGGATCGATGACCTGCATCAACCAAGTCAGCGAGCCTGACCACCCGATCCCGTTAGTCGCCTTTTACGACAAGCATAGTCACCTTTTACGGCAAGCATGGGTTGATGAAGACCTATTCTACCCCGGATCTTCACGGGTCAGAGGGCAAAGTGTATGACATTGTTACCCCACCAACATCAGTGTGCATTCAAACTCGGCTCCCTGGGGAGTATACTACCCAGCATCATTGAGATGTGTTTCTTTCACTCAGCTATATTCCAGCTATATGACAGAGGTTTGTAAACAATCAAATCCGGACCAGTCAAACCAGTGAATGACATCATGAGCATCGATCTATGCAATTGAGATATGATGACATGCATCAACAAAGTCAGCATGAATGACCGATCACCTGATCCTGTTAGTCGCCTCTTACGAAAGCATGGGTTGCTGAAGACCTATTCTTACCTGGATCTTCACAGGAGGACATATTTGTGTTTGGCTTTACCTGTATCCGTTCCGAGGTGAGTGACTCGTCCTCCTTGAGACGAATGTCCTCCGGTTTTGACACAGTGTGAGGACTTTTCAGTGCTGTAAGGAGAACTACAAAATGTGGACATATTCTCATCAATTGTAGCAAGGCTTAGTAAGGATAAGATTTATGGATGAACAACTTCTTTATTACAATTAGGAGCGACGTTTTGGTGTAGGTTCTAACACCGTTATCAAGCAAGTGATGTGTGAAGGGAGGCGATTGGTTTAGTTATACAACATACATTCCTACTTGAATATGGCTTACAATCAAATCATAGACACTGATAATTATTGCAACTGATTGGGCCAAAGTTGTTTGGTAGTTTTCTAAAGTGATTGCAACTGTGAGTTTAACGTGGTCAATGTTGGAGGTAAGATCAAAGTGTTGCATGTCTTAGATGTTGACCACTTTGGTGAAACTCATGAGTATGGGCATAACACTAACCGAGAAACATAATCGGCAAATCTGGGACTCAAACCCACAACCATAGGTTTCTGGATGGCCAACTCTGCATTATGAGTGAGTGAGTGAGTTGGGTTTAACGCCGCTTTTAACAGTATTCCAGTTATATCGCAGCGTGTCAGCTTAATGTGGGAGGAAAGCCTGAAGTGATGCAGGTCTAAGACGTTTACCACTTCGGTGAAACCCACGAGCACAGGTATGGTGCTGACAAACCTAGAAACATAATTTGGGCGAATCGGGATTCGAACCCACAATCATAGGTTTCTGGCGTGCCCAAGGGACGCAAATCTGCACAGCGAATCGCGGCGCCTTAAACGACTGGGCCACCCTTGCCCCTCTGCATTATGAAGTGATACAGGTGCCTAATTCAGACTTGAGAACTCGGCATTAGAAATTGGCACTGGTCCTGTAGTCCTTGCCAAAATGCCCAGTAGGTAAGGTGTCATAAGGACAAGCAGAAATTTGCCATTTTTAAGGGTTTTGCTAGGTTATCATTATAAGGACTAGTGGACTAGAAATGTTAGTTTCTACAGCTGGAACTATGATAAACAAGTGGCTTTACCGTCTTCCACCATCTCCTCCATTGACAGTGGAAGGGGAGACAACTGCAGCTCCTTGGTTGGACTCACACTGATGCTTTGCCACATGTCCTGTCAACACATGTCAGACTCCATGTATTATTATTACATGTGGTTTTCAAAACTATTCACATTTTTACTGTGACAGCAAACAAAAAACAAATCATATTTCAGGGTTCATACAGATTTTGGGGCTCTAAATTCAAGTACTGTTTGAGTACTTTTCAAGGCAGAACATTTGTTTCTAAAGACAACTTTTAATCATTCAAAAGCTCACTTTCTGCCCTGCTTTTGACATGAGTATTGTGACCTACAATACACTTGAATAGAGTCGATAGTATAACATTCTTGACTTTGTTTCGTTTTCTGGGAGAGCAAGGCTCAAGTGCCGCTCATGATAATGTGATAATTATTATTAAAACTATATTCAGTTACACAAAGTGCAAAGAATTTAACACTCCTAACTTATAAAAGATACAAGACAGTCTTTCTTTTTTAATGTTGTAAGTGACAAGAAGTGAACAACGAATTGCAACAAGATAAATAATAATTTTCAGTTGCAATTTTGACATACTTGACAGAATTTATTTACATTCCAGCACTTCAATGGTAAAATGGCAGAATTAAGCACTTTTCATCAAATATTGTTAAATTAAAGATCTTTTCAAATCCTTGCAAACCCTGCCTATCTTAATGTTGAGACCAAGTTCACTACTGTACTTACTGTATCAGCCGGACCGTGGCATAGCAGGCTAAACTGGCGATGGTTTGGTTGAAAACTTGAAACAAAACTTAGAATAAAACACGAAATAAAACATGAAACAGTGGCAAACAAACGGAAAGAAACACCACAACTTTAAAAAAACATTGCAATATGTGGGAAGACACCTAAAAATATTGGTACACAATATCTAACTTTTGAAATGGTGAACATCGTACCAACATTTTCAAGAAATATATATTGCTGCGTTTGCTTGAATATGATTCTTCCACTTGAACAGGGATTGGTGTGAGTGTGTGTGCGTGCGCATACGTGTCAGGGGCAAGAGGCTTGAATAATGGCAAAAATTGACAAGCATTTTAGGAGGGTCTGTAATGAATGGACAGACTTTTGGTTGGTAATAATTGTTTGGGCCTTAGTCCACAAATATTGTCTGGCCCACCCTATGATAAATAACCAGTGAAGAAACATCAACTCTTGCAGAACCATGTAACCTCATCATGCATGGAGAACAAAATAGACGCAAACAATGCAGTGAGATTATGAAATGAAAACTTGAACATGTCTGAATTGCAACAAGGGGATCCAACAAAGCAAAATGTCAAAATGAGACGTGTACCTGCTCCATGAAGCTCACACCCTCACTAGTCATCTCCCACATCCCGAAGGTGTAGTTGTAGTCAGCGCTCAAGGGGTCGACGGTGCCCACAAGGTCAGGCAGATTCTGACGGGCGGCATCCAACCTGCATGAGACGTTGGCAAGGTATGATACAGACCATCATCCCTAGGCAAGGGAGTATTAAAGTCCAGTTTCCACCCTTGCTGAACTAGGCTGGAATTCCGGTGATACATTTTGGCTTGACTAACAAGTCTATGCATAGTCCAACCAAAATCCTGCAACCTACTGGTAAACCTGGATAAGTGTTTGTTTGTTTGTTTGTTTGTTTGTTGTTTAACGCCGCACTCAGCAATATTCCAGCTATCTGTAAAATAATCGAGTCTGGACCAGACAATCCAGTGATGGACATCATGAGCATCGATCCAAGTAATTGGGATCGATGACATGTATCAACCAAGTCAGCGAGCCTGACCACCCAATCCCGTCAGTTGCCTTTAACGACAAGCATAGTCGCCTTTTATGTCAAGCATGGGTTGCTGAAGACCTACTCTACCCCGGATCTTCACGGGTCCCTGGATAAGTGGAACCGACTAGGTAGACGGTGCACAGAATTTGGACGTCCATATTTGGCTTGTTGCAAGTAGAGAGGGTGTATGCATGTTGTGCACGTGCAAGTCATGACAATGAAATTGACTTCGCTCCTGTGAACACATGTGTTGCTCATAAGTCTATTGAGAGGTCAATGTGACAAGTCGATACAAGGATTCTCTAAAAGTCGTTTGATAGAAGTTAATGAAAAATAAACAGTATGCTGAAACCCAATGAACAATCACATGGGATTAATTAAGGAGTATGTCATTGAATCAACTATTACTATGTTAAGGTCTCAACCTTCACAATCATTGATGAATGACATGACACTATTCATTATTGTAAAAAAAAAAAATTCCATATTTACAGCAAATGAACTCCCTTCATAGCCACGATTCTTTTCAGTTGTTGTTATCTATGCACATTTTATGTCACTGTTTTCACAGTCATCGGGTATCTCACATCAGCACATACTATTATGTGCAATTCTACCATGAATTTGGAACTTACTTGATTCTGATAGGTTAATCAGAGGCTATTAAATCACAATAAACCTCCTCTTCGGTGGGCATATTTAAATAATTATATCTACAAATACAGGCTACAAAATGCAAAGTTGTGGTTACTACAATATTTAAAGGATGTGTGGCAATACATTTCGTGTAGAAAACACCATAGAAATCTACACAGAGAATGTATTTTAGTTTTGGGGACAACAGAGAGCTTGAAATTTAGCGCTGTAACTATATACGACTGTGACGTCATTTATTTGCGCCACAATGAGCGATATGACATCATAATGATGACGTGCAGTGTAGAACGAAAGCCTAGCAAAACTTGCTAAGTTTTCTCTAGGGATGCCATCTTCAAGATAGCTTACCAAGTTGCTGTGCTTATATGCTTTCAATGCCTGTCATAAGTATTACTGTGTAAACAAAGTGCTTGAGCATATACAGCGCCATATTTTGTTTACAGGCTGTTGTCGGTGAATCCATAATTCAAATCCACAACCCACTCAAAACACTGGACTCAACCCATGCCACTTCACTCAATATATTTGTTAACACCAAAGAGTTAGCATTTTATTTAGACATGGTAGAATGGAGATCAACATACTGTGTTTTCAATGTAGAGCTAGGTTACCTGTAGATTTAACCTGTAGATTTAACAGGTAACCTAGCTCTACATTGAAAACACAGTATGTTTATCTCCTAATTGAACTCGCCACTAGAACTCGTTAGTCAAGACAGGACACGCACATATCCATCATACTACTTGTCGCAACCCACCTACCACCCCTTTCTTCACAATGGTATGCGCCAGTGGGCGGACCTCATGCATAGTCATACTGGGTTAATTGTCGTGTCACTACTCAACTTATCCTGGCTTACCAGTAGTTCTGTGTCAGGCAGGCACAGTTTGCTGACAACTTGTGTAACAACATTGGAACCTGTACCATCTTCCGCGGTGACCCGACCTATCTCATTTGAATATGCACTAGTGGCATCTCCTGATTTTGATTTCCTGTCTGGCAGTTGAAGTTTAGCTCGTGTAGATAACAAACGATAGTATTCAATCAAACTGCAATCACCCCATACTATATCCAAGGATGAAAATGGATATTTCCTTTTCTAGCTGAAACATCTCTTCAGGAAGCGTTACAGTCCATAATTTGGGGGTGTTTAGGGGAAAGCCATGAGATTTTAACAGATTTGCGGAAATTTGCGGAAGATTCTCACCCGTGTATATCATGGAATTCTAAGGATGCAATCTTGGTGCTTTCATTGGCAGATTTGTTCTTGTTCTTGTAGTTCAAAGGCATGCATACATTTCATGATTCACAGTATCACTTCAGAGATTTAACTTGGCAACAGACTGCTTGCCCAATGTTAAAAGTATTTATAAACATTAAAATATATTTCAGTAACTATAGTCCTAATTTGTACACTGTTGACAGCTCAAGTTTTCTACTACAACAGCCCTGTTCGAGACTGACTTACTTGAGGTCAATGTCACAGGTGGATGTCTTCAGGCCTGACATTCGCAGTCGTGCCCACAATGTTGACGTGTCATCTGGAAAATAGGACAATGCTGGCTTCAATATCAGTTATTATCAGGCTGTGGGTTCAATTACCTAACAGCTGGAATTGGTCTGTAATTGTAAACATATCCCTCCATTCATGGCAAATGTTTTCTCTTGGATACAAAGACTGGATTCAGCTTGAAAAATATCAGGAGCCATTCTAAATATTTTTATGGGCAAGAATCCAGTCTTCAAAGTCTCCTGCTCAAAGATTACATAGAGATAGAGTGATGAGAAGTTTGTCTCACGGTAGAGATAGAGAAGATTGTCTCACAGTAGAGAAAGAGAAGATTGTCTCACCATAAAGAAAGAGAAGATTGTCTCACAGTAGAGATAGAGAAGATTGTCTCACCTAGAGAAAGAGAGGTTTGCTTCACTACAGAGATAGAGAAGTTTGTCTCACAGTAGAGATAGAGAAGATTGTCTCACGGTAGAGATAGAGAAGATTGTCTCACAGTAGAGATAGAGAAGATTGTCTCACGGTAGAGATAGAGAAGATTGTCTCACAGTAGAGATAGAGAAGATTGTCTCACAGTAGAGATAGAGAAGATTGTCTCACCTAGAGAAAGAGAGGTTTGCCTCAATACAGAGATAGAGAAGTTTGTCTCACAGTAGAGATAGAGAAGATTGTCTCACAGTAGAGATAGAGAAGTTTGTCTCACAGTAGAGATAGAGAAGTTTGTCTCACGGTAGAGATAGAGAAGATTGTCTCACAGTAGAGAAAGAGAAGATTGTCTCACCATAAAGAAAGAGAAGATTGTCTCAAAGTAGAGATAGAGAAGATTGTCTCACCTAGAGAAAGAGAGGTTTGCTTCACTACAGAGATAGAGAAGTTTGTCTCACATTAGAGATAGAGAAGATTGTCTCACGGTAGAGATAGAGAAGATTGTCTCACAGTAGAGATAGAGAAGATTGTCTCACGGTAGAGATAGAGAAGATTGTCTCACAGTAGAGATAGAGAAGATTGTCTCACAGTAGAGATAGAGAAGATTGTCTCACCTAGAGAAAGAGAGGTTTGCCTCAATACAGAGATAGAGAAGTTTGTCTCACAGTAGAGATAGAGAAGATTGTCTCACAGTAGAGATAGAGAAGTTTGTCTCACAGTAGAGATAGAGAAGTTTGTCTCACGGTAGAGATAGAGAAGATTGTCTCACAGTAGAGATAGAGAAGTTTGTCTCACGGTAGAGATAGAGAAGATTGTCTCACGGTAGAGATAGAGAAGTTTGTTTCACAGTAGAGATAGAGAAGATTGTTTCACAGTAGAGATAGAGAAGATTGTCTCACAGTAGAGATAGAGAAGATTGTCTCACAGTAGAGATAGAGAAGTTTGTCTCACAGTAGAGATAGAGAAGATTGTCTCACGGTAGAGATAGAGAAGTTTGTTTCACAGAAGAGATAGAGAAGATTGTCTCACAGTAGAGATAGAGAAGATTGTCTCACGGTAGAGATAGAGAAGTTTGTCTCACAGTAGAGATAGAGAAGTTTGTCTCACAGTAGAGATAGAGAAGATTGTCTCACGGTAGAGATAGAGAAGTTTGTCTCACAGTAGAGATAGAGAAGATTGTCTCACAGTAGAGATAGAGAAGTTTGTTTCACAGTAGAGATAGAGAAGATTGTCTCACGGTAGAGATAGAGAAGTTTGTCTCACAGTAGAGATAGAGAAGATTGTCTCACAGTAGAGATAGAGAAGATTGTCTCACGGTAGAGATAGAGAAGATTGTCTCACGGTAGAGATAGAGAAGATTGTCTCACAGTAGAGAAAGAGAAGATTGTCTCACGGTAGAGATAGAGAAGTTTGTTTCACAGTAGAGATAGAGAAGATTGTTTCACAGTAGAGATAGAGAAGTTTGTCTCACCTAGAGATAGAGAAGTTTGTCTCACAGTAGAGATAGAGAAGATTGTCTCACAGTAGAGATAGAGAAGATTGTCTCACCATAGAGAAAGAGAAGATTGTCTCACAGTAGAGATAGAGAAGATTGTCTCACAGTAGAGATAGAGAAGTTTGTCTCACCATAGAGAAACTGGTGCTGTTTCCTGAACACCTTCACCGTGCCATACATGAGCTGGGCCGACAAGTACAGGGAGAACCGCGGTCGAGTCCGTCCTCGCGTTGTAGATGGCACACGCAGCAGGATGTAGTCAATGATGTCATCACTGAAAGGCACATTATGAAAGTTAAAATATTGTTATGAGAACAACTTGGACAAATGAAATTTAATAAACTTCATCAATCAGTTCCGTTCTGCAAGCGACTAATCAGTGATGAAAGGTTGTCTTAAAGATAAAAACTGTGTGAGTGAGTTGGGTTTAACGCCGCTTTGAACAGTGTTCCAGTTATATAACGGCGTATCAGCTTAATGTGGGAGGAAAGCCCGAAGTGATGCAGGTCTCAGACATTAACCACTTCAGTGAAACTCACGAGCACAGGTAAGATGCTGACAAACCTAGAAACATAATCGGGGCGAACCGGACATCAAACACACAATCATAGGTTTCTGGCGTGCCCAAGGGACATTTGAAAATCAGTGAGAATGTTCGCAAAAAGAGTAAGCATTGGTAGCATTTGCCATTCACACAATTAGAATAAACATAACCTCACGAGAGCCATGTGGCAGCCGCATGTAAACAAACCATTCAAGCACCTCTCCATTCCTTAAAACTAATGGAGACATATTTGTTCAGGTTTCAAATTTGTAATCGAGGATTTGTCAAAATATGTTTCGAAGCATGGTCGCCAATTTGAAATTAGTGCAGTAAAGCACAAGAAAGCTGCCTTCTGATTGGTCATTCCATTGGTCGGTCAAAGTTCGCGCAAGGTCGGCCTGACTTGACCCGTAATGGGATGTCCTCAGATCTTTGTTAGGCTGTATTGAGAACTAAGATCTGATTTGAATGAGATTAAGTTAATTTCACACCATACCTTCCTGTGTTGCCATAGCAGAGGTCTATAATTAAATGTCCTCAAATTAAACGATACAGATTCAAACCCCGCTGGTGACATGTTTTCTGACAAAAATTTGAAATTATTCACTTGTCAAAATACAGGAAAATAGTTCGTCTAATCTAAGTGTAAATTAATTCAAAAGTTGGTTCAACAAACTACACTCCATTCCTGAAAAACAATGGAGCGTTTAAACAATAGAATGACATCACAGGTGTTTTGTTGGTCCAGTAATCCAGTTACGTGATTGTATTTAATTATTTTGGCGAAACTAAAAACGATTTAATTTTGAATTGTCTGGTATCTGTGATCAACAGTCTTATAAATTCTTCTCTTTTTTAAAGACCCATCCAAAGGACTACTGTTAATGTAATCAAGGATTATATCCTACCTAAATATTATCCCGTGGGGAAGTTTTACTCTAGAGTATAGTATCCTACCATAGTGCCACACTGGTATGGGTTCAAATTCACTGACACTAGAGAATTTCAACCCAGGGATAAAAAATAGGGTAGGATAATATTCACTCTTACATAAACATTATCACATGTCCTCAGAGTTCACAGGGGGCACGGCTGGCCAAGTCGTCTAAGGTGCTGCGATTTGCTGTGCAGAGTTGCGTCCCTTGGGCACGCCAGAAACCTATGATTGTGGGTTCGAATCCCGGTTCATCCCGATTATGTTTCTAGGTTTGTCAGCACCATACCCGTGCTCGTGGGTTTCATCGAAGTGGTAAACGTCTGAGACCTGCATCACTTCGGGCTTTCCTCCCACATTAAACTGACACGCCGCGATATAACTGGAATACTGTTCAAAGCGGCGTTAAACCCAACTCACTCACTCACTCACTCACTCACTCACTCACTCACTTTTAGATTCACACCGACGATCCTGGTGAGGAAGATGGCTGACTCTGGCCAAGACCTTTGACTGGTGATAGATCTGACCTTTACGGCGTTAAACCCAACTAACTCACTCACTCACTCAGAGTTCACAGCTTGTCCAGCTTGAACGAGACAACACTGTTTACTATGTATTACATAGTCTGGCTGTTTTATCAGTTCCAGTTTGTATCAAAACTGAAGCACTGAGAACTGGTTCAGAATTAAAGCCCTCAAATGCTACCATCACTGGATTTTCACTTGTCCTCAGCACAATTTGGTAGTCTTTGGCTAGAGGACTAGCATGAATTTCGAGGGCTTGTAAACTTCGACATCATGATAATAATAATAAAAAACTGATGGGGATAACAGATGTAGAACTCTGTGAGCTCCGATGGGTATCGGAAGTCCTACCATGTTCTCTTGACTCGGACACTCATATACTCTCGACGGGTCAGCTCCGATGATCGAGTTGCAGCCACCCTAAAAAGTAGCAGAAATCATTAAGCAGTATGAAACTTAAAAGGATAAGTTAGAACTCTACAATAGAGAATGATTCACAGAATCCTCATAACAAAATCATTTTAAAATAGGCATCAGTGATGTTAACCTTCTATAACAATGACATAGAGACTCTTGAACACCTTTTGTTTCAATGTTGGAAAGAAAGCCATTCAACAGCTCAAGCTGCACATACAAAATCAGTAAAGCTTATACTTGTTTAGATATTGGTATCCTGTTTGGAGACCCCCAAGGGCAGCATTATGGTGAATCACATTTTTATTTTCAAGCACGTATAAAGAAAAAGGTCAAATCTCTTCCCCCTGTGTATCTTATTTGTCTCCATCTAATGTATCAATTTGGCATAATAAATAGGGGCATCCCCCCCTGGTAGCGACTATTCACTCTCCTGGTAGCGACTTCACTCTCCTGGTAGCAACTATTCACTCTCCTAGAAGCTACTATTCACTCTTTCTGTTGATTTCTCCTTTTTGTCTTTCTCTATAGCCTTTCACCTATGCATTCTATCTTAATCTTTTTAGGTACAATTATTAAGGTTGTTGTATAGGTACATAAATCATATTGCAAAATTTATAAATGTAAGGGTCACCTCAGCCACTCGGGTCCCTCCCAGTTCATGTTTATTTGTGGCTCTATACTTTGAAGTGAAAAATGTATTTAAAAATAAATAAATATTAAGGATAAGTGTCAATGGATCCTTGTCATAATTTTAAAGTTAAAGGTAAAAAGAATGTTGTTTTAGATTTAAATATTACAGCAGATAATCTGAGGGACCCCCTTAATTTTAAACACAGTGACGGCTATGTGAATAATTACAAACCTGTGTATGTTGAAACCAGAACTAGATAAAAAGTAAATAAAATAGTTATTAACTTCATTATGGAGAAACTGGATGGCTGTTCAAAAGTGTAAACATCAGCTGATATGTCTGCAGTCTACTGACTTCCTGCAAATTGCTGTTTTTCAAAAAGAAGAAAAAAGGACTAGCCCCTACCCTTTTGGGGATCTACTTGAATAGGAACAAAGAATATTGATTGATTGATTAACTGATTGATTGATTTTGCCTTATTTAAGCCAAAGAAACTGAATGGATTTGAACTCTTTAACCGTGCAAACAATTTCCCAATTGTAATTTACTGGTTTGGGGATTTTTTTCTGCATTCAGAATTCAAACTTCTGATACGAAACTCACAAGCAAGGATAGAAATGTATTTTGGGTGGAAGGTTTTCCAATATAATCATTATGATGGGGACTAGTGAGTAAAGTGCGTTATTGGTTGCTTCTACCTCTCCTTGGGACCTCAGATCTGTGGATGATGTCTATGGCTACCATACCAAAGACGACAGGACCAGTAACCAAAAGCATCAGATATGACAACTCACCACACAATACCAAATTTTCCACCTCGCTTCTGCAGAATATCATGACTGTAAAACATGATCAGCTCTCAGTGAACCGTTTCTGGATGTGAAAAGCTGGAAAATTAATGTCATAATAAATAAATAAGTAAATAATGCAACTGAATCTGTCACTCTTTTTATGAGGAATGACACAACATACACCCAATTATTGATCTGTTAAAATGGTGGCTACAGTATTGTACATATAGCTACATCACTGAACATGTTTATGGTGCCTATATTTACTAATTTAGGCCTACAATGTGTGCAGGCCCTATGTAGATTCGATGGTTTGTGCATAGCCCTTAGCATAAGCAAATGCATTACATGGCACAAATATTTACTAGCAATTTACTTTTAACGAGCAGACATACATATTAGATGTAACTTCTTGCTGAACAGATTTGGACGGATCGAATTCCCACAGACATGCAGAGTAATCCAACACATTCGAAATATCAAATTTCCCGCCAAAAAACATTAATCGTTAGGAGCGCGAGACTAAAAAGTTGGTATCCGGAAATGAAATGGAAGAAATTGAACATGGTTTATAAATTCGAGCAAGGGAATAATATATACTTGGCTTTTACAAGACGTTAAAGAATGTTTTTTAATAAAGTCACCGATGCTATTTACTTCAGCTATAGATGAACATATTTATATAGTTTAATTTCTAAACCCATTAAATAGTTCTACTTTTGTAACCTACAGACAATAAACGTGCGCTTACTCTACTTCCGGAGCCACACGTTTCCGTCTTGAAAAAGTAAAGTGAAAATAGGTTTCTCAGAACTTAGATTACGCGCGTTTCAAAATAGGTTTGTTGCAACACATTTCGTCAGAAGATTTACATACTTCAAAATGCCGCTACCAGACAGGTAAGTAACTTAGGGCCCAGTAATTTGAAATTATTCTTTCGATATTTTATTGAAACTGTGAAAGACAGCAAATCACGACGATGTTAGGACTAGGGCCTAGATGATACCGACGATAGCCTGCTGAGGGATACGAAGTAATCATTATCATTACTATGGAAATAAACGAAATACGAAATCCGACATGGTGTGAATGCCACTAGGTTCTTTTATTTTGCAATATAAATACATTATCCAGAATCAGCAATAGCCTTTTCTTCGCGATTAACACAAAAAGAAAAAAACACTTCCCAGATGCAGCATGTTCAGGTTTGTCAATATTTGTTTTCAGACATCCCAAGTGAAAACACCTAAAATAGACAATATTGAAGTCTCCCAACCTGAAACAAGGGCCATGGCCACACAATCTGCCTTTACAGTGTGGTGTTAGTGCTAGGCATAGGCTATTTTGTCAACAATCATAATCAATAATGATGTAGTTTTGACACTTTCGCATACCATTAAATCTTGTCCGCTGAAAAGATTAGAATCTGAAATGTTTTTGTGGCATTGCGTAGCACTAACACAAAGGTTAGTGATGAGGACAGTTCCAAAGTTCGAGTTAGTCATATGGAGGACTGCCTCCCAGTTTGGGAAAAGCAACATCACAGGAGTTAAAGGGTAGTTCTTGTACTTCCTTCGGTCGTAACTTGTAATGTTCATCACAAATGACTTTTTTTGCTTGTCATTAAAATAATACAGGAATGTTACTGAAATACAGTTTTAGCTAGCATTAACGCATTAAGCCATACTCATTTTTTACAAAATATGATCCTACTCTAATCTGTACCATATCAATTTCTGTGTAATTTTGGCAAATAAAGTTATATTCTGCATTGTTTTGGCAAAGAGTTCAGTCCTATCTTGTGTATATCATACTGAGCAGACACAAACATAATCCTGATGATAAAACTGCCCAGATCATTTCCCAATTTGCAGTCTGAGTTTTGTTGATTGAATAATTATATCATAATGTTAAGGTGATGTTTTCACAGGTGGATCCAGAGGGGCCTCCTAGGGGGTTCAGACCCCCTTTTTGAAAACCAAATGTAGTATGTTGTAGGCAGTAAAATTATCTGAGAGATGATTTTGATATTTTGGACCTCCCTTTTAAAAATGCTGGATCCTCCCTTGATGTTGATCATCTTTACTGTGAAATACCCAGGAGAACTCAGATTGCTCATAGATATTTGTTAACTGTTTCAGATGGGAAAACTACACAGCCCTTGGTGGTGTCATCAAGGGCACCAGGATCGTGTGCTTCAAGGTGCCACTCAAAAATGTAAGAGACTCTCATTGCCAGATAGCACGATCATCAGGCTCACAATTACACAACTGGCTATCATGGTTAATTTGTTTTAGTAAAAAACACAAGTTTTCCATTGTTAAGAGTAAACCTCCTTCAACATGAGTCAGTAACTTTCTCAAACATGCTTAATTTACATGACCTATGGGGGGCGGTCGGGTAGCCTAGTGGTTAAAGCGTTCGGTCATCACGCTGAAGACCCAGGTTCGATTCCCCACATGGGTACCATGTGTGAAGCCCATTTCTGGTGTCCCCGCCGTGATATTGCTGGAATATTGCCAAAAGCGGTGTAAAACCATACTCACTCACTACAGTCATATCAAGTCTACGTTTCTGGTCTCGTTAACCATGTGTGTTTGATGTTGTCTTAGGCACACGTGAGTTTACCCAGTCAGGTACGGGTTGCTGAGGAGTGTTGATTATCTGTTCCTTGTCACTACATGACCTATGGCCGTGGTCTCTGATTGATAATCACTTTTGACTTTATTGCAGGCTTTGGTTGAAAAGTTACCACAAAAGGAAAAGTGAGTTTTTTAAATGAAACTGTCTCTTAAAGACGAAACATTTTCTTCTTCGAACATTGTTTCTCTTGAAAATATGTGAACCTACCAGCTTTGTTATATTGGTAGTGCCTTGTTCTGTTCAACGTTCATGTAATTATATTGGTAGTGCAATGTTCTGTTGGTCATGCTGGACGTGCCATAGATACAAATTAGTGAAAGCACGAAACTAATAAATTGTGCTGAGGACAAGTAAAAGTCCTTCATGATTGACTCTAGCAGCTAGCCTGAGACTGGTATGTTGTGCTGAGGACAAGTAAAAGTCCTTCATGATTGACTCTAGCAGATAGCCTGAAATGGTATGTTGTGCTGAGGACAAGTAAAAGTCCTTCATGATTGACTCTAGCAGCTAACCTGAGACTGGTATGTTGTGCTGAGGACAAGTAAAAGTCCTTCATGATTGACTCTAGCAGCTAGCCTGTGAATGGTATGTTGTGCTGAGGACAAGTAATAGTCCTTCATGATTGACTCTAGCAGCTAGCCTGAGACTGGTATGTTGTGCTGAGGACAAGTAATAGTCCTTCATGATTTACTCTAGCAGCTAGCCTGAGACTGGTATGTTGTGCTGAGGACAAGTAATAGTCCTTCATGATTGACTCTAGCAGCTAGCCTGAGACTGGCATGTGGTGCTGAGGACAAGTAATAGTCCTTCATGATTGACTCTAGCAGCTAGCCTGAGACTGGTATGTTGTGCTGAGGACAAGTAAAAGTCCTTCATGATTAAATCTAGAAGCTAGCCTGAGACTGGTATGTTGTGCTGAGGACAAGGATGGTGGTAGTCCTCAATGACCAGCAGCATTTGAGGGCTATAATTATACTCACTCATAATGAAGCATCATGGAATTAGTTCAACAGATGAAAGGCAACAGGTGCACATTCACTAAGGTTAGAACTTAGATATACATATCAAGCTTCATGCCTACCAGTTAATGGAAGCAGGTTGTCGTAATGAGCAGTCCTCTTTCAGATTCAAGGGGGCACGGGTGGCCCAGTCTTCTAAGGCGCCGCAATTCGCTGTGCAGAGTTGCGTCCCTTGGGCTCGCCAGAAACCTATGATTGTGGGTTCAAATCCCGGTTCGCCCCGATTATGTTTCTAGGTTTGTCAGCACCATACCCGTGCTTTACCCGAGTTTCACCGAAGTGGTAAATGTCTGAGATCTGCACCACTTCGGGCTTTCCTCCCACAATAAGCTGGCACGCTGTGATATAACTGGAATACTGTTAAAAGCGGAGTTAAACCCAACTCACTCACTCACTCACTCACTTTCAGATTCACACCGACAATCCTAGTGAGGAAGATGGCTGACTCGGGCCAAGACCTTGGACTTGTGATAGATCTGACCTTTACCCGGAAATACTACAACACTCAGGTCAGACTGACGACGACTTGGGACAATTATCACCCGTCCTCTCATTCTGATACAGTAAACTACATTTTTAGCGACCCGAAAGATATAACAAACTTATGTTTGGGTCCCGGCCTTTTGCTGTGTATATATGCTGTACATATGCTTATAACAAACTTTGGTTATGACAAACTACTATTAGTGGTCCCTTTCAGTTCATTATAACCATAGTTTACTGTAGTTTTGTGCATTCAGATTTAGCTTCTTGTTTGTTGATAACTGGCCAGGTGACTGGCGAAAAGCTCTGAGGACAAGTAGTTTACTCCCAAAATGTAGTAAAGTTATATAAACATGATATACAAGTCAAAAATGTTTGTTGATGACCTGTCTACTCCTGTAACTATGGTGACATCATTACGTAACAGACTGATAACTTTAAGTTAGTTAGTTTTGTCACAAGAAAACTATAGGGCTGTTATGATACAACTACCTCCGAACACCTGATTTTTTTCATGGCTGTAGTTGATCTGTCCTGGCTGGTGGGTATTGCAATACAGCCTTTCAATTGTGGGTGTTCCTTTACTTGTTTTGAGTAGTATATATCCCGAGTCACGACATGATATGTAGGCAATCCTCAATGCACCATTCCGGCATGTAATTCTCCATGATATCAACACATGATCAATCAGTGTCTGTTTTCCTCTCGTAGTTTTATGCAATCAAATTTAGAAGTTTGTTTTGAGATGGGTGTCAAGTTTAAGTTAGCAGTTTTCGGGGGTATTGCAAAACTTTGTAATATGACTTTTTGAAATTGATACAGAATCAAAACATGAATCGATGCATGGGTAGGCGTATTATGTATCGTATCATTTGTAAATTTGCAATACATCAGTAAGATAGACTGGTGATTTGGGACACCCCAAGAAAGCTATTGTCCTTCATTAATCTAGAAAAGTGTGTTTGGTGTGTTGACAGGAGCTGACGGATAGGGGCGTCCAGTATGAGAAGATATTCACCAAGGGCCAGGAAGTCCCCAGCGACTTTGTCTTTGGCAGGTTGTTTGCTTCATCTGCTCATGGATTATTTACATTTTGCAATTTTAGCTCACCTGACCCAAAAGATATGGTGAGCTTATTACGCTTATGGATTCATCATGTTTATCGGCATTATTTATGAACTTGTTGATATGTCTCTTCAGGACCACCAGATGGATTGATTTGGAGTTTTTCTGACCGATTGTGTTGAAACATTATAATTTAAAATCAATGTGGCAACCATTGTTGGTTATATCGTTAGCAGCTTCTGAAGCATGATTACGTCTATAGGCATGGCCCTCTGTCTGTCCATGTATCTGTACAAAGAAGGTTGGTGACCTGTCTATCAAAGGTCAAGGTCTTCTCTGAGTTTTTTGCGAAACATGGTCATTCATTGCCAGTAACTGTTACTTGTACAATCCTGAGACCTGGGTAATCATTGAATGTTAGGGAGCTCTCTTGCTTAACATGTTTACGGTCAAAGTCTGGAAGTCCCTTTTTAAAACTTGAAGGACACAGTATATTAAACCAAATTTGATGAACTGTAAATTGTTTGTAATGCAGACACTTTTCCAGTTGACGAGAGGGTAAATTTGTGTTGGATTTACAGTTGATTATTCTTTTTCCAGATTTGCACACGTGATTGACGAATACTTGGAACAAAGTTCAGACAGCAGTAAGTAAATTATTTAACCAGTCACAGACTGACAGTGTCGTAACGTTTCATGTTGTGAAAATGCTAGTCTTGTGTTGATGTATATATAAAGTGCACATATTTGAGCTCATTTCTTCGTCTCATGAAATATGTGTGTGACTCATCAAGATTATGTGTGTGACTTGGCTTGGAGCATGTGTGACTGTAAAGTGTGTGAGATTTGTTCTGTGTGACTCCTGAATTATGTAAGCTGTATGTGTTTCAGCATCTGTGATTGGCGTCCATTGTACCCACGGTGTGAACAGGACAGGCTATATGGTCTGCAGGTATGGGATCTTGTTTGTTGTATCAGACATGTATTGATGACATTATATAGCATTCCAGCTAGGAGGTCAGACTCACTGATTTGAGAGCCTGACCACTCGATCCCGTTAGTCGCCTTTTACGACATGCATGGGTTGCTGAAGATCTATTCTACCCAGAATCTTGGCGACTATCAGGATAAGGTGGTCAGGCTTGCTGACTTGGTTGATGCATGTCATTGTATCCCAAATGCATAGATTGATGCTCATGTCAATCACTGTCTGGTCCGACTTAATTATTCACAGACCTCGTCATAGTGGGAAGTGAGGTGTTCAAGCTGGGAGTGCTGCGTTAATCACCAACGAAACAATGCACTCCATAGGTGGATTTAGGCTAAAAAATAATAGTCTTGGTTGTCAGGCACCTTCCGCATCATCATGAAGTCCACAGCACATTTTGTTTTTATTTCAATTTTCAACACACAACCTGACAGTGAAATGCTACAATACTTAGGAACAACATGATTTCGCTGAAATTATTGTAAACAACATTTGGTGCTATACCAGCTTGTACAGCCGAGGGTGACTGTGTTGTGTGTTTGTGTTTCAGGTATATGGTGGAGCGTCTGAGTATGACAGCTGACGATGCTATGGCAGGTGGGTACTTATCTTGTCTAGTTCCCAGTGTAGGAATTAGTTGCCCAAGTTCACTGGCCCGGAGGTCTTGCAAACCCTCATCATATTTTACCAGCCCCAAACACTTTTGATAAACTTCGACATGAAAACAAAATGACAACAGACTTTGACATTAAACATTTGCCTTACTGACATGATGATGAAATAAATTTTATAACTTATCCTTTCCCACACTATTTACTGAATTGTATTGACTACAGTTTTCAACTAGACAGTCGGGCCATCCTTACTGAAATGTGACTTGCCCAATTTATAAGTCACTGGCATTTGGCTAGCAGGCAGCTATTTTGAACACTGCTTGTACTGCTAATGCAGAGAACTCCTTACAGGGGTACACAGAACTCCTTTCAGGGATACATAGAGCTCCTTACAGGGGTACACTGAACTCCTTACAGGGGTACACAGAGCTCCTTACAGGGATACACTAAACTCCTTTCAGGGATACACAGAACTCCTTACAGGGGTACATAGAGCTCCTTACAGGGGTACATAGAGCTCCTTACAGGGTTACATAGAACTCCTTACAGGGGTACACAGAGCTCCTTACAGGGATACACTAAACTCCTTTCAGGGATACACTGAACTCCTTTCAGGGATACACAGAACTTCTTACAGGGATACACAGAGCTCCTTACAGGGGTACATAGAGCTCCTTACAGGGGTACATAGAGCTCCTTACAGGGTTACATAGAACTCCTTACAGGGGTACACAGAGCTCCTTACAGGGATACACTAAACTCCTTTCAGGGATACACTGAACTCCTTTCAGGGATACACAGAACTTCTTACAGGGATACACAGAGCTCCTTACAGGGGTACATAGAGCTCCTTACAGGGGTACACAGAACTCCTTACAGAACTCCAGATCAGCTGGAGTAAAATATGCACAATGAAGCCAATTAATGTTGAGTTGCTTTAGTAAAAATAGGCATGAAGAACAATTAATATGAACAATGATATACAGTAATGACACTGCATCATTACCCAGTGTAGCCTTTTCAGCCTCCGTACCTGTATGTGTTTTCATATCTTTACTTACTGATGCCATCTTCCCGAGGCAAGTGAGTTAACTGACTATAAAAGTCCAGTTTCCACCCTTGCCGAACTAGGCTGGTATTATGGAGTTACATTTTGGCTGGACTCACGAGTCTATACATAGTCCAATCAAAATCGCGCAACGAAATCTAAATCCGGTTAGTAAACTGTGATGGAGATTTCGATGGATTGCAGGATTTGCAAAGCATTTACACTGCCAGCTCATTTTCAACAGATATTTTCTTAATCTATTCAGGTTTTTAATCAAGGTGCTCACGTGATTTGATGCAGTTTGCGATGTAAGATACGTTTTTTCACAATATATATCTTGATTATTGATCAGATCGGTTGACTGGGGGCCGCCATTTTGTTTCAAGCAAATGCAAGTGATACGAGAGGTGGAATCTGATTGGTCCATAGGGAGAGGCATAGAAGGGACATAACTCATAACATTCACTGGTAGCGCTACGATAGAGCCCAGAAATTCCAGCCTACTTCAGCAAGGGTGGAAACTGGACTTTTAAAGTCAGTTAACTCCCTTGCCTCGGGAAGATGACTCATGCAGGCATCACGTATATATACTCACCGCCAAAAGAAATGCGAATCATAGTTTTTGGTTTGTTGTTTAACGCCACACTCAGCAAGAATCAGCAAGAATATGACAGCGGTCTGTAAATAATCGAGTCTGGACCAGACAATCCAGTGATTGACATTATGAGCATTGATCCACAAAATTGTGATACAGTGACATGCATCAACCAAGTCAGCGAGTCTGACCACTCTATCCCGTTAGTCGCCTCTTACGAACAAGCATTGTCATCTTTTTGCTGAAGACCTATCCTACCCCAGACATATAGAGAAGTATGTACATTAAGAAGAGATGTTTCCAGTGGGTACCACTTAATGACAGAACTAACAATCAGTCAAGTGTCGCCACAGAGTGTCTGTTTTTTTTCACGATATGCTGCACGTGATTTCCAAACTTTTCATGCTAATCCTACACAAGGCGAATAGTGCATCTCGAGTCATGGGTGTATGACGTCACATGTGAGGTGTTCATGAGCATCGGTTCACACAACATAACAGTATGTTCATTTGTGCATTGAATCAATCTAATATCTCTTGAAAATGAGTAATTCTTCATATATGAACCAACATCTATGGTATTCGCGTTTCTTTTGTCGGTGAACTTATAAAAGTACAACGTCACGTTTATTGTAAGGGGCGGTCGGGTAGCCTTGTGGTTAAAGCGTTTGCTTGTCACGCCGAAGAGCCGGGTTTGATTCCCAACATGGGTACAATGTGTGAAGCCCATTTCTGGTGTCCCCCGCCGTGATATAGCTGGATTATTGCTAAAAGCGGCGTAAAACCGTACTCACTCACTCACTCACGTTTATTGTAACTTAGACATGTATCCTTGTTGTGAACTTTAATGTGTGACATGACCCTTGGGGCATTACATTGGCAGATGCAAATTAGAAGTCACCTGAAACAGATGTATAAGCAGAATTGTGATTATAAAAGGTTCTCTCATTTGATTGGGGAGTAAAAATATATTGAATACCCTATGAAAATTATCAATACCCAATGTGAATGATAACAAGTCAGTAAATACTCAATAGCTCCAACAAGTATCTGGAGCTCTGGGTACATGTGCACTGCACATCTAAAGTTAACACAAGCAGCATCTGTTTCAGCCTTCAATGCGGCTCGAGGCCATGATGTCGAGAGGGAGAACTACATTGAGGACCTCCGCACCAGAACACCGTGAGTGAAGCAGTTCAGTATGGAATGCATTGAGTGGGAATAATTTCAAGTTACATCCACTGTGACTAAATTATTTAAAAAATAAGCGACGTTGTTTTATCGTACAATAAAACACTGCAGGGAGAATATAGCATGACAGGCGCAAACCCAAGTTTATTCTCCAAGCAGTGAATTATTGTACAATAAAAGATGACCACAAATCTTTTATTTCTTACATGAGAAACATTATTTACAGCCTCTTCATGGATGATGATAAAATGGACAAGCATTAAAAATCTTTACCTGCATTTAAATAATGATGACTCCCTGAATAGAATTTGACACGTGGCAGTGTTGGAGAAGTCCATTTGGGGTGGCCCAGTCGTCTGAGGCGCCGCGATTCGCTGTGCAGAGTTCACTCTCACTATTGGAAGCTATTGTTTCTATCTACAGAAATGATGTCATGATAGAACAATGTTTTATCCTGAAATAAAACCACGCTTCTTAAATAGATAATTCAAGCTATGTAATGGGTAGATAGGCAGGTGGGCCCAGTCTTCGCTTGTGCGTGCAAGAAACTAATGACTTTGGGTTCGAATCCCAGATTTGCCCTGATCATGTTTCTAGATTTGTCAGCACCATACTCCATGGCCCAGTCATCTAAGGAGCCACAATACTGCTGAACAGAGTTGCATTACTTTGGCATGTCAGAGACCTATGATCGTGGGTTTGAATTGCGCTTCACTCCGATTATGTTTCTAGGTTTGTCAGTACCATACCCGTGCTCGTGGGTCCCCCAAAGTGGTAAACGTCTAAGACCTGCATCACTTGCGGCTTTCCTCCCACATTCTGCATCTGACTGAACTCTCTCTGCATTAGGCTCTTACTTATGAGGGGCGGTCGGGTAGCCTAGTGGTTAAAGCGTTCGCTCGTCACGCCGAAGACCCAGGTTCGATTCCCGACATGGGTACAATGTGTGAAGCCCATTGCTGGAGTCCCCCGCCTTGATATTGCTGGAATATTGCTAAAAGCTGCATAAAGCCATACTCACTCACTCACTCATACTCGCGAGTTTCACCTCCCGCATCAAGCTGACCCAAACTCATTGATGCAAATGTGACATGGGATTATCATCATGTGACTATTTCTAACAGTCAAATTTCTTGCTTCTTCTTTGCAGAGGCAAGAAAACCCCATTTGATCCATCTGCCACTCCCCCTGAGGATAGCACACCTGACTATAGCAACAAGAGGATGACGGACAAGCTCTCACAACCTGGGTACAAGGCAGATAACTCCTACAGTAAGCTTCTGGAAAAACATCGTGGTCGCTATGACAACTGGAATTCCAACAATTCAAGGCAGAAGCAGAATGAGAGAGATCATGAGATGAGGCCTCACCGTGGTCAGCAATGGAACGATGACAGAAGGTCGCAACCATGGCAACAGAGACATGGTGATGGTGGTGGCTATTCAGGGAATGGCTATAGTGGTTACCAGGGCAATGACAGTGGCAGGCACCAAGGTTACGGAGGTTACCATGGCAACAGCTATGGTGGTTACAATGGAAATGGTTACGGTCAGTCCAGTCACTATGATAACCACGATTATAAGGGTCGCCGTGGAGATCGTAGTCAGCATAATGATTATTCTTGTGATGGAAACTATTCGTTCGATGTGGACTTTTCTCAAAAGGAAGGCCACGGACAGAAGGGTAGCCACAGTAAAAACAGCGCATATATTAAACAACATCGGAGCTATGAGGACTACCGAAGCCCGGTAAAATATAATGATTGGGCAGATGATGAAACAGATCGGTACGCCAAGAGTGGGTGGAGCAGCGGTCCTAGGAGAGGCGGGCGCAACCCGGGGGGGTACAACCGAGGGGGGAGGAGGTGAAGCTGTGACCCGCTGGTGTGACCAAAGACTGCCTGTGATGACATCTTCATACATTATCCTTGTTTGTAACTGTCTGTCGATGTATATCCATTTGTGTAGAGGAATCTGCTTGTGTTAGAAATGCTCATGAGAACAGAGTGGGGAGAAAAATATACACATTTCCTGTGAAGTTCCCCTGTGTATTGGGCATAAACCTATTCCTGGCCCTCAGGCATCGGCAGCCACCATATGACAGCATCTGCTTTCATGGTGAAATGGGGGGCACGAGTGGCCCAGTCGTCTAAGGCGCCGCGATTCGCTGTGCAGAGTTGCGTCCCTTGGGCACACCAGAAACCTATGATTGTGGGTTCGAATCCAGGTTCGCCCCGATTATGTTTCTAGGTTTGTCAGCACCATACCCGTGCTCGTGGGTTTCACCGAAGTGGTAAATGTCTGAGACCTGCGTCACTTCAGGCTTTCCTCCCACATCAAGCTGACACGCCGCGATATAACTGGAATACTGTTAAAAGCAGCGTTAAACCATACTCACTCACTCACTCACGGTGAAATGGAAAACCAGGAATCTGGTAGCTCACTTGTAACCAGAAGACACCTTGTTGCATGACTACACTACCTGAGTATCAATTGAGCGAATATCTTAAGCCACGGAAGAAGAATTATGTTGTATGTACCATTATTTATTGTATACATGGAATGTGAATCAAATGGTAACAAACAGGTTTGCTGGCGCATGGCGACATTTAAAACCTGAAAAGCAACATTTGGAATTGATGTCATTTTGTTTTTAAACAGATCTTAACAAAAGCTTCCGAAAGTTGCTTGATGTTGAATATTGAGTTTATACAAGGCTGCCGGTGAGCATGTGTATCATGGTTAGATTACAGCTTTCACAATTGATTCTAGCAGCTGGCTGAGACTTGTGATGAGGACAAGGGTCCTCATTGACTCGTAGCATTTGAGGGCTATAATTCTGAATCAGTTCTCAATGCTTCAATTTTGCTAAAAATCAGAACTGAAAAAAAACTGAGAGAAAATGTAAATATAGACCAGCTACACTCTAAGGACTAGAGAAATAAGGTTTACACTCGGTACGTCTTGAAAAAGAGGAATTTCTGGGCTGTATTACTAGAATGGGAACAATAATGGAGACTAATACCTCTTTGATTTGCATTTGATCGGCTGTTGTTGAACTTTTGATTGGCTTAAGAGTCTTTCAAAGGTATTTCCAAGCTATAAATATGTATTACTATGTGTAACATTCAGTGGACTCCGACATTTTGCCAATATAACGATAACATTGTTTGTGATAGTTTTGTTTTTTGGACTCATGGTGGATGCATCTTCCCAAAGCAAAGGATTTAACTGACTGTAAAAGTCCAGTTTCACCCTTGCTGAAGTAGGCTGGAACTTTTGGGATCTATCGTAGTGCCAGCAGTGGCTATGAGTTATGTCCCTTCTATGTCCCTCCTATTGACCAATCCGATTCTTCCTCTCATAACACTTGCATTTGCTTTAAACAAAATCATGACACCCAGTCAAGACGATCTGATCGATAGTCAAAACCTGTATTGCAATAAAACAGGTCTTTTTTTTGCGAAGAGCATTAAATCACGCGAGCACCTTCATTAAAAACATGAAAAGATTTGGAAAATATCTGTTGACGCAGAGTTTTCGGCAGTTAACGAAGTGGATGTCGATTTCGTTTCCATGATTTTGATTGGACTATGTATAGACTCCAGTCAAGATATAACTCCAGCCAAGTTTGGAAAGGGTGGAAACTGGACTCTTATATAGTCAGTTAACTCCCTTGACTTGGGAAGATGTGGTGGGTGCCGAGTCAACTCACGATACATTAGTTGATGACTTCACGGATATGCCTACGTTTTTGTACGAATCATTGTGTCACCTTACATGCAGATTGTGATTTTTTATTTCTAAAGGATCTTGCATTGTTGCTTCCGCCATCAAGAATATTTCTTTCATATGTCAACAGCTTTGCACCAGTCTGAGATTATTTTTGCTGATACATACCCAGTAAACCTTAGTAAACTCAAGTCTGTTGAACTAGTAATGGCTTGAAAATTCTTGTACATACTGTCAAAAAATAGTATATTTGAACAATTCTTTTTTGCATCACACAATATGCCCCTTACAAAAACCATTTTGTCATGACACAGTGTTGTGATGCTCAGAATCCTCCGTTAATCCTTGCAGACATACTTCTCGGGGATAACTTTGACAAGTCATAAATTGGTTTTCATCAAATCTGGTTTGAAGACGGCTCTTCATGAAAGACAGGTCAAATTAGGAGGCGAACCAGATCATGAGCTTAGCCAAATATTGTGTTTTGCATAACTTTAACTCAATGGACGAGACAAACTAAGATGACATGTCCTATTCAAGACTTTATTAGCAAGCTTATGGCATGAAATGATCCACACTGTGGGGGTACAACAACATATTAATTACCCAGGTCACACATCGTCTCCACCTGATGAACATTTTATTCGTCTCTCATGTCAAGCATGGGGTACTGAGTAGTTGTTCTGCCCAGATATACGCAAGGGGGCGTGAGGATATCAAATAGGAATAAACATGAGTGTTTAGGCCTTAAACATGTTAAATACAAGAAAAGACAAATAAAATGTAGTTTTTTTAAATGTATTCAAGTGTATGAATGTATGACCTGTTTTTTGGGAGACGTTCACATCACAGACAATTCCTGGAATATTGTTTGTTTGTTGGTTGTTTAACGCAGCACTCGGCAGAATTCCAGCTACATGACGGCGGTCTGTAAATAATCGAGTCTGGACCAGACTGTCCAGTGTTTGATATCATGAACATCGATCCATGCAACTGGGATAGGATGACATGCATCAACCAAGTCGGCGAGTCTGACCACGGGATCTTACTAGTCGCCTCTTTCGACAACCATCCAGTTGTGGCCACAATGGGTTGCTAAAGACCTGTTCTCCACCCGGATCTTCACGGGTCCCAGGAATATGGAGACATGTAGCAGGTCCAAGTGGCAAACTCTTCACTAATGGATCAACACTTCAGTTCATGTCAGGTCTATACATACCTACTATATGTAGGTTTCCAGTTGTGAAGTGAGTGAGTGAGTCGTGTGTAACGCCGCTTTTAACAGTATTCCAGTTATATCACCGCGTGTCAGCTTAATGTGGGAGGAAAGCCCGAAGTGATGCAGGTCTCAGATGTTTACCACTTCGGTGAAACCCGAGAGCACGGGTATGGTGCTGACAAACCTAGGAACATAATTGGGGCGAACCGGGATTCGAACCCACAATCATAGGTTTCTGGCGTGCCCAAGGGATGCAACTCCGCACAGCGAATCGCGGCACCTTAGACGACTGGGCCACCTGTGCCCCCAGTTGTGGAGTGGGTTTTGCTGTAGACAGAGTATCCAATGGTCCACTTTTAATTACATGCACTTTCTGGATGTGGCAGAGGTTAGGGTGGCCCAGTCTAGGTGCTTCATTTTCACTGAGCATAGCTGCTTCACTGTCATGCCAGAAACTTTTGACCACCTCTATGGGCTAGCGTTCGCAGCGGAAAGTCTGGGGTTTGATCCCCACCAACATCATACCAAAAAATGTTACCCTGCCTGGTGCTCGGCATTAAGGGGTTAAAGCAAGGACTGGTTGGCGTGAAGTCACTATACCGTGTCTGAGTGGGGTATTCATGTTAAACTGGGGCATGGTATCTCAGTGGGCTAGCACTATAAAATTGGCATTAGTCCGGACTCTTACAAGCAGCCAAACCTGCACGCACGCACACACACGCACGCATTAATGTCGCTATATAAGTGCAATAATCTTGACTGCAACGTTAAACTCCATTTCACCTCGACTCACCAGAAACCTCTGATAATGTGCTCGAAATCCAGAGACGACCAAATTGTTAATATTCTGGTTTGTCAGCCCCACATTCATGCATTTCACCAAAGTCATTAACATATAAGATTTACATCACTTCCAGCCTTCCAAATTCATGCCAGTCCGCTCGCCCAAGATTACTATAAATTGTGCAGAGGACAAGCAAATATCCAATGGACAGGTAGCATTTGAGGTCTTTGACTCTCAACTTTGCTACAAATTGGAACTGAATAAAACTATGTAAACATTTTGTCTCGTTCATGCAGGACAGACTGTCAGAACTAGATATGTGGGCAGTTTCTGCTAAAAAATATCAAACATTGTATAGTCTGATTACAGCCAAATCAGGCATATATGTCTATGATGTAATAATGGTATGGTATGCAAAGGAATCATGACGTTAACACTAGTCCTCTGGACCAGGCTTTATAAAAACAAATTTCCACGGCTGACTTCAGGTTTTTCTTTCACTCCAAGCAGACACGATGATATAATTGAAATACTGTTCAAACAGCTTTCAACTCACTCACTCACTCACTGTTGAATCAGCATTCTGGACCACATGAAGTTGACATATGACAACACATGGCCATTGTTGGTGGAAATATTTATTTCTCATGAAAATAGCCAATTCTTACGTACATGGCAGTTAATCAGTCCTGGATGGCGACAGGTTGAGGTAATCGGGTAGAGGCTGGGGAAAGCTAAACAGTTTGTACATATCACAATGGCAAAATATTTAAAACAATGTACTCACATCAACTCATTACTGTACAATTAAACTAATGTAGAGTTTGAGTAAAGAAATTCATCTGGCATAAAATGACAACCTGACAAAAAATATGTCCTTTTATGTTTTTAAAATAAGTCAAATTGAGACTTTTTCATTAAGTATGTATAAACATTCAAATTCATTGGTAAATGTTCTAAACCCAACAATTCATGGTGGACAAGGAAAAGCAGCCAGATGCTAACATCTGGAAAAGTTCATTCAGTTTCTATGAATGCATAACACAAATAATTTCAAGCAACTTCAAAGCTCTTTATTGAGGCTTAGTTTACGTTAAAAAAATTATCTCTGAGATCAAACCCAGTTGAATGTTCTAACTTGACATCAATAAATGTCCACACATACACCATGTAGTACACTAACTGAGCAGCAGACGTGCATTACATTATGTCCAGAAGTCTGGGATGGTTCACTCCCATTATGACTACTGACAAAGGGGCGTAAAATGAGCCTACCTATAGATTAATGGACTAATCCAGCCATCATCTTCTCTCTGCCCATACATCGATGTACACAATGTCTGATGAGAGATGTTATTTCTAATGTATTGTTTATTCTTATGTTCTGTATTTTCACAACAATCACAGAGAATACCTGACTGTTCCGGTTTTCACAATAGCAGTAAAAACGAAAACGGAAAATGCAACAAAATCTATGTTTACATTAGTGAAGAAGTACGAAAAATGAACTTGCATCTTGATTGTATACCATCAGCATTTTGCCCCGATTTTAATGTATGGTTCGGAAATATGTGAATTTGAAAATACAAACATTATTGAAAGGGTATATTTAAAATTTCTGAAAATTGCAGCCAGTATTTGTACGTCAACACCAAATTTCATGGACTACGGTGAATTTGGAAGAGAACAACATTAAACTTAAATGCTTATATGTTCTACGCAATGGCTGGCTTCAAAGGTAGAAGAAATATTTAAAGATGAATATCTGCAAAATCAGTGCAGCTCTAATATGGAAAATTGAAAGGGCTTGAACCACAAAGAACATCTTTTGAAAAGTATTTCTACTAAAACTAAAATTTCTCCAGCAGTTAATTATGTATGTATATTCCAAAATCAATGGCCTGATGGCCAAATGTGTACAAATTTTTAAAAAAGTTCTGATCCCAGAAGTGAAAAATTTAAATAATCTTTCAAAAAATGTTAATGTGTTGTTTAAACATGTTGCTACTGAAACATAGTTGCCAGTTAACTTCAAACAGATGAATACATGAATACACAAATCAATAAATGAATAAATCAAATGAATACTACAAGGAATCTGTTGTCTTTTCCCCATTATGACTGCTCCATAGTGACTGGTGATAGTGTTCAGACACTGAACCATGAAGCCTGTGTAATGAAACAGTAGTCATAGTGGGAAGCCACCCTGGGATGACTCGAGACACTGCACACAGTATTTACGGTACTGGTATTTTACACGATCCGTGAAGATCTGGGGTAGAATAGGTCTTCAGCAACCCATGCTTGCCGTAAAAGGCGACTATGCTTGTCGTAAAAGGCGACTAATGGGATCGGGTGGTCAGGCTCGCTTACTTGGTTAAAACATGTCATCGATACCAATTTCGTGGATCGATGTTCATGATTTTAATCACTTGCTTGTCTGGTCCAGACTCGATTATTTACAGACCGCTGTCATATAGCTGGACTATTGCTGAGTGCGGCATTAAACAACAAACCAACCAACCAATGGTACTTTACACATAGGCAGAGAGGTGGTGAGTCCAAGAGCATGGTATCCTGGCTTTGTACACATGGTGTACATGGTGTGTATACACCATGTACACAATCTCAATAAAATCAGATCTTAGTTTTAGCTACCGCTAAACAAAGATCTGAGGACATCCCATTACGGGTCACGTCAGAACGACCTTTCACACATTTTGACCAACCAATGAATGACTGACAAGAAATCAACATTAGCCAATCAGAAGGCAGCTTTCTCGAGCTTTACGATTTTAGTTTCAAACTAGCGACTACGCTTCAAAACATATTTTGACATATTCTCGATTAAAAAAATTAAAACTGATAAGAAGAACATTCTGGAATGGCTTATAGATGGTTTAGATTGTATTGATATAATCATAAAACCTGTAACTGTTGTTCGGAATACCCTGTGTTAAATATTTCATGGTTGCATGATTAGAAAACACATTCCGACTGTCCCTTTCATGATCTGGTAAGTGACGCTCTGATTGGTTGGATGAAAGGTCGTTCTGACGTGACGCTTAATGGGATGTCCTCAGATCTTTGTTCAGTGATAGCGAGAACTAAGATCAGATTTGAATGAGATTGGTGTATACACTACGTTTCTCCATCACCCGTAACACATACTTCTCTTTGCAGTGTAGATGCTATTTTTAACCAACAAATCAAGTCAGGGTCTGGTTCCAGCCAGAGAGAAACCACAGACTGCTTCGACCAATGAGCTCTCAGTGGACAATGCAAAAATGGCAAAAGTTCTTGTATAACTAGCAATATTCGTTCATGCTCAACACTGCACTCAGCAATATTCCAGCTACATGACCGAGGCGTGTAAATAATTGGGTCTGAACCAGACATTCCAGTGATTGATATCATGAGCAACGAATCCACACCTTCGGGGAAATCCAGTGATGGATTTTATAAACAAGAATCCACGCCGCTGGGGTACGATGACACACCCCAAGCCGGACCACCCTGTCCATTTGGTCGCCTCGTACAACCAGCAAAGGCTTCCGGAGACCTATTCTGACTTTGAACCACCATGGGGGCAATGGTCGGGTCTGGACATCGTTCAACAGGCGAAAGGCTCATTTCACTCTGGGAGTCATAATTGGCCTCATTTCATTAGCTGAGTGAAAACAGACCCATCCCTGTTATACAACAAAGTAACTGCATACGTCAGGGGTCAAAGAGGAAAGCAGTGTATACAAAAGCACTGATGATGATTTGGGATACTGAACAGCATTTATTATTTTTTCACTGAACAGAAGGTATCCAATGGCAATAAACCAAATATGGGGTATAGCAGCCAAACTCCATTTCCAAACTGCAACAGATCAGGGGGATATGTAATCTCCTTATGACAATTGTTTTGAGAAGTATTTTCCAGGGAGTGATTCACATCAATATACTATTCGATAATACTGAAAAAGACAAAAGGCTAAACTCAAATGTGTCTTTCCAGACTGTATTTACTTTGACATGGACATATAATAAGTTCTGCCTCTCAAAGTGTGAGTAGTATACTTCAGTTTGCAAATTAACGCAAGTACTGAGTTTGAGGGATGAAGTACCAGACACTGACCTTGAACCTTTACAACAGGCGACATTGCATGCTTAGGTACCTGTACATTAAGCTATATACCTAGGATTACATCCATCATTGCACACTCCTTTATTCTGTCCATAACAACACCCTGCTGGCCTGTCAGTCCTTGCATCACACACAACAGGCCATGCTGGTTATATGACAAGCACATGGATGATACCACATAGCCACGTTAGCACTGGTCATGTGACCGCTGTGTCACCAAGCAAATGGATGAAGCCTTATGTGACTGCTGCATGACCATGCACAATTTACATAGCACTTGCCATGTGACCGCTGGTCACTCAAAGCGAGGTGGACGCGTCATACAGCACTGTTGGATGTTAAGCGCTGGTCAAGTGATAAAGCTGAGGTAGACAACACACTTGGCCCATGTGGTCAGCCTTCTTTATCCATGGCACACCCACCGACGGACCCGTCCCACATATCTTGCTTCAGCCGTCGGTCCTTGCGACGTTTCTCTGTAAATTAGAATCAATGAAAGTTGAAAGAATCTTCATCAACGTCAGCAGCATTCCAGCTATATGTTGGTGGAGTTCTTTCGTTCTATGGTGTATTCCAAACTGTAAGCCTTTCACAGCAACAAGTAAAGTCCACCGAAGTTTTGGTATTTTCACATTTTATTCCCGCCATCACTTGTCGTGCATCACCGGAAGTACTTCCACTACTATCAACCCGACTGAGCCAGGATATTAACGAAACCAAACAGTTAACAGGTGGCCTCAAGTCAAGACCACACTAACCTTTTAAAGCATGATCCATGCCACTGGGGTTCCATGTCATGCAATCCGACAAGTCACAGAACCAATCCTAAGTTTAATAACTTCTTTCAAGCATGAAATACCGGGTACCAATTCAAAGCCCACACTGAGTAAATTAGTACAAGTATACTTGATACCTATAGTAATACAGGCCATTTCCTGACAAATGTGTTTCATATTTTCACCTTATTATTTGTAATTCACAATTTAATCCCCTCCCCACCCAAAAACAACAGGTGCAAGTCCATGGTGCATCTGACACAAACACAATGACCTTGACCTACCCTTTGCCTCCTTCAGCTGTTTGCGCTCTTGTTCCCGTTTCTCTCTGGGAATCTGGGACTGCAGACCCAGGGCTCCAGACACCAGTCGGCGAGCAGCAGATGCAGACGTCTGAGGACGAGCCTTGTATGGCTGCAGGAACTCTGTGCAGACAAATCAATCATAACAATTAACTTCAAGTCAGGCAGAGTGAGTGACTGAGTGAGGTGTGTTTAAGGTTGCTTTGATCAGTGTTTCAACTACCCTTATCACAGTCTCACTAAAATCAGATCTTAGTGCTCGCTACCACTAAACAAAGATCAGGACATTCAGAAAGACTGTCCATGAATTTTGACTGACAAATGAAATGACTAACAAGAAGTCGACATTATCCAGTCAGAAAGCAGCTTCCATTCCAGACTATCTGAATGGATCTTTGTAATGAGTCTTGAGGCAGACCAGGGGTTGATAGCAACAGCAACAATCATCCGGGTTAAACATGACACACAGCCAATCTGATTACACATTGTAACCTTGCACAGCCAATCCTCCCTTCACACAATGTTGGTGGCGTTACAGTGATTTTAACATGCATGAGCATCCATAGAACTAACATATACAAGACATGTCAAGTCACATACAAGCTATGTCACATCAAACACGAGGTTCGTCAAACACACTTCCATTTCATGTAATAATTCCTACAACAACAACAGTGACCTTTGTTAACGCTTACCGCAATTCTTCTTAGCCTTGACCTTAGACTGGCGAGACGCCTCAGACAGACTCCGCACCTTCAGCATGGGATGGCTGTAACTCAGGGCATCTTGAGCTGGACAGACAGTTTTAAAAATATGCTGTTTTAGCTGTATACTTTTAGTTCCGGTAAGAGTATTCTGCTGAAGATGACAACTGTCCCTACAAGGACACCTGCATCTTTTACATCACAGTAATGCAGTAAGCATTAATCAAGTGCAGGGACTGGTCATTTATTACAGGTGTGAGTGTGTGTTTGTTGAGATAGGTCTTAGGACTATATCCTATTTGGATTGCCCCCTAACCCCCGTTTTTGGTAACATTTTTCATTTTCCACAAATACATATAACATTTTTCCTAGACCCCAAACCCCACCCACCAAGCCAACCACCCACCCACCCACACACACACCCACACCTACACCCACACACACACACACACACACACCACACACCCTTATAATAATTGACCATAACCAGACTCTAAACATTTACAACACGAGGCGAGGACATCTTGTCAAGGACCACACTGAAACACAATACCCTGTAAGATGGTGAAAGCTGTGTGGAATATCTATGTGCCATGTGTTCACGATCCATGATGATCTGTGTAGAGACATGACAAGGTACTAGGACATGCCTATGCAGCAAGCTACTTACCTGCAATGGGGCTGGCAAACACACCAAGAGCATGAGTATCGTCCACCCACTTGATGTCAAAGCCTCGAGACCTGCACAGGAGTTAACATAAAACTTACATTACTGGTTCTCCAATTTACAAGCACTACTTGGAAGAATTCACTTGCTGAATTAAACCTATACAAACAACAGATAGTTATGTCTCAAACAAATACTTGAATTCCTCCAGGAATTGTGCTTTTAGGCTTTTAGGTTTAGATGGTCCCCTAATCTTTCTTGTGACTCCACCAAGCTGGGTTCATGGGTTTTCTATGGAGATATTGAGACTCAAAGGCCTTACCATTGTTACTATTTCACTGGCTTCTATGGAGAACAGTGTAAACAAGCCTGTTGAAGTACTGATAAGGAGAATCCAAATAGATGCAAATTCAAAACCTTTCATAGTCACTACATGCCAAGTTGCATATGGAAAAAAAGCACTGCATATGCATAAAACTGATTTTAGCATTCCAACTCATCACTAATGAGCATATATACGTCATCAATCACTGTCATTCAAAATGTGGTTCTCATTACTTACTACTGATTAGTATGTTTCTAATAATATTACTGTCATTACTATGATAAATATCAGAATCTGATTTTGTTTAAAAAAAAGGTACAGTTGAAAGTCATATTGTCCTGCATAAGATAGCATACAGTTTCCTAGCAACAGAAAATATTCACAAGTTCATATTATAGTTTCTCCTTATTCCCAGATACTTATTCCCTGCATAAAGGAACAGATGCCCCACTGAGGGAGACCTGAGCCCACTTGCACAAAGTGAGCGAGTGAGTGAGTGGGGTTTTACGCCGCTTTTAGCAATATTACAGCAACATCACGGCGGGGGACACCAGAAATGGGCTTCACACACTGTACCCATTGCACAAAGTGATCTAAGTGCTAAGACGATAGTAACTGCCATACTTTTACACAGGCTTACAATAGTCGTAACTCGAAGAATGCTTTGTGCAAGTGGGCCCTGAACGTGTTCCTGTCAGCTGACTTATTTCAATAACATCCACTCACATGAAATCCTTAAAAGCAGCGATCAGATCCCGAGTCAGGAACTCGCCCGGGAAGTCGTAGATCTCAATCACGTGACCATACACTGGAACAGAGACAATCAATACATCACTGCAACAATGACAGCGATGCTGCAGCCACTGCATCAGCCCACACACATGCATCTCAACATGCTCAAGGTCAGCCAAATCCAACACCAGTAGTGCGACGATACACCGATGAATTGGCGGATCACGATTGTTTACTTCTCGATACAAGTATCGATCACAATTCTTAAATGTATTCTTTATAAATGTTACACTAAACACAAATTACTAGTTAAAATGAGTGGTGAAAACATAAATATTTTCATCCATTGCGCCACACTGCCAACTGTAAATCGTTAGTGTGCCAGGTATTTTGCCATCCTGTCTATGAAAAAGATGGCTTACGCACCACAGATAAGAGCACATGCAAGTATCATGATACATATGGGATCTTGATGAAGGTATCGTGATACGTATAGGATCGCACAATTGGTGTATCGTCCCAGCCCTAGTAATTACTGGTAAACAGGAACACTGGTTCATCAAGTAGGTCTTCCAAATATACAAGAAGTCAAAAGCATCTCTTTGTGTTTTACCTTTCTCTTATTTGCAGCTTTTTTATGTCTCACATGCTGAGACTTTTATTTAAGGGAATGCAATTATTTTCAAAATAAACCTATGTTCGCATAGGGTTTGACAATAAGACAATGATTAATAGTTTCTTGATTCTCAAATGAGCATCATGACATACATGATGTTTTCTCCAACATTCTGAAAATATACCACACATACAGTCAGTTATGTTAAGTTCTGTCAGCAGGGACTTTAAGCATGGAAGTATTGATCTTTGTACTGACTGTTCATATCCACGTCAGGTTCTTTGGGCTGGAAGTCGAGATAGTTGATCTTTGGCTTGTCGATCTTCACATTCCCCACATGGGCCGTCAGCTGCAAAAAACAACTTCCAGCTGTAGACATCACCAGTACTCCTTCACTAACACAAACCCCTCATTCACTGCTGGGTTATTTTCATTGATCTGATCTACGTCTAGCTGTAGACATCACCAGTACTCCTTCACTAACACAAACCCCTCATTCACTGCTGGGTTATTTTCATAGATCTGATCTATGTCTAGCTGTAGACATCACCAGTACTCCTTCACTAACACAAACCCCTCATTCACTGCTGGGTCATTTTCATAGATCTGATCTATGTCTAGCTGTAGACATCACCAGTACTCCTTCACTAACACAAACCCCTCATTCACTGCCGGGTTATTTTCATAGATCTGATCTACGTCTAGCTGTAGACATCACCAGTACTGTACTCCTTCACTAACACAAACCACTCATTCACTGTAGGGTTATTTTCATAGATCTGATCTACGTCTAGCTGTAGACATCACTAGAACTCCTTCACTAACACAAACCCCTCATTCACTGCTGGGTCATTTTCATTGATCTGATCTACGTCTAGCTGTAGAAATCACCAGCACTTCTTCACTAATACCCCTCATTCACTGCAGGGTCATTTTCATTGATCTGATCTACGTCTAGCTGTAGACATCGCTAGAACTCCTTCACTAACACAACCCCCTCATTCACTGCTGGGTCATTTTCATTCATCTGATCTACGTCTAGCTGTAGACATCACCAGAACTCCTTCACCAACACAAACCCCTCATTCACTGCCGGGTCATTTTCATTAATCTGATCTACGTCTAGCTGTAGACATCACCAGAACTCCTTCACTAACACAACCCCCTCATTCACTGCTGGGTCATTTTCATTCATCTGATCTACGTCTAGCTGTAGACATCACCAGAACTCCTTCACCAACACAAACCCCTCATTCACTGCTGGGTCATTTTCATTCATCTGATCTACGTCTAGCTGTAGACATCACCAGAACTCCTTCACCAACACAAACCCCTCATTCACTGAGGGTCATTTTCATTAATCTGAAATGTCATTCCAACAGTCTCTGTGTAACAGGTGAGTGAGTTTAATGCAGTTTAACGCCACAGTTAGCAATATTTCCAGCAAAAAAACAGCCAAGATTTTATTATTAGCATGATAGGAATAATGAATTCTTGGCCAGCAAACCACCATGCAAATAGTCCATAGGTATTTCATTTCTATGAAATCAGTACATCCAAATCAACTCAAAAGCAAATTTCAGGATGCCTACCTCCTCCATGACAGATGGGTCCAGACAGTCACCATTGTCATCAAACATCTTGTCCCATGAATCCTCCTCCTCATCCTGATCGGGGCTGGCTGGGTCAGCAAAGTTCTCTGCAGCAATAGCTTCAGCTTTCAGCTGCCTCTCCACTTCAAGGGATTCGGCATCTTCACTTCGCCTCCGTATCTCAGAGTCCAAAGCAGCTAGAGCTTGCTGTTTGAGCTGCTTTTTGATCTTCTTAGAATCCTCCTGACATTCAGGAACTCCATCTGTAGCATGATCTTGAGATGTTTGAGATACCTCCAGATCTCCTGGAGTGTCATCAGTGTTGGGGGCATCCTGATGACTCTCATTTACCTCAGATGCGACACCATTCATCTGCTGGTTGCTGCTGTCAACCTCCATTTGTATGTCACATTCTTCTGAGTGACCTTGACCTCCAATTTTTGTCATTTTAGTTTCTTCTAGGGGAACACATCCTTCATCTTGATCTGAGATCTTATCCTCTAACATCCCTACACTTGTGACATCAGGATTGGCCTTGCTCGTGTCCTGGTCCTTATTGACAGTTTCAGTGCCTGCTGACAGGTTACTGTCTGGAATCAGCATAAAGGCATCAGGTTCCAACATCCCTACACTTGTGACATCAGGGTTGGCCTTGCTAGTACCCTGGTCCTGACAGACAGTTTCAGTGTCTGCTGACAGGTTACTGTCTGGAATCAGCATAAAGGCATCAGGTTCCAACATCCCTACACTTGTGACATCAGGGTTGGCCTTGCTAGTACCCTGGTCCTGACAGACAGTTTCAGTGTCTGCTGACAGGTTACTGTCTCGAACCAGCATACAGGCATCAGGCTCCACTCTGACCTGGCTGGGGGAATCATGGGAAGCAACTGGAATATCAGACACATCCACCACGGAATCATGATCCATAGGAGCTGTAGTCATGTCTGATTTGGCGGCTGAATGAGACACAGGAGTTGCAGGAATGAGATCAACATGGCCGTCCTCCTGACTTTCAGTACATTCTGTGTCTGCTTGTTCTCTGCTTTCAAAACCCTGCCTGATGCTAGAAGAGCTCTCACTCGTCTGACCATGAGATTCTGAAGGGGAAACATCATCTGAGCCAAGAGATGAGATGCAAGTATCATTGATGTTTGAGCCTGAGATGGAACTGCCATCACTGATATAGTCAGTTACAGAATGTGCACCATCAGCCACCTGTCCAGCTACTCCAGGAGAACATTCTTGACTGGACTCTACAAGAGTCCCTTGAACAAAGTCTGCACGAGGCCTTTGGTCAAAGGAAGGTTCTACCACTGTACTTTCAACACAAGGAACATTTGCACTAGAATAAAATGACACCATGCTATTGTTAACAGACTCCTGTGTTTCAGGATTGCTTGAATTGATATCAGCAGACTCCTTTCCAACTCCCCTCTCTCCAGAGTTTGAAACCCTTACTGTATCATCAGGCTCTGAATCACATTTCAACTTTTTAACAGAGGAGCCTTTTGGAGACTCGATGAATTTCTCTTGAGCTGGCTTGTTCTCGTGGTGACACTCTATCCTTTCATCCCAAGTCTCTGGAGTCACTGGTCGTTCACTGGGGATATCAGACTGAGGTTGTCTTCTAGCACGAGGAACATATCTCTGAATTTCTGGGCGTGGTTTACGGCCCATCTTTGAACGCCTCTCTTCCCTTGGAGACTCTGTTGGCTCTTTGCGTTGACCTTTTTGACTTGCGTCAATTTGACCCCTGTGGGTCCTGCCATCTTGACATTTTTTAGTGGCATCTCCATGGCCTCTAGGAGTCGTATCACCTTGACCTCTGTACTCAGGGTCACATGGCTCACCATGCAGCCTATCATCAACCTGACGTTGCTGGGTGAGTGAGTGAGTACCACTATGCTGCTGACTGTCTGACTGAGTGAAACTGATCTCTTGTTCCTGGTTCAGACGACGGGCACGAGGGACATAAATCTGAGCCCCAGGTTTCTTTTTTTCTCTGGAACTGACAGCATGAAAGAATTGACAATTTGCACAATCATACATAGCTATAAGGTAATTTATTCAAGGCTACCTAGTCACTAGGGCTGGGATGGGTAACTCGGGTACCCGGGTCGGGTGGGTACTGAGTAAGACCCGGGTACCCACAGGACTACCGTATATCGCTGTGTATAAGGCGACCCCACGTATAAGATGACCCCCCTGTACACGCCTTAAAAATCAACCCAAAATCCTATACTCCGTGTATAAGGCGACCGGGAATGAAACACATCACAATTCTGACTGATATAGAAGATTTAACGTGCGCTTTCCGACTGTAGCGTATTTCGCACACGGACATCACAAGTTAGTTTGTTAGTTAGTTACTTTTGAGATTTAACGTGCGCTTTCCGACTGATGCGTATTTCGCACACATCAAAAGTGCGCACACAAACCTTAGATATGCAATAAAAATATGTTTATCTTGCGTTGTTTTTTTCTACAATGATAGGTCGCGTGTGTTACTCCAGCACACGTCGCCATTTTGTGTTTACACGGTACGACACCAAATTGGTGCCCGTAAAATAAAATTCATTTCTGAAGTAATAACATATAAGAGACAATGGTGAGTAATTTAATCGCCAATTAACTATGTTGTAACTAACTAGGCTTATGTTTGCTTCACATTCAGCGTGTTTATTCCACAATCACTTGTACACACCGTCTCCAACACTTGTTAATACAACTGTAAAAACAGCGGGAATTGATTTCAGCTGCACCGGTTATCACATGTTAGGTCACATGTGCAATATGCAAATGCTTACCGGTACTTCCGGCTCTCTGCTCACGGATGTTGATTGTTTTACCGTGTCAGGTGGTTTGACAATCTGCATCGAGGCGAGGGTCATTTCAACTTTATTTGCAGAAATTATTAAACTTTATTCAAGGAAAAGAGATACAAATCATGTTTACGTATGGAAATAGTTATTGGAACAGTTATTTAGGACGAAATGCGAAGTTTTATTGTCAAATGCTTGGCTGGCTATCGGACGCCGGTTGACATCGCCAGTGGAAAAAAATGTGAGATCTTCTACTCCGTGTATAAGACGACCCCCCTTCTTAGCCCCCTCATTCATACACAGCGATATATGGTACCCAGACCCGTGGTTAATCACGTGATATATTGTTTATTGACAAAAATTATCAAGAACTCTATGGTTACACTACAAGTCACTAATGTTCGCATTTCTTTCTGACTATGCACCCATTCCTTCCGATTTTTCATACGGTTGAATAAAGATATAAGTTAATTCAACTTCAGTGTATGAATGACCAGGTTGTTTAATACATGTATCTAAATACGTTTTGCCAGGGTTATTCTAAAAATGTTCCCAATCGGACATTTTGAGACATCTCCTGAGACCTACAGTGGGCACCTGGGTAGGGTCGGGTAATAGGGGGGTGGGTACCCGGGTAGTTAATTTGGACTCGTCCCAGCCCTACTAGTCACCCCTAATTGACTTACTTAATACTGAAATAACCACAGCAGTATAACATAGCTTTCATGAGGCAAGCACGTTATCTACTTAGCATCAGATCCTTCACTAACAAACAAAGAAAACTCTCAACATCCCTTGGCCAATTCAAGGACATTGTGTGAGATGATAGATCACTGAGAGGAGCTTATGCACACTAGATGACTCCAGCAACCCTGTTGGCATTGTTTCACCCGTGTCTTGCAACAAAATTTCACAAATTATGTCATAGGGTATTGTGGTGTGATTTTAAACTTTGTGGTGCAGAGCCCCTCTCCACAACATAATCGTAGCGCAATGACAGTCATAAGTTGATATTAAAGTATGGAAGTTACGATAACCTTAGCACTACAATAGCTTTGTGGAACAGACCCCTGAATTCTAAAGACGATTGTAGGGTAATGAATTAATATGTGTCAATTTTTTACGTGTTTGAAGTTAAACTCCATTGGATTATGCTGTGGATCGCATAGATGTCTGTCTATTCAGACGCAGCAGTAAAATTCTTTACAAAGCTATAAACAGCAAGTAAAAAATAAAATACTAAACTCGCTGCCGCGTAATACTAATTTTATGAGACTCATGAATAGTTCTTGTATACTTGCTTTTCGCATTTTGATACCAGAACTATTCACTAGTATTATAAAATTGGTACAACATGGGAGCATGTTTAGTATTCTATATTTTCATAATGAAACTGTGGTGTCTTAAACTCGATTTCCCGGCGTATTTTCATTCTATTATATACCCTACACCCATTCACTACAATAGCTTTGTTCGGAAGTCACGTTTTTGCTTTATCCCTTCTATCACTAATAGAATTCATCTCACTCATGTGCTTGAAATCACAACCAATGAAAATACCTCTCCTGAACCCAAGTTCGACATAGATCCACATTTAGCCTGTCCAAGCAAGTCCTTGATATACCTTATCAAATCAGAAGACAAACTGTTGAGTGGAAAGAGGTTTTCCTGACAATATTAAGACCGGAGAGGGAAGTCCTTTTGAATGGGTCCAGGGAATATATCATAACGACTTGAAGACACAATACCCAGATGTCAAGGATGTGTCTAAAGTAACAAACAATTTAAATCCATTGCACTTTCACTGCATCTTTGTGAAATAGGACACTGTATTATGGCACCATAAACAAATTACTGCAGCGTTAGAAATTGGCACTAGTCCTGTAGTCCTTGCCAAACTGCCCAACAGTTAAGGTATCATAAGGACTTCATAGACAGGGTATATAAATTAGCATCGATTTTGAAGGTTTGTACAGGGGAGGGGGGTCGCCTTATAAGTGGGGTCGCTTAATAGATGGTAGTAGAAATTTGCCATTTTTAAGTGTTTTGTTATCGTTATAAGGACTAGTGGACTAAATATGTTAGTTTCTACCCCTGCAGTACCATGTTACATGCCAGGATGCCTCATATCATTACAGCCATAAAATGTCCCACCTTGCTCCAAGTGACCTTCTCTCCTTGACAGCTGCCGCCCGTGCCTCCCGAGTCTCTGCATCCAGCCCCGGTGCTGGTGCACTCTCCCGTGTAGTTAGCCCACTAGGGGAGGGGCTGCCCCTAGTTGCACCACGCCCCCTGCCCCGCCCCCTCCTGCCATGCGGCTCAGGAGGTCGGGACATCAACTCTCGACCCAACTCACCTCTGGAAATGTACACAACTGAGGTTGGAAGTCATTATTAATTAGCAGTCTACATAAGGACAAGGCATATACATGATATAATAGAAGGGGTAAATGTGGGGACAAATTAAGCCATTATTGCTTGGCAGAATAGTTGAGTCACCTTTACATCATTTCTGCATATTGCATCTACTGGGGCAACTGATAATACATGTTCAAGACTCAATATTTAATGGATTTACTACAAATTTGGAATGACCTCCATCCAAACTATTCTGATTTATCTCTATGCAGAAGGTAAAAGATAGCAGAATTCGACAGATCTCTGACTGAACCAGACTCATGCAGACGAAACATAAAAATTTGCCTAGAAAAGAACAAGATTTAGCTGCAACTGAGTAGCTTTTCTGACTGACAGGGTTGCAGACAATCAATTTCTTAAAAAGTTGTTGACTACAAAGTATTATCAGATGTGTATGTCTCTCGCAAGCTGCTGTAAGTTTCAATTACCATGTTTACACAAAAAACATTTCAGGTTTTCTATTTCTCAAAAGTTAACAATTTATTATTTCTGAAGAAACTCATGATTTCTAAGGTTCGTCAGCACCATACCCCTGCATCACTTCGGGCCTTCCTCCAACAACAAGCTGACAAAACTGTGATACCATTTAAATACTGTTCCAAGCGGTACAAGCCCAACTCACTCACTCTAATAATTAGTTACACATTTTCAGGAAATATTATTTGACACATGTGAATAGGAGCAGACAGTGCCTGTTGCACTAGCATATTGGGAGCTGGGTACACCTGCACTCTGTTCTGTTATCAAATAGATGAGTGGGTTCGTTTATTAACCTTGACGATTACACATCTGACTTGTTCCGTTACTGCAATAAGAAAACATGGCAAACGCAAACATGGTTATACGTCATTACGAGTCACCACTAGTAATGCTGTTACTCTAAACATTAACACTAAACACTCCGGGCACCTACCTAAGAAGTGATACAGCCAGGCAGACAACAGTGCGACGAGCGTGGGCCTCCCCAACTGAGAAACTTGCAAGTTCAAGAAATTCCTCAACAGTCTTGTGGATAAGTAGTCGATGATAGCTGTTGACTGGAGGGAAGATCAGGACTCTATCAACAGCAGACATCACAAGAAGTCAACATCCAATCACCAAAAAGACATATTAATCGCTGAATAAACAGTGAAACTCATATAAGTCAAGGTGAGGTGAAATGGGGTTTAATGTTGTGTCCAAGATTATTGCACTTATATAGCATCGTCCATAAACGTGTGTGTATGTGTGTGTGTCGCAGCTTTTACTAGTCTGGACTGATGCCAATTTTATAGTACTAGCCCACTGAGATACCGCAGTTTAAAATAAATACCCCACTCAGACACGTATACTGGCTCCGGACCAACCAGTCCGTGCAATTGTTTAAGCCCCATAATGCTGAGCACCAGGTAGGATTACAATAAGTACCATCATTTAACGTGTTTTGTTATGACGCGGCCAGGGATCGAACCCTGGACCTTCCACTATCCAGGCGGACACTCTACCACTAGACCATGGAGGCAATCCGGAGTCCAGGGTGTGTATCTGTAATATGAGAGAAGAGAAATGCAGTGTGTGTGTGCGTGCATGTGTGTGTGTGTGTGTGTGTGCGCGCATGTGTGAGTGTGTACGTGAATGAGTGTGTTTATTGTTTAACGAGTCTGGACCAGAAAATCCAGTGATTGATATTGTGAGCATCGATCCACACCGCCGGGGTACGATGACACGCCATCAACCAAGTCACTGAGCCTGACCACCCAATCCATTAAGTGAGTGAGTGAGTTTGATTTACGCCGCTTTTAGCAATATTCCAGCAATATCATGGCGGGGACACCAGAAATGGGCTTCACACACCTCGGGAATCGAACCCCGGTCTTCGGCGTGACGAGCGAACGCTTTAACCACTAGGCTACCCGACCGCCCCCAATCCATAAGTCACCTCTTACGGCCATCATAGGTTGCTTGGAACCAATTCTAGCCCAATATCCCCATGAGGGAGACATGCAGTGTGTTGATGTGGACCATGGTGCTGATAAGGAATAGCCAGGACCATAAGGTCTCATCATCTTAAACAATGTATCAAATTAATGGTGTCTGATGAATGTAAGTATGCTCAATGTTACATTTAACAATCATGTTTATGTCGGCCATGTTAAAAATTCATGAGTCTTGCACTCTAACTTCAATAAATCAAATTTCCAGAAGATCATGATGTTCCTGAAATTATTCAGCAAATTAAGACTTCATCATAGAGACAATGTATGTCAAGGTTGGAAAAAAATCATATCATATTGTTAGTCCTTGAGTACTGGTTGTATTTTGTCTGGTATTTAATGCCAAATATTAAAAAGAGATTAGGTCCCCCTATTTTTTAAATATTGGCCCAATGTAATGATGTTAATCGAAAGATGGTTGATAATGTAATTATGAAGTCACAACTAGTTGTGACACAAGGTTTAGCATATGATGTCATGATGATTGCTGCTGCCGCTATTTTGGACAAGTGGAATAAATCTGTGACAGGTCCGATCATCATCATTACCGTATTCGCCGTAATAAGCGCCCCACTCTAATAAGCGCCCACTGCGATATTTGCTAATATATTGGCTAGTGAACAGTCCCCATTAGCACCCCTTCCGATTGATCAATGTGCACAAGACTTATTTATTCGTGTATAATACACACTCGTGTGCTACATGCACCCTTAATTGTGGGCAATTAAATTCTGCAAATTAAAATATGTCGTGTATAATCATATGATAATACACATAGATTTTTCTTTTGTATTATTTCAGACTGTCAGCATAAACCACAAAATTCACGATCTTTCAACTCGTTTTTTCTCTCACCAAAATGTTATTCTGATAAGAGCCCCCTATATGTAATTTTGAGAGCGCCCTGGGCGTTTATTACGTCGAATACAGTATTTATAATTTCAGAATCTCCCTTTTGTAACAATATGAATAATATGAAGTCCCATTCATTATTAGTCACACTTCAACGAACTTAATTAGGGTTTGAGTTAGTGGCTTGAGTCAGACTTAATTGTCTATGCAGTGTAATTAGTATCTTGTGTGACATCGTGTCAAGTAATTAGAGTTGTCAGTGGCTTGATCTACATCTACATGACTAAACATGACAGGTTAACAAATGTGTCCGAAAAGGCCCCAAATGTGTCCGAAAAGGCCCCTATAATTATGTTTGGTAGGCACTGCGGGTCACGCAATGTGTTTCAGAGTCATTTTGTGGGTATATTATAAATTTTGAAATTGTTATAATGTTAACAACAATAGATGTCAGATTAACAATAAACAAATACATCAAGCCTCTTCATTACTATAATCTGAATGAAATCAGTGAGTCTCACCACCCGATACAATTTAATTGCTTCTTACGGCAAGCAATGGAGTGCGGGGGACCTTTTCCAACCCTAGTTCACACAGGAATATATCCTACCACTCAACATGCTCAATACAAGTTTAATCACCTGTCAGGTTGTGCTCGTTTCAGGAAGTCTGTGATATCAGCTGTGACAAATGTAACAAACTCTGAGTCAACCGTGTTCAGGTAGTGGTTGTCAAAGTAGGCCGCCAGCTCGAAATGCTTGACCTTCAAGCCTAAGACCACTGCATCTCCATCTTAACACTGCAAGAAAGGAATCTCTGATTAAACATAAATGCTTGGGATTTATCTATAGCTGCATCAAGTCTGCAGCCTATGTCTGTACAAATTTCCAAATAGGAATTAAAAACCTTTCCAATACATGCTAATACAGCAATAATTAATGTTGTGGCCTTGTAGTGATCAATAAACATGATAAAGAGGACGAGGTTTTATTGCATAGTTTAACATGATTGCAATAAATACAATGCAACTAATACATTTTGTAAATACCTATGCATAATAGAAAAAAGGAACTATAAAAATCATATTATTGGGCAAGATTAATATTTTTTCCCAATCTGCCTGCCAGAGAAGTTTGTAATCCCAGATAATATCCCTGGTGCTAACTCAATTAATTTCTGAATCAAATATGAACTTCATAAAAGAACAAAAATTAAAAGATCATTTTCTAGCTAATACCACAGAGAATTTCTTAGGACTCCAAAACAAATTACATTTTGAGGGTAACTTTTGAAATAAATCATTATTTTGTTCAAACTTGCGATTTTAAATTTTTTTTAATACTTTCTTCACTTCAGATGTATTTAAAATTTAGCATTGCATTCATTACATTAAAGTAAAGCAAAGCATTAAAAGCCTTTTATTGGCCGTGTCATTAGTGAAATAAAAGCCACCTCCACCATATCTGCATTGCCTTACACAAGAAATGACTAGTTCGAACATTGTCAACATGAACATGATGAAATGGGAAATTTTAAATTCCAATTCAGTAATGTTAGCTGACATTTGTTGCAGATTGGGGACAAATACAGATAGGCTTCCGAGAAGAGCAAGTCCAGGTATATCCCTGTACTACTAAGGACAGAAATTCTGAAAGGTCGTTTTTTAAAAATAGATCTCCGTCTCTTAAACATTTTTTAACGCATAATTTCCTAAACTCGAATACTCCCATGGAATCCACAAAGTAAAAGCAGGGGGTCCCTTATAAGACTTACATAGACTTCTTGGTAACTTTATAAGCTGTGATTCGATCATGCACGATCTTGAAATTGTTAAAAGGATATTTGTAATTATACTTTTAGGATGCTTCTGGGGAATCAAAATACTTGGAAAGTCCAGTGGCACTGACAGGGAACATATTTTTTCAGAACGCTTGCCCAGGTAAGTATGTTTGTAAGACCACCACTGGACAGTGTAAGCTTCATTGTACGGAACAACGGGAACACGGACATAGAGGTAAACTGTTAGAAAGTACAAATTACGCTGACATGCATTCACCAAACGATCTACCTTCTTATCCTCCAATAATTTAACCTCACACGAAAATCTCTACCCCTGTCCGGGTAAGTGTTGTGTTGAACGTCATCGATTAATGTGTACAGTAACCTGCGCTTGCACAAGACAAGATGCTCTTTCAGTTACCCATCTTTGGGGCACGGAAGGGAGATAACTGGAGAAGAACAGTAATTTTGTAGTTGAAGTCATGTGACATGCACAAAATGGCGGAAGGTGGGAAAGTTGAATGCTTCTGTTACAAATCAGCAAATGTTTGCTCAGATCACCATGCAGTGTCAAAAGAAAACACATTTAATTAATTTTGTAGTAGCAATAAACAAACATTTTTGTCTATTCAGTACACACCAGATACAATAGATCTCTATGTAGTGTGGTAGTGAAATTATTGTCACCTGTCAGCTGGTCATTGTCAATATAGCCATTACAGGCAACGTGGTGATTGACAAGTAACAAGTTATGCAACACTGACGCTGACTATGTTTTACCGGTACATCCATACCAGTAGCGCTAATTGACTGCGACTGTGGCTCTCGCTTCACTAATCTCGCGTGACCTTTCTATCATTGGGGTTACCGTTATTGGGGGTTAGGAAACCACTCGGCAGATTGGCCCTTCACAAGCTTCAGCTTGCACACGTTTTCCGACCAAGCACCAATTCACCCATTCAATAGGGTTAGGCACGCTTTTCCAAACCAATAACCCCTCATAAACCATTGGCCGCCTCCGTGGACTTGTGGTAGAGCGTCCGCCCGGAGAGCAGAAGGTCTGGTGTTCGATCCCCGGCCGCGTCATACCAAAAGACATTAAAAGATGGTACTTGTTGTTACCCTGTCTGGCGCTCGACATTAAGGGGCTAAAACAAGGACTGGTCGACTGTGTCTGAGTGGGGTATTCATGTTAAACTGCAGAATGGTATCTCAGTGAGCTAGCACTATAAATCGGCATCAGTCCGGACTAGTACAAGCAGCCACAGACACACACTGCATGCACGTCGCTATATAAGTGCAATAATCTTGGACGCGACGTTAAACCCAATTTCACCTCACCTCACCTCATAAACCATTGGTTTGGGCACCCTTTGCGATCTACTTCAGGGATCAACATATACAAGTTATTTCTCCGACCAAACCTTGTTAATTATGACTGATGTTTACCTTCCCTATAATTTGCACAATGATCTACAGTTGTGTCAGTTTTACTTGTTAAAATGCACATTCAGAATGGCCAGAATCAACTGCAACAGCATTATGTCAACATACTGGTCTAAACAACAGTAAAAAAACCATTATGGTTTGTAGTACTGCACAGTATTACCGGTATACTGCAATACGCTCTTCAAACGATACATATTGCAATATTTTTTTGTTCCAGTATATTGGGTAAACAAAATATAACAAGTTTTGTTATTATTAGTATCGTTTAACTTAAAATCAACACAGATTTCTTTTCAGAGATAACCATTCCCTTTGAAATTAATTGACAAATCAGCGGAAATGCGGAAGTGATTTTTTTTTTATATTTTCTCTCATGTTTTCATGACTACAGAAATACATTGACCGACCATGCAATGTAGTATTTACTGTAGTATGTACAAAATAGGATCTGCATGTACAATCAGCGTCAAACACTTTCAAACAATTTAGCTCCCAGTATATCGCAATACGTATTGCAACATATTGCAATGCAGTTTTTCGGCCAATACACAGCCCAAATGGTTTTTATCATAGTCTTGAAAGATGGAGCTCCTGTATTATATAGTCTATGTTAGCCTGTGTTAGTCTGCCAGTTTCTGACGATGTGATGTTTTGTTTCCTATCAGCTGGAGAGGATGCTGATGATCCCATGATTGTTGGTGTATCAGTTGTGTCTGAGGCCAGCTGCCGTTCACACGTAACACTAGGCTGCGTTGTTCTCAAAAAGTCCCAGAAAAATGAATCTCTCGCATCCCTTCGATGTCAGATAGATGCACAGATAAGAAGTACACCATCTGAATATACTTTCGTCACATCTCACAGGTTGGCAAATTTTGGTGAAAATTATCATGTAGATAAAGTAGATTTAATATTAAGAAGAAATTAGATATCAACAGAACAAATTTTCAATTAAAGTCTGTGTTTAGGGAAATGGCAATACTAAATGTTATTTTGGGATTCTAAATTGCTTTTCAGACATATATTTGCTAATTCATGAAAACTTGTCATCGTCCCACTGTATATGGTATTGTCTTATCGTGTGTCTCCCTGCCACCAGGTGGCCTGTGGAGAGATGTCAGGAAAGCTCACTGCAGCTTCAGCACATTTTGACCCCGGAGGGAGCTGTATGCATCAGCAAGAAATATGGTAGGTCATGGTGTTGTTTTTAATTCATGAATTCTTTGCAATATGTCTGAAAAACTTCTAATGGGATGTTTAATTTAAACTCACTCACTATATACGGGGGCGGGGGGGATGTTAGTAGTTTTAGGTGCTTCCATTTGCTCTGCAGAGTTGTGACCCTTAGTTGTGGTAGGATCTGATAATTGTGGGTTTGAATCCCACATTCACCCTAAGTATGATTCTTGGTTTGTTGGTACCATGCCTGTACTCCTTGGTTTCACCAAAGTGGACCACCTCTGTGGTCTAATGCTAGAGCGTCCGCCTGGAGAGCGGAAGGTCCAGGGTTCGATCCCCGTGTGCGTCATACCAAAAGCCTTTAAAAGATGGTACTTGTTGTTAACCTACCTGATGCTTGACATTAAGGGGCTAAAACAAGGACTAGTTGGCTCAGAGACAGTATACTGTGTCTGAGTGGGGTATTCATGTTAAACTGTGGCAGTGGTCTCATAGGGCAATGTAGGGATAGCACTATAAACTCGGCATTAATCTGGACTACTACAAGCAGACACACACACACATGCATGCATGCACGTCACTTTATAAGTGCAATAATCTTGAACGCGACGTTAAACCCTATTTCACCAAACCTTCACCTTCAGGTTCTAACATCTCAGGCCAGCATATATGCAGCTTTCATCTTATGTTAGGGGCGGTCGGGTAGCCTAGTGGTTAAAGCGTTCGCTCGTCACGCCGAAGACCCGGGTTCGATTCCCGACATGGGTACAATATGTGAAGCCCATTTCTGGTGTCCCCCGCCGTGATATTGCTGGAATATTGCTAAAAGCGGCGTAAAACCATACTCACTCACTCACTCACTCACTCATCTTATGTTAAGCTGACAGGCCTAAAAGGGACATAGAACCAAACTCACTCACTCACACATGTGACAGAGCTGGAAGCAAGTACATTCAACTTATAAACCAAGACTTGAATATCTAACTGATCTTGGCCTATTACTAGATGTATGTGTCTGTTTTCTGTGTACATTTTCCTGTACTAATGTGTATTGGGGTTAATTGGCTCTTTTGGTGAACAGATGCCAGCAAGCAATATAGCTCACATGAACAGAAGGTTCATCTGTATGATATTTTTCACTCTGCTATTGCAACTCTACTTTATTCCAGCAAAGCCAAAGATCGGAATCAAGGCTAAGACTGGCATGGCCCTGGGCTTTGTGTTTACAGACTACACAAGCAGACTGTCCAGTCTTCGACAGGTCATCAACCAAGAGGTGAAATAGATACTTCACACATCTAACATACTGGTGATGGCATCGGACCATTGAGAAAAAATATATATGATCAGATAAAGTAGAAATATTTCATGAAAATTGTTTTGCCATTCGTAGAGGGCCAGATTCTTGTTCAAACAGTCCTGGTCAGTGTGGAATAACATTCAGTGAGTGTGCAGGGGAGGGATATCTGAAAGTAGAGCTGGGACGGTTTGGTACTGAGTTGGACCCGGGTCCCCACAGGACTACCCGGACCTGTGGTTAGTCATGTAACATATTGTTTTAAGACAAAAATTATCTAAACCTCTAGGGTTACACTACTAGTCACTTCTTTCTGACTATGCATCCATTCCTTCTGACCTTTATTTGTTTGAATAAGGATAAAACTTCTGTCAACTTCAGTGCATGCATGACCAGATCGTTATGTGTATCTAAATACATTTTGCCAGTGCTACGGTCAAACCTTTCCAAATTGGACATTTTGTACCCAACTCTTAAGACCTACCATGGGCACCCGGGTAGGGTCTGGTAATAACGGGGTGGGTACCCGGGTAGTAAATTTGGACTCATTCCAGCCCTATCTGATAGTATTGGGATATTTGCTGTCAGACAAGACAGTTGCCTTTTGCGAACGTGATACTAGTATTACTCATCAGGTCATAGTCTGCCATGTTGTTTGATGTCTTGAGCTGACATGGGGATATCCGTCCATGTTTCAGCTTGCATTCTTCTGTGGAATTCCAAACACCTACATGTTCTTGGATCCAAATGGTTGGCCAGTCAGCAAGAGTCTGGAGTCTGATTGGTCAGTTCTTGACGTTGTTGTGGATGGCTGTGTTGTTGTATGTGCAGACGTCATAACCATGGAGATTGTAGAAAACCAAACTGGCATTGATCGGTTTCCCACCCTCGAACCTCCACGCAAGATCAGAAGGTACATACCGTATTCGACGTAATAAGCGCCCCGCTCTAATAAGCGCCCACGGCGATATTTGCTAATATATTGGCTAGTGAACAATCCCAATTAGCACCCCTTCCGATTGATCAATGTACACAAGACTTATTTGTTCGCGTATAATACGCACTCGTGTGTTACATGCACCCTTAATTATGGGCAATTAAATTCTGGAAAAATATATCTGTCGTACATAAACATTTCCGACTGTCAGCATAAACCACGAAATTTATCTTTCATTTATGTTTTTTTCACCAAAATGATATTCTAATAAGAGCCTCCTATTTCTAATTTTGAGAGCGCCCAGGGCGCTTATTACGTCGAATACGGTAGTTATTGTTCATGAACCCTAGGACCATGGTGTTGTGTACTCAGCCTACATGCTAGCCAGCTAGCCCAAGACTACTTAATTGTGCTTACGACAACTAAAAATTCAATGACTAAGGGTTTAAAAAATACAAGAATTGGTTCTCAGGCAATGGCTTTTGAAAAAATAGCGTGGGCGGTGTTTTTTTGTTGTGTTTTTTGGGGGGTTGTTCAAACTAGTATGTAACCAAATAAACAGTTGAGTTACAAAGAAAACAGTTGTGTACAATCAACCTATGAAAGGGCTCCCTACATAAATGTATTCCTTGGTGAGTAACATACTGGAATAGAGTATCTGACTACCGTTGGATTTGGAATATTTAAGTTTGGTTTTTTTAAATGGAAATTCAAACAAAACATGCGGCAAACATTGTGATGATGCAGGCGGTGCCTGAGAACCAAGACTACTTTTTTTTTAGCCTAATACACATATTTAATAGCTTGTCCACACTGGGCAACCAGGAAAGGGAGGTAACTGTGAATAACCTTTGAGGGCTATGCTGTACCAGTCCTCCTTGCTTTGATTTTACTGCAAGTCAATCAAGCAAAACCAGCTACAAACCCTTGAGGACTTCTGGAAATAATTCTAAGATTGGGACTGCTTTGCCCGGATTTGTTCCAATCATTTTTAGGCCGATATAGCTGGAATACTGCTAAGTGCAGCATTTATAGGCTGCAGTGATATAGCTGGAATACTGCTGAGTGCAGCATTTATAGGCTGCAGTGATATAGCTGGAATACTGCTAAGTGCAGCATTTATAGGCTGCAGTAATATAGCTGGAATACTGCTAAGTGCAGCATTTATAGGCTGCAGTAATATAGCTGGAATATTGCTGAGTGCAGCATTTATCGGCTGCAGTGATATAGCTGGAATACTGCTGAGTGCAGCATTTATAGGCTGCTGTGATATAGCTGGAATACTGCTGAGTGCAGCATTTATAGGCTGCTGTGATATAGCTTGAATACTGCTGAGTGCAGCATTTATAGGCTGCTGTGATATAGCTGGAATACTGCTGAGTGCAGCATTTATAGGCTGCTGTGATATAGCTGGAATATTGCTGAGTGCAGCATTTATAGGCTGCTGTGATATAGCTGGAATACTGCAGAGTGCAGCATTTATAGGCTGCAGTGATTTAGCTGGAATACTGCTGAGTGCAGCATTTATAGGCTGCAGTGATATAGCTGGAATACTGCTAAGTGCAGCATTTATAGGCTGCTGTGATATAGCTTGAATACTGCTGAGTGCAGCATTTATAGGCTGCTGTGATATAGCTGGAATACTGCTGAGTGCAGCATTTATAGGCTGCTGTGATATAGCTGGAATACTGCTGAGTGCAGCATTTATAGGCTGCTGTGATATAGCTGGAATACTGCTGAGTGCAGCATTTATAGGCTGCTGTGATATAGCTGGAATACTGCTGAGTGCAGCATTTATAGGCTGCTGTGATTTAGCTGGAATACTGCTGAGTGCAGCATTTATAGGCTGCAGTGATATAGCTGGAATACTGCTGAGTGCAGCATTTATAGGCTGCTGTGATATAGCTGGAATACTGCTGAGTGCAGCATTTATAGGCTGCTGTGATATAGCTGGAATACTGCTGAGTGCAGCATTTATAGGCTGCTGTGATATAGCTGGAATATTGCTGAGTGCAGCATTTATAGGCTGCTGTGATATAGCTGGAATATTGCTGAGTGCAGCATTTATAGGCTGGAATATTGCTGAGTGCAGCATTTATAGGCTGGAATATTGCTGAGTGCATCTTTTATAGGCTGGAATATTGCTGAGTGCATCATTTATAGGCTGGAATATTGCTGAGTGCAGCTTACTGCAAAATTCACTCGCCAACACAAAGTAAAACTACACAGTTATCTTTCTTTCTTCAAGCAAAGAGGTCAGTAGAAATGAAATCAATCATTCTCTCCTCAAACGCCACTATCACAGCTACTTATATATCTCAACTGAAATAAAAACTTACACAGTGATTATGGATGAATACATAATGTACATACATTTAATTAAAAGATATCAGAATACACTTTGTCCACTTTCTGCAATCTAAAGTGAAATACTTGTGGTTTTGAAAGACTGAGACAGCTGAGTTTCCGAACGACGAAGGATACTGATCGGCAGTCGAGTGTTGATGTGACAGAAGTGACGGAGACGTCCCCTGACACAAAGCAGCTTCTCATCAGCTATGTACGAGCCGAAGCTGCTGACCACGCCCTGAAGTTGAAGGAGGAGTTGTCTGTCCTTGGATTTAGTGTGTATTTGGTAAGATCAAATATGAACTATTTAAACAAGGAGTTGATGAGATTTTTCAGCAGCAATAACAAACATTGACGTTAATGTTTTTGCATGCTTTCCTCAATGTATTATCTTTCATTTCATATGTTTAGACTACTTATTACACCTTTAATTCAATTTCAAGCTTTGGTTTCATCTTGTGAGAAAGTATGAAACCAATTCATTGACTTGCCATGAAGAAGGTTGCATGTTGACCGGTAGTTTGCCAACTGTTTGTGATACATAGAGAATGTCTTTTGATATCAAATATATCAACACGAGTTGATAAAAGTGGGAAAACTCCGAGGCTTGCCGAGGATTTTTTTCCACTTTTATCAACGAGTGTTGATATATTTTATATCAAAAGACACGAGGGTGAGATTTTATTTATCATCCAACATCATTCTTCCAACTTTTTTAGTGTGTAGAAAGTAATAAGCAGTCTCTTAAGTGAATAAAGTACTGCTAACAGCTTCAATAGCAGAGCCATTAGTGATGTCTTTTGATTGTGACGCCATGGTAACCAATGATGTCACAATGGTCTGCAAAGCATTGTGATGCAATTTCATTGCAGCGATATCTACAGTATAGATATCGCTTGATCTCACCCAAGCGATATCTCCTGTGGGAGCCAGTTTTGCATGATAAAGTGTTGTGAGGCCCATCCTCATTCTGTAGGGTTTATCCAGGCTCTGAAGTTGTGATACATGCCCTGACGTAACACTGCCTGCAAACAAGTCTGTGTGTCTGCCTGTCTTGTGAGCTGCCTCCATGTTTCTTTCAGGACGTCCACGAGATAAAGAGTGGAGTAGACTGGCAGGATTCGCTCAACGACGCTGTCAGCAACTGCGAGGTGTTCGTGCCCCTCGTTACACCAAGATACGGCGAGACACAGTGGACCAACAGAGAGGTATCTGTTGCTCATTATATCTAGCTAAGTGATTGGCTAATCTCTGTCAATCACCAACAACCCAAGACAGATCATCTGATTGGCCTGTACAGCCATTATGACATCATCATGAGAACACCGTTTTAGCTGTCAGTAATTATGTCAGGGCTGACACTATCCCAAAATCAATAACCAAAATACTGATCAACACAGAGGTTGACATTCTTGACTTTCACTGCAAATGTTGTTGGTGCATACAAGGATGACTGAATCTGATGAAACGAGTGTCAAAGCATCCTCTATATCTCCAGGGCTCGCATTTCGGTAAACCTGGTAACACTGACCCCGGGATCCATTCCCATGGTTCTCGCAATCTCAAATTAGCTGCCCTTGATTTCTGCCCTACTCAGTCTAACGGACCAATCAAAATGTGAGTAACAAACCAGCCTCTATTTTGGTTTGGCGATATATCAACCCCATGGCGGCCATTTCCACTGATTAATAATTACAAAATATCATTATGATAGAGTTTAGAAAACCAACAGTGAAATAAAACTGACTGACATGCAGAAGAACGCCCTCAAAGATCTGTTTGATGGAAAGGATGTCTTTATGTCCATTAGGACTAGCAGTGGCAAGTCCTCCTTTACACATATCCTTTTTTTTCATCTTGACGTTCGATTGGTCGGTAAACTGTTAATGAAAATCAAGGGTGGATAATTTGAGGTTGCGAGAACCACTGGAATAGATCTGTTTACCATAATGCAAGCACTGGAGAGTTAATACTTGCTGACCTTCCATTGTCTGCTACAGGTGAAGCTGGCAGACGTGTTGGGCAAGTATATCCTCCCGGTCAACTTCCTGGACACCTGGCCGCCCCGCTGTCTGGCCATCCAGTTCGCAACAACGCAATACATCTGTTGGAAGTCTCCAGTACAGATACAGACAGGTGGGTTTCTTCCCTTTGCAGACAGGGTCAGTGGCATTGATACCAACTTACTCACTCATTTCTTGAGGAAGTTACGTCATGTGTAATTAGTAGCAGGGCTTAACATGTATTTGTTTGTGAGTTATATGTTTTGACCTTTGCACTTTGAACCATATTGAATGCTGAAATGTGAGGTCTTTACTCTTTCTTTTCTTTTTCAAAATGTTTTCCAGTTTTCACGATATTATTTTTTACCTTTGTACTTTGAGACCTGTGTAGATTCGGGTTAGAATAGTCCTTATTCTCAGGCTAGCTGACTTGGTTGATGCATGTCATCGTATACCAATTGCATGGATGTATGCTCATAATATCAATCACTGATTGTCTGTTCCAGACTCAATTATTTCCAAACTGCTGTCATATAGTTTGAATATTGCTGATATTGCATTAAACAACAAACAAACCAAACAAATTTTACACTTTGACCGTGAAGTTCTCTAAAAATGCATATTTGGCTCTGAAACTGGTGGACTTAATGGTGCTGATCTTTGTTTTGTTAGTTTCTCCGAAATAAGACATTATATTTTGTTCAAATCATTAGATTTTATTGTTCATGTTGTTAGTTTATATTCCTACAATATTTGAGCATCAATGCTGACAGCATCCTTTGTTTAGTGTCTGTCTTTGTTGCCATTTTCAACTGTTGACTGCATATCCAGGTGAGCTACAGTGCTGTAGCACTATTATTATTCCTTTCTTACTACCCCACTCTCTCATTAAACAATTTACACTGAAAAAAAATGAAAAAACTTTTGATGCATATTTATCATTGTTTTTATATCTCACTGTAATTATTGCATAGAGTTGGAGCTAGGCAAGGGTTCCCAGGCTACAGATATCCGGATCTGGGACAGACGGTGTATTGAGAAAACGGCCGGCCAGATTGGAGAGAGGCTGGAGCAACTAAGACAGGGAGTGATGAACAGAGTTCCCTCCCTTTCCCGTAGGGTGAGGACATTTGCTTATTTGCCAAGGTTGTTCCAAGAGAGGCTGTGTGATCTAAACATCTCTAAACATTTTGTTTTTCATTATGTACAGGTCTTGATAGCGATTCCAGAGCAGAATAGGTTCCACTACCACATTCACCCTCACTATGTTTTTGGTTTGTCAGTGCTATAAACATACTCATGGGTTTCACCTGCTACATGGGGGCACGGGTGGCCCAGTCGTCTAAGGCGCCGTGATTCGCTGTGCAGAGTTGCATCCCTTGGGCATGCCAGAAATCTATGATTGTGGGTTTGAATCCCGGTTCGCCCCGATTATGTTTCTAGGTTTGTCAGCACCATACCCGTGCCCGTGGGTTTCACTGAAGTGGTAAACGTCTGAGACATGCATCACTTCGGGCTTTCCTCCCACATTAAGCTGACATGCCGCTATATAACTGGAATACTGTTAAAAGCGGCGTTAAACCCAACTCACTCACTCACACACCTGCCACATTAAGCTGACCTGGTGTGATATAACTTGAAATGGTGTTCAAACAGTGTTAAAACCAACTAACTCACTCGCCTTTCGACCGCTGGTTTGTCTGGACAAGGCTTGATATTATTATGCTAGAGCTGACTAGGGCATTATCTATATTGCCTTCTCACTCTTACACTCTTATTACACCCAAAACCTGAAACGTATATAGTAATACCATATAATTCCATCCATCAGTCCGTCCTTCCAAGGAGGTTTTTTGTGCTACCTATAACTTGAAAACTACTGCATAGATTCTTTTCAAACCTCATCAACACTTGCTTTACTTATAGGAGAGGTGCAGTGCAAAGTCTGGTTTCAATATTTTGTTTTTCTAAAAGATTATAGCTATTTTTCTTTTTTTACTAAGAATTTATTTTCTTAAACATTTGTGCGACCTTAAAATTGAAAACTACAGCTTGGATTCTTTTCAAATTTAGGGAACAGTTTCCATACTAATAGATGTGGTGCAGTTCATATTTTTGTTTTGATATGTGGATTTTCTGAGAAAATACAAATTGTTGCATGTTTTTTTACTTCAACACTTGTGTGACCTGTAACTTGAAAACTACTTCATGGATTTTTCCAATTGTTGGTACAGTTTCTATACAGATGCAGTCCAAAGTTTGATTTTGATAAGTTGAGAAAATATTGCTTCTTTTTTTTTCAAGTTTTGAACTTAGAAATATGTCAAAGTCTGGGGTATTAGTGAGCCCTGCCTCACTTTTTGATTGATTTAATTTGATTTTTGTAATATCAGTTCTTACGGAAATTATCTAAGGAAATGTTGGAATGGCATGCCTTTCTCTGTAGAAGTTCACTGTGTGTCTCTCTTTGATAGAAAACTCTGATGAAAACATTCGCCGGCAAGTTGCCAGAGGGAGTCCTCAGTATGGACGAGTCTGTGAACGGGGAGAAGGCGTTGGTTGTCATCTGTGTGCATCCTGCCCAGACTGCGTTTGTAAGTAAAGGTCAACACCATGTATGTCTGTCAGTATATAGATATAGTTCTGTCAACTCAATGAAGTAGTGACTAACAACATGTTCATGTCGTGACCAGCAGCTTATTCATGTCGTAACTAGCAACATATTCCTGTCATGACGAGCAACTTATTCATGTCGTGATGAGCAACTTATTCTTGTCATGACTAGCAACTTATTCTTGTCTCGACTAACAACTTATTCATGTCATGACCAGCAACTTATTCCTGTCGTGACCAGCAACTTATTCATGTCGTGACTAGCAACTTATTCATGTCGTGACTTGCAACTTACTCATGTCATGACAAGCAACTTATTCATGTCATGACGAGCAACAAATTCATGTCGTGACTGGCAACTTATTCATGTCGTGACTGGCAACTTATTCATATCGTGACTAGCAACTTATTCATGTCATGACTAGCAACTTATTCATGTTATGACTAGCAACTTATTCATTTTATGACTAGCAACTTGATCATGTCATGACTGGCAACTTATTCATGTCATGACGAGCAACTTATTCATGTCGTGATTAGCAACTTATTCTAGTCGTGACTAGCAACTTATTCATGTTGTGACTAGCAACTTGTTCATGTCGTGACTAGCAACTTATTCATGTCATGACGAGCAACTTATTCATTTCGTGATTAGCAACTTATTCATGTCATGGCAAGCAACTTATTCATGTCGTGATGAGCAACTTATTCTTGTCATGACTAGCAACTTATTCTTGTCTCGACTAACAACTTATTCATATCATGACCAGCAACTTATTCATGTCATGACTAGCAACTTATTCATGTTATGACTAACAACTTATTCATGTCGGGACTGGCAACTTATTCATGTCATGACAAGCAATTTATTCATGTCGTGACTGGCAACTTATTCCTGTTATGACTGGCCACTTATTCATGTCGTGACTAGCAACTTATTCATGTCATGACTAGCAACTTATTCATGTCGTGATAAGCAACTTATTCATGTCGTGACTGGCAACTTATTCCTGTTATGACTGGCCACTTATTCATGTCGTGACTAGCAACTTATTCATGTCATGACTAGCAACTTATTGATGTTATGACTAGCAACTTATTCATTTTTATCACTAGCTACTTGATCATGTCGTGACTGGCAACTTATTCATGTCATGACGAGCAACTTATTCTAGTCGTGACTAGCATCTTTTTCATGTTGTGACTAGCAACTTATTCATGTCGTGACTAGCAACTTATTCATGTCATGATGAGTAACTTATTCATGTCATGACTAGCAACTTATTCATTTTTATCACTAGCAACTTGATCATGTCGTGACTGGCAACTTATTCATGTCATGACGAGCAACTTATTCATGTCACGATTAGCAACTTATTCTATTCGTGACTAGCAACTTATTCATGTTGTGACTAGCAACTTATTCATGTCATGACTAGCAACTTATTCATGTCATGATGAGCAACTTATTCATGTTGTGACTAGCAACTTATTCATGTCGTGACTAACAACTTATTCATGTCGTGATGAGCAACTTATTCTTGTCATGACTAGCAACTTATTCATGTCATGATGAGCAACTTATTCATGTTGTGACTAGCAACTTATTCATGTCGTGACTAGCAACTTATTCATGTCGTGATGAGCAACTTATTCTTGTCATGACTAGCAACTTATTCATGCCATGGTGAGCAACTAGTATATTACTAAGCTTACTCTCGTTGGTGTAACAGATAGAGCGTCTGTACAGAGAGCTGAAGGTCATTGGTTTGATCCCTGGTGTTGTCATGCCATCAGATGTTATAAGTCAGTAATAGAGCAAAGACTGGCAGCCTCGTAGTCAGTATGATGTGACTCAACACATTAAGTAATAATGGTAGTGACTTGAACGTAATTACTTCACTGTGGCATGTGACATGAATGTAGATCTATGTAACCTTCATCGTAGACGATGATTCAAAATGCATGCATAAAAAAATAATCTGTCTGCAGGGAGAGGACTTGAGGCAGCTGCTTGAGGGGGCAGGGCTTGGCGTGTGGTGTACAGCGACGGGGGAGAGGGACCCAGCGGGGTCAGAGTCGGACACACTACCCCTCAGCCAAGACAGTAAGTTGTATAGATGAGACTAACATATCCTGTGATGCAGTCCCTGAACCATATCAGTTTCCCTTATGCCCAGCCCTTACTTGTCTCATTTTCGGGGGGCACGGGTGGCCCAGTCGTCTAAGGCGCCGCGATTCGCTGTGCAGGGTTGCGTCCCCTGAACACGCCAGAAACCTATGATTGTGGGTTCGAATCCCGGTTCACCCCGATTATGTTTCTAGGTTTGTCAGCACCATACCCATGCTCCTGGGTTTCACCAAGTGATAAACGTCTGAGACCTGCATCACTTCAGGCTTTCCTCCCACATCAAGCTGACATGCCATGATATAACTGGAATTATGTTAAACCCAACTCACTCACTCACTCACTCATTCACTCGTATGATTTTCTGACTGTTTTTAGATATTGGCAGCCAAGAATTAAACAACAACTTGTTAACCCTGTCTCCTAGCAGCCAGACATTCCAAGAATTTGCAGACAGGGCAGCTGTTGTTATTGTCATCTTGTCACAAGCTTTCTCAAGGTCAAGGACATGTCAGCAGCAGGTGAGAATAAAAGTGTAATGATTGCTGCATCATCTGTGTGTTCTGTCTGCTCACCTGAAATGGAAGTCAGTATGTAACTGCACTAAAATATGTAATGCTTTCTTGTATATTCTAATTTTTTGGACCCGTGAAGATTCCGGGGTAGAATAGGTCTTAAGCAACCCATGCTTGCTGTAAAAAGTGACTATGTTTGTCGTAAAAGGCGACTAACGGGATCGGGTGGTCAGGCTTGCTGACTTGGTTGATGCATGTCATCGATCCCAATTGTGTGGATCGATGCTCATGATATTAATTACTGCATTGTCCGGTCCAGACTCAATTATTTACAGCTATATTTACATATAGCTGGAATATTGCTGAGTGCGGCGTTAAACAACAAACCAACCAAAAAATCTAATTTTTGGTCTTTGCATGGTCTTGACCATTAAATACAAAGACATTTCAGATTTGTGTTTTGTTTTTCGTATATTTTGATCGCAGAAATCCCCAAAACATTGTTTCGGAAATGTTTTTACTCAATTCTTTTCAGCAGTTAGTTGATGTAATATATTTCAGTGTACTAGAAAATTAAACTATGGCATTAACTGTAATGCAGGTGTTTTATTGTGAGCATCGGAAGCGGGTGATACCCGTCAAGTTTGAGGAGTTCCGCATGCCTGGCTGGATGAGTATGCTGATCGGGACCAACTCCTTTGAGGTAGGACTTCAGAACCAATTCTGTTGTAAGAAAATTGAAACCGCTTGCGGTCCCTGCCCTTCTCACAAAATTGGGTTTGTTTGTCATGGTGGATTTGATTGGTTTACCACAGGATGTGCAGCAAGCGAACTACCGACAGCGTCTGTTGACCCGGCTCGAGCGCTGCACCGACCCCAGCAGCTGCAACACCCTGAGGGAGGAGTTTGACGAAGTCCGCCTCACCCGGACAGTGAGTATCCCTTTACCAGTTATACTGTAACTCTTATAGGAATATTAGTGATACTTAGTCCATGTGTTATGGGACTCCATGAAGCAAGTTAACGCTCCTGGCACGCCATGACATAGTGGCAAGGTAGGCTTTTCCTAAGTAAAGGCCCAGAATTAGACTTAATAGTGCAATTTGAAGGGATGCGTTGTAAGTTGAGACTTAACTGAGAGTTTCAGTTTTTGTGGTACTTGGCTCCACAGTGAAGTCAAACACCACAGGAATCACTCCAGTCACAACCTTGCTCACATGAAGGTCTTGAAACGGAGAGATCTGGTTCATTGGTATTTTGGCAGCAGTTAGTTCAAGTAGATTGATGCAATCTGAAAGCGTATATCTATACTGTTGTCAAAATTTTGAAATCAACTTTGACTTTAAAAGGCAGCCAGTTAAATTCTAAGGCTGAGGAGTCCCAGATAGCTGCTTTTGTTTTTTGTTCCTGTGACATGGATAAAAAGTTGCTGATGAGATGTGACAACTATCTTGCCACTAATGTGATGTGTGAACTTTGCAGGTGAACCACATCAAGGGTCGAGTTGGGCGGACATCTTGTGTGTACATCTCTGGCAGCACCAAGTTCTACAACCCCATCACTGAGGCTGTCTGTAGGTAGGTACCGCAGAAACATGCAACAGGATTGAGCTTAATGATTGTAGATAATAACATTAATCAACCTGTTCTATTTCCAGATCAATTGGAAGTGAGTTGGCGCAGCTGCCGAACATCACCATGGCAACTGGTGGGTTTTTTGGTGTTGGAGAAACTGTCAGTCGGACATTTTATGAGGAAAATCAAAAGCTGTGGAAGAAGAACAGTGTGTGGCATGTCCTACCCGAGCGTGATGGCCAGGTCAGTATAGGGTATACAGTCCTCCAACAGTGTGTGGCATGTCCTACCCGAGCGTGATGGCCAGGTCAGTATAGGGTATACAGTCCTCCAACAGTGTGTGGCATGTCCTACCTGAGCGTGATGGCCAGGTCAGTATAGGGTATACAGTCCTCCAACAGTGTGTGGCATGTCCTACCCGAGTGTGATGGCCAGGTCAGTATAGGGTATACAGTCCTCCAACAGTGTGTGGCATGTCCTACCTGAGCGTGATGGCCAGGTCAGTATAGGGTATACAGTCCTCCAACAGTGTGTGGCATGTCCTACCCGAGTGTGATGGCCAGGTCAGTATAGGGTATACAGTCCTCCAACAGTGTGTGGCATGTCCTACCTGAGCGTGATGGCCAGGTCAGTATAGGGTATACAGTCCTCCAACAGTGTGTGGCATGTCCTACCCGAGTGTGATGGCCAGGTCAGTATAGGGTATACAGTCCTCCAACAGTGTGTGGCATGTCCTACCCGAGCGTGATGGCCAGGTCAGTATAGGGTATACAGTCCTCCAACAGTGTGTGGCATGTCCTACCCGAGCGTGATGGCCAGGTCAGTATAGGGTATACAGTCCTCCAACAGTGTGTGGCATGTCCTACCCGAGCGTGATGGCCAGGTCAGTATAGGGTATACAGTCCTCCAACAGTGTGTGGCATGTCCTACCTGAGCGTGATGGCCAGGTCAGTATATGCACAGGAACTCGATGATAGCGTGTATAACATTATATATTTGTATAGAAAAAAAATCACACCCCTCTATATACATAGAGACAAGGAGTGACACACGCCATCTTGTTTCTTATTCAAGATTTCGCACTCGGTTCGAATCACAGCACGATATCGCATGAAATATGAATGTCACTTATTTCAACCTATTGGCACCTGCTAAACAAACCATAGGCTACACAATCATGTTCATCTGTGATCACCTTACCTCGTATTTATTTAAAAACAACCATCAAATGTCAGCTCTATGCTGCGTCACTGAGGTAAACAAGAAAAAGGTGGCAGGAAATTACGGCGCTACACGGGCTTGAATTCTGATTGGTTAAATTGTGTATCATAATACTAGCAAATGGTGAAGGGAGGGAAATTCAAGACAGTCAATGATAATCTGCTTCGAAATGTTTAATTATGCTGTAGATTTCCTTGTCAACCCCAACATTTTGCAAGCAGACTTACCATATTTTGAATTTCCCTCCCTTCACTGTGTGCTAATATTTAGATCCACTAATTTTTATTTTACCCAATCAGAAACGTTTGCCAAGTTCAAGCCCGTGTAACACCGTTATAACACGGCCACCTTTTTCTTGTTTACCTCAGCGGCGAAGCTTAGGGTTGAGATTTGATGGTTGGTTTAAAATAAATACGAGGTAAGGTGACCACATATGAACATGATTGTGTAGCCTGAGGTTTGTTTAGCAAGTTCCAATAGGTTGAAATAAGTGATGTTCATATTTCATGCAATAATGAGCTATGATTCGAACCGAGTGCGAAATCTTGAATAAGAACCAAGATGGCGGGTGTCACTCCTTGTCTCTATGTATATAGAGGGGTGTGATTGTTTTTCAATATACGAATATATTATGTTACACACGCTATCATCGAGTTCCTGTGAGTATAGGGTATACAGTCCTCCAACAGTGTGTTTCATGTCGTAAGCGTATGGCCAGGTCAGTGTAGGGGATATTGTCCTCCAACAGTGGGATATTGGAGATGCTGAAGTCAACTTGTGGAACTAAGATGTTTTCAATGTGCTCATATGCATGATTTTGTTTGTGTGTATAAGGCACGTAATGCTGGCTAATTTAGAGGTATCAAATGGAATTTGATACCTGATTTTAATCCTGTTTTGACCTATTGGAATCAAGCATTCTTCAATGTCATAGTATTTATTGATAGCATGACTTGAACGACCATGTTGTTTCTGTTCCCAGGATCGTTCCCAGCAGGCCAAACAGAACCCAGATCTCACCTTCAGCATTGTTCCATTCGGAAAGACAATATTCTGTGGAGACAGTGTGCGTGAGAGAGAGAGCATCGTAGCTCGCACTTTCGATGTCTGCATTCTCATTGAAGGTCAGTCACAGTCAAATTCCCGTGGGGATCCCCAGGAACCTTTGTTAATCACGATAGGCAACCAAATGGTCAGGCATGGTAAGGTTGATGGCATGTCTTCGTACCCTGACAGCATGGATCGTTGTTCACAATATCAGTCAGTGGATTGTCTGGTCCAGACTAGATTATTTACAGACCTGTGAAGATCCTGGGGAGAATAGGTCTTTAGCAACCCATGCTTGCCGTAAAAGGTATTATGCTTGTCTTAAGAGGCGACTAACAGGATCGAGTGGTCAGGCTCGCTGACTTGGTTGATGCATGTCATCATATCCTAATTGCGTGGAACGATGCTCATGATGTCAGTCAGTGGATTGTCTGGTCCAGACTCAATGTTTTACAGACCGCCATCATAAAGCTGGAATATTGCTGAGTGTGTCATAAAACAACTAACAAACAAACAACCAAACAAACAGTCAAGGTCTGATAGAATATTTGAACACTGACCTTCAGATTTATTTCATGTTTTTATTTCTGTGACAAATCCTTGTCATGAGCATCCCCCTGGAGACCACCTCCGTGGTCTAGTAGTATAGCATCCGCCCTAAGACTGCCTCTGTGGTCTAGTAGTAGAGCATCCTCCCAGAGACCTCCTCCGTGGTCTAGTAATAGAGAGTCCGCCCGGAGACTGCCTCCGTAGTCTTGTAGTAGACCATCCCCCTGGAGACCGCCTCTGTGGTCTAGTAGTAGAGCGACTGCCCTAATACTGCCTCCATGGTCTAGTAGTAGAGCATCTGCCCAGTGACAGCCTCTGTGGTCTAGTAGTAGAGAGTTCACCCGGAGACCGCCTCCATGGTCTAGTAGTGGAGAGTCCACCCAGAGACCACTCCATGGTCTAGTAGTAGAGAGTTCACCCGGAGACCGCCTCCATGGTCTAGTAGTAGAGCGTCTGCCCTAATACTGCCTCCATGGTCTAGTAGTAGAGCATCTGCCCAGTGACAGCCTCTGTGGTCTAGTAGTAGAGAGTTCACCCGGAGACCGCCTCCATGGTCTAGTAGTGGAGAGTCCACCCAGAGACCACTCCATGGTCTAGTAGTAGAGAGTTCACCCGGAGACCGCCTCCATGGTCTAGTAGTAGAGATTTCGCCCGGAAACTGCCTCGGTGGTCTAGTAGGAGATAGTCCCCCCAGAGATCGCGTCCGTGGTCTAGTAGTAGAGAGTTCACCCGGAGACCGCCTCTGTGGTATAGTAGTAGAGCGACCCCCCGGAGACCACCTCGATCTAGTAGTAGAGAGTTTACCCGGAGACCGCCACCGTGATCTAGTAGTAGAGCGTCCGCCCTAAGACTGCCATCGTGGTCAAGTAATAGAGAGTTCACCCGGAGACCGCCTCCGTGATCTAGTAATAGAGCCTCCGCCCGGAGACAACCTCCTTGGTCAAGTAGTAGAGAGTTCAACCAGAGACCGCCTCCGTGGTCTAGTAGTAGAGCGTCTGCCCGGAGACCACCTCCTTGGTCAAGTAGTAGAGAGTTCACCCGGAGACTGCCACCGTGATCTAGTAGTAGAGCGTCCGCCCTAAGACTGCCTCCGTGGTCAAGTAATAGAGAGTTCACCCGGAGACCGCCTCCGTGATCTAGTAGTAGAGCCTCGGCCCGGAGACTGCCTTCTTGGTCTAGTAGTAGAGAGTTCACCCGGAGACCGCCTCCGTGATCTAGTAGTAGAGCCGTTACCCGGAGACCGCCTCCGTGATCTAGTAGTAGAGCCTCGGCCCAGAGACTGCCTCTGTGATCTAGTAGTAGAGCCTCGGGCCCGGAGACCGCCTCCGTGATCTAGTAGTAGAGACTCGGGCCGGAGACTGCCTCCGTGATCTAGTAGTAGAGCCTCGGCCCGGAGACTGCCTCCTTGGTCAAGTAGTAGAGAGTTCACCCAGGGAGACCGCCTCTGTGGTCTGGTAGTAGAGAGTTCACCCGGAGACCGCCTTCATGGTCTACCGCCTCCATGGTCTAGTCTATCTCCACTCTATCTACTTGCTGTCTCATCTGGTAAAGTGTTGTATATTGTATGTTGTATATTGTATGTTGTATAAATGTCAGGGCTGACATGACACCAACCCTTGGGGATTGTCATCGTAGCCCATAGGCATGGATGGTTACTCACAATATCAATCACTGGTCAGCGATAGAAACTAACAGTTTTAGTCCATTAGTCCTTATAATGATAACACATGGCAAATCCCTTAAAAAGGTCAAATTTCTACTTGTCCTCATGATACCTTAACTATTCGTTAGTTTGCAAGGACGACAGGACTAGTGCCAATTTCTAGCGCTGCTGGTTTGTCTGACTCAAATATGTATTGGCTGCTGACATATAGCCGGAATGCTGCTGAGCAATGCTGAGTGTGGTGTTAAAACAACAAGCTAAGAATGTACATCAACTGACCACAGTACAATCTCATTAAAATCAGATCTTAGTTCTCGCTATCGCTAAGAAAAGATCTGAGGACATCCCATTACGGGTCATGTCAGAACGACCATTCATCCAACCAATCAGAGCGTTGCTTACCAGATCATGAAAATGACAGACGGAATGTGTTTTCTGATCATGCAACCTCGAAATATTTAACAGAGGGTATTCCGAACAACAGTTACAGGTTTTATGATTATATCCATACAATCTAGGTCATCTGTAAGCCATTCCAGAATGTTCTTTTTATCAGTTTTAAATTTTTTAACTGAGAATACGTCAAAATATGTTTCAAAGCGTAGTCGCTAGTTTGAAACTAGTGTTGTAAAGCTCGAGAAAGCTGCCTTCTGATTGGCTAATGTTGATTTCTTGTCAGTCATTTCATTGATCGGTCAAAGTTCGCGAGAGGTCGTTCTGATGTGACCCGTAATGGGATGTCCTCACATCTTTGTTTGGTGCGGTAGCGAAAACTAAGATCTGATTTTAATGAGATTGACCACAGTAGAACATGGATATAATAAACTACAAGGGACCGGAGAAATCAGTTCATTATATTCGTTGTTGGTTATATACGTTTTCGCTCGGAAACGTCCGCGAACTTGGCTAAAACAAAATACAATACACTGCACATTTATACACGATTCCTCCTGCATCTACCGGTCAGTTAATAAGTACCAACATTTTAATGAAAAGGTTGGACGAAATTGTATCTGAAGTTATTATTTGACCAGAATTAAGATTAACATAATGCAAGTTTAACTAGGTTGAATCGTCACCAGTAATTGTGTTGATTCACGTCTGATTGTGTACATCCAATTGTCAGTGACACTTGACACTGAGTGAGATTTCTCAGTTCGCTATATACGTCACTTATTAGTGGTAGATGGGCTTGTCGGTGTTCAGATATCAGTTCGCTGTATCCGTTAGTTCGCTGTAGAGGGTTCGTTATGTACGTAAATTTTATATGATAATATATAAGAGATAAATCGTGGATGATTTAACAGTTCGTTGTATCCGTTTGTTCATTCTATCCATGTTCGCTCTATCCATGTTATGCTGTACTATTCAGTGCGGAATGGCAGCCAATGATATGAAATTTATGTTTTTGTATTGCCGAGAGCTATCTGTTGCGATTATTGCATATGCTATTCTAACTAAGATTTTGTAGGGAGTTAAATTTACAGCATTAAACGTGTATATATATCATGCAAGTGCCTTGGCTACATAGTGCTATCAGTCCGAGGGTTTCTACTTCTGTGTTTTGCCACTAGGTGGCCCTGGTGCAGCTCATGAGGCAGAACAGTTCGTGTGGAATGACCACGTGGTGATTCCGGTCCGGTGCACAGGGGGCGCTGCAGGTGGCAAGTTTAACATCCCGGACAAGATATTTGAGGTTTGTTTGATTGGTTGGTAATTTTTTGTTTGTTTGTTTTTTGTTTTGTTTTGGGGGGTTTTGGGGGGGGGGGGGAGGGGGTTGCCATCCCCAGCAATATTCCAGCTATATGATGGCAGACTGTAAATAATTGAGCCTGGACCAGACAATCAAGTGATTGACATCTTGAGCATCCATCAAAGCAATTGGGATACGATGACATGCATCAACCACATCAGTGAGTCTGACCACCCGATTATGACAAGCATGCATTGCTGAAGACCAGCGATATTTGACGTAGGCAGCACACATCTAAGCTTCATTTCATGACTTTCCTGGATGGATATTGTCTTAGAAACTGTATTAGAGTTTCTATGGATTTTGATTATTATTTTTTTTTTATAACTTTATGCTTTTGTTGCATTTATCCACATTTTACAGGAAAACAGATAACAATGACCTCCGAGTGATATGAACTAACATCTCTCTCTGTACATGTTGACTGGTTTACATCATTCTGGAAGTTTTGAAAACTTACTTTTGAGAATTAAATTTTTCGAAAGTATAATAATAATGTTGATTGGATCATGTTTCTACTTGGATAAGTGATTTTTATTTATTTTTTTATATTTATTTTTTAAAGCCATATTTCAAGTTATTTCCAGATTAGGTTTGTTTTGTTAACTTCAATATGTCAGATATGTCAATCCATCCATATATTTACTAAAAGAAGTTAATGGCCACCTGATTCTTTCATATTACTGTAGTTCGTCTGTCATGTCGTGTCATGTCATGTCATGACAGATGAACTATAGTAATATGAAAGAAATGGATGGTCCTTAACTTCTTTTAGTAGTATATGTAGGAACATATGGAGGTGAGGTGAAATTGGGTTTAACGTCGCGTCCAAGATTATAGCACTTATATAGCGACGTGCATGCACGTGTGTGTGTGTGTGGCTGCTTGTACTAGTCCGGACTGATGCTGATTTATAGTGCTAGCCCACTGAGATACCATGTCGCAGTTTAACATGATTACCCCACTCAGACACAGTATACTGACTCCGAGCCGACCAGTCCTTGTTTTAGCCCCTTAATGCCGAGCGCCAGACAGGGTAACAACAAGTACCATCTTTTAACGTCTTTTGGTATGACGCGGCCAGGGATCGAACCCCGGACCTTCCGCTCTCCGGGTGGAGGCTCTACCTCTAGGCCACGGAGGCGGTCAGGAACAGAATGGTTGTATGATTTTGTTACTGTGTTTGTTAAGCCACAACAAATGTTTATTTCCTGGGTGTTATTACCAGCTTCTGGGATTAATTGTTAAATGTTTGGTTGTCAGATACCACAAGGAGTGTCAGAATATGACTGGAAAGTGCTTGCCCAATCAGATGTCTCACCCAGAGAAATTGGCCAATCAGTGAGCAGGATTGTCCAGGCACTATTTGACAAGATGTCTACAGAAGATTTAGCATCTCGCCAGGATACACCCACAAAGGTCACAAGTGTGACCCCGACAGTGTCCCCCTCTAAGACACCCAGCCCGGTTCGGGCAGCAGGAAAACCCAATCTCACAACCATGAAGACAGTGCTACTTGGCTGACAACTGGTTCCTCATCAAAGTAGAACTGTGATACTGTAATGTAATGTATTACACATAAAGAATTAAGACCACAACACATCAGTTACCGTATATAACCGTAGATAAGCCGAATTTTGAATTCCAGAATTTTGTGTGTGTTAGAAATGGGTCGGCTTATGTTGGGGTTACGCTTTCATCAAACTTTTTTTCTGTTGGTAAAAAAACTACATTGTATCACTTTAGGTGAATGAACAACGCTATAACAATCGGCTTATCTACGGCCATATATGGTACAAGATTTTCACCCTTTTCTTATTTGTGGTAATTATGATGGCCAACCATGACAATCAACTTGTTCCAGCCAGATGTCCGAAAGACAGGAGTTGTTTGAAAGAAGAAGTTTATGAAGTTTTTTGTTAGGGCAAGTTTCAAATTTCAGAGACCTATCCTGTATATATTGTCTGTCAGGTAGGAACACATTTCCCCTGTACCAACTAAAATGTCACTTGACACAGGATAGCGGGCAAGCAGCTATATAGGACACTGCCTATCCTGTGTTAGGATGCCAATATATTTGTAGTATATATTGTGAAATTATTATTTACTTTACTCCAGCGTGCATGATTTATCATGCTATATTGTTAAACTTTACAATTTCTTGGAAGCAACAGTTTTCCTGAGTCATGTAAAATTGGATATGGAAATATGATATAAAAACAGTTGTTGGAAAATATGATCAGTGGGTTTGGCAAAAAGTTTGTATTGAAATATGCAATAATCTTGAAACAAATATGCCTGTATCACAATATTAACAGACAGACAGACAATTCATTCAGTAACAGTAATGGCCCATAATACATTGTTTACGTCCAGGTTAAAAAGTGTGAGATCTAATTTTTATTGTCCCTGCATCAGATAGAACAAAGGTTTCCTTGTGTCAACAATGCCTATTTTATTTACTTTTGGCAGCCATTTTGCAATAGAATATTGCATGAACAAACCATATGTTGGCATTGTTATGTATCTTGTCTGTTTTGACCAATTATATGTAATAGATGAATGTTTATTTCATTAAAAGATCTTCATTTCAGTGTTGTATGACTGATAATAAGTATGTTGGAAAGTAGTATTAGAAGTAGCTGTAAGAATGATTCATGACAACATTACCAATATATATATTCATTCATTTATTTTTTACAGATTTATATTTTAGTGTCACTTGTAATGTTTTGGGTGTATGACATATTTTAATGTGGTGATGGTAGGACCTGTTTGTGTAGTGATATGATTTTGAATCAGACATTATACCCGACTACTGAGATTGGCAAGGTGTAGTTTCAGTTTAACATTGACAAATATGTTGAAGACTGCCCTCACAAATTATTTGCTTAAAATCGGATATAATAGGGTTTAAATCATAAAATAATTTTGTAGTTAATTCTACAGTGAATTTGGAAAATACTTTATTCTTATTGCTCATTCAGAGGTTTCAAATCGCAATAACAACCTCTGATTGAAACGGCTGATTTGTTGGCTGCATCACCATGGAGTGAGTGAGTGAGTTGGGTTTAACGCCGCTTAAACAGTATTCCAGTTATATCATGGCGTGTCAGCTTAATGTGGGAGGAAAGCCCGAAGTGATGCAGGTCTCAGACGTTTACCACTTCGGTGAAACCCACGAGCACGGGTATGGTGCTGACAAACCTAGAAACATAATCGGGGCAAACCCACATTCATAGGTTTCTGGCGTGACCAAGGGGCGCAACTCTGCAGAGCGAATTGCGGCGCCTTAGACGACTGGGCCACCCGTGCCCCTCATCACCATGGAAGCTATATATATATATGGAAAATAAACTTTCTGATTCATTGTAAGTAGGCATAAGAAATAATGACATGTACAATTATTGGTTACAAAATGCAGTGTTTCTGTTGCTATACAAGTTTGTGTGATAGACATTAGGAAGAAAACATGATAGAAATCAAAAGAATGTATTTCAAGTTTTTGGTGTGTGTTGGGTGGTGTAGAACTATACCTTGCAAGGCTTGCTTCATTTTCTTTATGGGTGCCCACTTTTTGTTGGCTGGCAAAGTAGGTATGCTCCGCACTTTTCACACTTGCCTGTAATTGATCTCATTAAAATCCGATCTTAGATCTCGCTATCGCTAAACAAAGATCTGAGGACATCCCATTACGGGTCACGTCAGAACGACCTTTCATCCAACCAATCAGAGCGTCGCTTACCAGATTATGAAAGCGACAATCGGAATGTGTTTTCTAATCATGCAACCACGAAATATTTAACACGGGGCATTCCGAACGACAGTTACGGGTTTTATGATTATATCCATTACAATCTAGCCCATCTATAAGCTATTCCAGAATGTTCTTATCAGTTTTAATTTTTTTAATCAAGAATACGTCAAAATATGTTTCTAAACGTAGTCGCCAATTTGAAACTTGTGTCGTAAAGCTCGAGAAAGCTGCCTTCTCATTGGCTAATGTAGATTTCTTGTCAGTCATTTCATTGGTCAGTCAAAATCCGCGAAAGGTCGTTCTGACATGACCCGTAAGGAGATGTCCTCAGATCTTTGTTTAGCGGAAGCGAAAACTAATATCTGATTTTAATGAGATTGGCCTGTAATATATGCGAGTAAAGTATGATGTTTGGCTAGTAGCATGTTTCCTACTTCAGGTCAAAATCCCACTCAAAACATTGAACTCATCCATTGCTGCTTCACTCAATATTTTCGCTAACACCAAAAAGTTTGTATATATTTTTGTCATAGTAGAGTGGAGATAACCCTTTGTGTTTTCAGTGTAGAGCTAGGTTACCTGTAGATTTGACTGTGCTAAATGTAGCATTTGAAACCTCTAAATTCATTTAAGCGCTGTTAAATCTAAGGTAACCTAGCTCTGAACTGAAGACACAGTATGAAGATCTAAGTCACTCCTGTTGTGACCCGTGAAGATCCGGGGTAAAATAGGTCTTCAGCAATCCTTGCTTGCAGTAAAATGTGACTAAGCTTGTCGTAGGAGGTGACTAAGCTTGTCGTAGGAGGCGACTAATGGAATCAGGTGGTCAGGCTCGCTGACTTGGTTGATGCATGTCATCGTATCCCAATTGCGTGGATCAATGATTGATGTCAATCACTGGATTGTCTGGTCCAGACTTGATTATTTACAGACCGCTGTTATATAGCTGGATTCTTGCTGAGTGTGGCGTTAAACAACAAACAAACAGACAAACACTCTGTATGTTCATATTCGCCCAGTAAGATGTGAGTGAGTGAGTGAGTATGGTTTTACGCCGCTTTTAGCAATATTCCAGCAATATCATGGTGGAGGTCACCAGAAATGGGCTTCACACATTGTACCCATGTTGGGAATCCAACCTGAGTCTTCAGGGTGACGAGGGACCGCTTTAACCACTAGGCTACCCGACCCCCCCGTAAGATGGCCACAGCCTCTACCTGCTGTCTGCACTGCCAGTGGTTATGTCTTCAGTTTGCATTTATATGTCTCTGCTGCTTATTGGCAATATCAGGGTGTGATTACTTTGTCAACATTCAGTTATATGAGATAGGTTTTCACAATTTTGTCTGATCCGTCCCAACCATGGATCTGACTCCATTATGTACAGACTGCTTTGATATCACTTTAATCATTACTGCTGATGGTAAAACATTTCCCTCACAACATGTTGGATGTGTTCCTCTTGCGCTTTGATTTAGTCTCGAATATAATTAAAAGGTATCAAATGTTCAGTCGCTTACCTCACTGTAAGGTTATCTTGTGGTAGTATCAGATAGCTCCTGTGAAATTCAAATTTGATTCAGAGGTATCGAATCTACAATTACAAACCTGATAGTGTAAGGTTATCTTGTATTATCACAATTCATCAGGGAGCTCTTGGATATTTCAAATTTGATAAAGAGGTATCAATCTACGATCACACACCTCACAGTGTAAGGTTATTTTGTAGTGTGAGATAGCTCCAGTACATTTCAAGTTTGATTAAGAGGTATCAAATCTACTATAACATACCTCACCGTGTAAAGCTTGTCTTGTAATCAGATATCTCCCGTACATGAAGAATTTAGACATATTTGCTTGTTTTATTGTTTGGTTTGTATGCAAAGCGAGAAATCAGCATTTATTATAATACATTTTAGTGCTGCTTTTAGATAGTTATATACACTTTGTTTTTCAAAGAATCTAACATTTTATATGATAAATCTATGTAATAAACACTTTTTGTAGATTATCTTTTCCTGGTTATTTTTTGCTCATCTGTTCCTGTATTTGGGTTGCAATCACACCGTTACTAAATCTTCAGATTTTCTACAGAAGTCCTCTTCACTGTCAACTACACACAACTAGTTGTCACCGCATTAGTACTAATCAGCTTACAGCTCTCTAGCTTGCATAGACGGGAAAATCCTCACTTCTTTCCTGTGTGTGCTAGAGTGAACATCAACTTTTCACAGTCTCGTTTCTCCAGCACTTGGGCCGTATGGTCACAATACAGCTAGCTATATTCAGTTATTAGTTGTTATTACGTTGTTTCCACGAATAATAAGTCTTCTCAGTAAGTGGTTAATTGACTTGTACTCCTGTAAGTATAAACTTGTGTTTGTGTGTGTAGGTGCTTTCCCCAGTCAACATGGCATCCTCAGCCTCTCTCTCCACTTGCAAATCATGTGGGCTTTTTACGATTACGGGATACCCTCTTTCCCTTCCTGCCTGGAAGTGTATGGACATCCTTTGTCTTGGAGACAAGCATTGTGAGCAGTGCGCCTCCCTTTCAAAATCAGCTTTAAACAAGTATACAGAATCCATAAAAAAATAGCCGAGAGGAAGGAAGCGGCTAAGAAAACTGTGGCTCTTGCTTTCACCCCATCTGCTTCACCTGTACTGTGTGCTAAACCTACGACGCCTCAGACTGCCTCACCTGATCTGACCCTGGCCTTCTCCATAAACATGCCAAAAGAACTATTCATAAAACATGGAATCCTTGTTTGATTCTCGCCTGGCATCCATTACATTGGAGGTGGAGCAGCTGTAATGTCTAGAAAGAGGTCTGTTCCTTCCGGGAAGGTGTTTTTTTTTCAAGCCATCCGCAGAAGGGATAGAGCTCAGCAGCCTTCAGAGTCCTCACATCAGACTGACCGCAAATGACGAAGAGGTAGCAGAAGAGGCTCTAGACTTTGAGGTCGGAGTGACCGCAGATTCTGACTGCAAGACCAACCATACTGTCAATTCCGATCCTATTGACCTGGTTTTATCCACAAATTAGGCTTAGCCACTTTCAACATATCACCAACTTGGGGTCCAGTGTGAGTGCATCTTTGTCATACACCGAAAATGGGGAGCAGATCACATCTGACCACTGGAATCAACCTCTTTTCAAGGGGATGCAAGCTACACTTCCGTCATCGTTCTCTACTTGTATCCCGGCCAGTAGGCAGACGATTCCATCTAGAACTAGAAGGGACCAAATTACAGGCAGCTGATCTTGCCATTGGGACACTAGTGGAGAAAAATGCCAATCGGAGACTTCAAGACAGTCTACAGCAAGGGTTTCTACTCTCCAGTATTCTTAGTCCCGAAGAGGAACTCCCCGGACATAGGATGATTTTAGATCTCAAGGTCCTTAAATCCTTCCTAGTCCCTCCTCTCAAGTTCCTTCCCCGGACGCGTCATACCAAAAGACGTTAAAGATGGTACTTGTTGTTACCCTGTCTGGCGCTCGGCATTGAGGGGCTAAAACAAGGACTGGTCGGCTCGGAGTCAGTATACTGTGTCTGAGTGGGGTATTCATGTTAAACTGTGACATGGTATCTCAGTGGGCTAGCACTATAAATCGGCATCAGTCCGGACTAGTAAAAGCAGACACACACACACACACACGTGCATGCACGTCGCTATATAATTGCAATAATCTTGGACGCGACGTTAAACCCCATTTCACCTCAGCTCTCAAGTTCCAGATGGAATCAGTTCAGAAGTTATGTTCAAGCCTCAAAATGGCTCATTAGTCTGGATCTGCTAGTACGGATCTGCAAGACTCCTATCTCCATGTCCATATTCTTCCCAACACAGGACATAGTGTACATTGGGGCCCGTTTCTAGTAACAAGTTGATGTCTCTGTCCCCCGAACTTGCCAAGACACTGATGATGGTCAGCGTGGTAACGTCTTGTCCCACACAATATGTGTCTCTTCTGGGAAATCTAGGCCATGATGTACAGAGGAAGATTGATATTAAGCCCTCTCCAGAACTGGATCAACTCATCAACTTGTTCTCAGCCCCTGGATTCTCCCATCCAGATCCCGGACAACTTTGGTCGGGAACTCATAGAGATCATATTATGGCATTTCTTTCTCACTCCTCAGTCGTCAGCCACGGACAATACCATACATCTTCCCTAGGCAAGTGAGTTAACTGACTGTAAAAGTCCAGTTTCCACCTTTGCCGAACTAGGCTGGTATTATGGAGTTACATTTTGGCTGGACTAACCAGTGTACACATAGTCCAAACAAAATCCCGCAACGAACTAGAGATCCAGTTCGTGAACAACATTAAATTCAATGTGCAGATTACGATCAACTGCAGGATTTGCAAAGCATGTGTACTGTCACTGGGTGTCAACAGATATTTTCCAATTCTTTTCATGTTTTTTTTCAAGGTGCTCAAATGATTTCATGTACTTCGCGACGTAAGACCCGTTTTATTACAATATAAATCTTGATTATTGATCAGTTCGTCTTGACTGGGCACCGCCATTTTGTTTGAAGCAAATGCAAGTGATATGAGATGTGGATTCTGATTGGTCAATAGGAGGGAAATAACTTTTAATAGCTACTGGTGGCACTACGATCGAGCAACGAAGTTCCAGCGTAGTTTGGGAAGGGTGGAAACAGAACTTTTGTAGTCAGTTAACTCCCTTGCCTCGGGAAGATGAATACTACAGTGGTTGCTCACATACAAAAGCAAGAAGGAATCAGATCCAGCTCCCTGATGACGGAAACTTTACGATTGTTTGCCTTTGCAGACTCCATCAGCTGCTGGGTGGAAGTGAGACATATTCCTTGGAAGCTGAACATCTCAGCGGACAGTCTTTCAGCGAATAGTGGCAACGTAGTGATCACTTCATCCAGAAGTATTCAACTGGATAACGTTGGTATGGGACACACCACTATTGGATCTCTTTGCAACAAACAACTTCCAGATCACGTCTTGATTCAGTTGAAATATTGCAAACAATTAGTTGAGAATCTTCAAGGAGTTATGATGAAACTAAATACATTAGTTGGATTAAAATTATCTGTCGGACAGATGAAGGAAATATCCATGCAGCCCAACAGAAATGTCTGTCAGTCCAGTACCAGACCCAATGGCTCTACAAGTGCTCGCCCTATTGATGGATTGGACAGGCCTATTCGCTTACGCCTTCCCACCATGGTCTCGTGTCAACAAAGTGACCCAGACAATAGAGCTGACAGACTGTATCACCATTCCAACAGCGCTAATATGACGAGGCAGAGCACGGTTTCCCAGAATGTAAACACTTCTAACAGAAGATCCTCTCCACCTACCACTTCGGCGAGACCTTCTTCGTCAACCCCTTCGACGAGGGTGGGGGGGTCGGAGAGAGAAAGCTGACATCAGCAGTTTCCGAAGGTAGATCCACCTTTTGATCATCTTTGTTATGAGTGCAGGTTATCGTGACGTATTCTGCAAGTGACCTCATTGACCAATAACCTGAAGTGACATCACAATTGAATGTAAGAATGTGACCGGAAGTGACATCACAATTGAATGTAAGAATGTGACCGGAAATGACATCACAACTGGATGTAAGAATGTGACCGGAAGTGACATCACAACTGGATGTAGGAATGTGACCGGAAGTGACATCACAACTGGAAGTAAGAATGTGACCGGAAGTGACATCACAACTGGATGTAAGAATGTGACCGGAAGTGACATCACAACTGGATGTAAGAATGTGACCGGAAGTGACATCACAACTGGATGTAGGAATGTGACCGGAAGTGACATCACAACTGGAAGTAAGAATGTGACCGGAAGTGACATCACAACTGGATGTAAGAATGTGACCGGAAGTGACATCACAACTGGATGCAAGAATGTGATCCGAGGTGACATCACAACTGGATGTAAGAATGTGACCGGAAGTGACATCACAACTTGATGTAAGAATGTGACCGGAAGTTGGCATATAATAGAGGTTGTATCCTTAGAATAATTAATAATGATAATTATTGTTCCTATGATTGTGGGTTTGAATCCTGGTTTGTCCTGATTATGTTTCTAGGTTTGTCAGCACCATACCCATCTTCGTCGATTTCACCAAAGTGGTAAAGGTCTCAATCTCACTAAAATCAGATCTTAGTTCTCGCTGTCGCTAAACAAAGATCTGAGGACAACCCATTACGGGTCACTTCAGAACGACCTTTCGTCCAACCAATCAGAGTTACTTACCAGATCATGAAAGTGACAGTTGGAATGGGTTTTCTGATCATGCAACCATGAAATATTTAACACGGGGTATTCCGAACGACAGTTACGGGTTTTATGATTATATCCATTACAATCTAGCCCATCTATAAGCCATTCCAGAATGTTTATCTGATCAGTTTTAAAATTTTTAAACGAGAATACGTCTAAATATGTTTCGAAGCATTGTCGCCAGTTTGAAACTGGTGTCGTATAGCTCGAGAAAGCTGCCTTCTGATTGGCTAATGTCGATTTCTTGTCAGTCATTTCATTGGACGGTCAAAATTAACAAAAGTTTGTTCTGACATGACCCCTAATGGGATGTCCTCAGATCTTTGTTAAGCGGTAGCGAAAACTAAGATCTGATTTTAATGAGATGGTAAAGGTCTGAGACCTGCATCACTTCAGGCTTTCCTCCCACATCAAGCTGGCATGCTGAGATAAAACTGAAGTACTGTGAAAGAAGTGTTAAACCCAACCCACTCATGTATCTGTACATGTGACCTCATCACTGTGTGACACCAGTGGCTGATGCTGTGACTATGGGCCTATATTAACAACCTTTTGTGTTTGTTTGTTGTTTAACGCCGCACTCAGCAATATTCCAGCTATATAACGGCAGTCTGTAAATAATCAAGTCTGGAACTGACAATCAGGGATTGACATCATGAGCATCGATCCTTGCAACTGAGATATGATGTCATGTATCAACCAAGTTAGCAAGCCTGACCACCCGATCCCATAAGTTGCCTCTTACGACCAGCATATACATGTAGTCGCCTTTTAAGCCAAACATGGGTTGCTGAAGATGTTAACAACCACTCAGAATCACATGACACTTGGATACAAAACACAGATCTTTATTGGACATGATTAACAATCAACAATGATAGATAATCACAACGAGGTTTAATTAGTAAAAAATAATACATCTCTTTTATTTCCCTGATTGATGCTTGTGTTACTGTTGCACCAACTGGCAAGCCATGTTTGTTATTATATCACATGTCGGGCTTCCTCGATCCACAGCCATCGTATACAGACATTCAGAAATACAAGTGCTAGACAGTGATTGTCTAGGCTCTCTACTCCAGCACACCACAGAGCATTAAGGCACAGCACAGTGTTTGTGGAGCAGTAAGGCCAGATTTACACTCAAAAAATTTGGTTTACAAACCAACTTAAAAATATTTAAATTAAATTAAATAAAATTAAATGCAGTTAGGTTCAGAAATTTTTATATTTTTTTAAAACAACTAATTTACTTTCGCTATCTTTATATTGAAAATTTATCTTCAAAACAATGAATTAGGATAAATATTTTGGAAATAAAAAAGATGTAGATCTATTTGGAATTGGAATAGAAAAATAATAATTGAACTATCAACCTAGATGTTTGAGGAAAATATCTAAACAAATTATTATTATTTTAAATCTGGCCTGGGAACTGCATGTTGCATAGAAGACACTTGGAAGGCGAATGAATAAAAACAAGCAGGACTGGCATTGAAATTGAAAAATAAAAGTGTTAATAATCATTTAAAGTCGGAACAGAAGCCATGTCAGTTTGTTAAGGACTACTATAAATGAAAAAGGGTTAAGGGAACATAAAAAGAAACAGGAGCAGATCTAGAACTAATACAGGTGACAAGTTGAGGACAATACTGTTACCATGGTTACTGATATACTGTAAAAATAAAATTGTTTACAGCGGCTATAGGGAAAAATCAGTGTAAAGGTCAAGAAATGAAGAAGCACTACGGCTGGTAGTTATGTGTGATATACACCCTTGAGGCTGACACAGTCAGTTAACATGTGTAACATGAGAATACATCAACACTGTATATACCTCAACAGTACAGAACACTAACAAATACATTGTTTAACAATCACAGTGGCTGGGAATACACAGAATTAACTCAACATTGACAACAGGAAATGTTTCATGGAAGTAATATATATATATATATTATATAATCTCATCCGAGTATTCAAATAATTTCATATTTGTTTTGATTATTATGAATGTTATTTTTTTGCCATGCTCACAGACCTTGTCCAAAAGTTTACAAATAGTGCTAGCAGCTACAGAATTTGACCTGATCTCCAGCGCAGAACTTCTGCCACCCTGCCGCCAACAGGGATGAAGAGATAGAAGCTGATGATGTAGGACATTCACTCTCATCATCAACAAATACGCTCCAGTTAAGATGGGGATATTCTATTACCCAATAAATCACCCATTAATTATTTGTGTACAGTGACAGTTAATTCAGAGGGTAACATATTCAGAGAAGCCATCAGGATTAACAAATCTCCACATAAACAAAATAGAGGTACATAATAATGTCTCTTTGTGTTTGTGTAGAGTTGCCCGACAGTATTAGTCTGAAAGGTTTCCAGATTAACAAAGTTTCAGTGTATAGGATTATGGAAATAGTATTAAGATGTCAGTATGCCAAGCTGACCAGTATATTTCTTAGTCAAAGAACCCTGCAGTTAAACATACATGTTGTTTACTATTATGCTACATACTGACAACACCCAACTTCCCTGACATAATGGACTGGGCATATATTAGGGGTGGAGAGTGTGTGTGTGTGCCATGAAAACATTACACAGCAAAAGTGGGTGGGGGTGGGGATGGGAAGAGGAGGGGCAGGGGAGGGAAGTGGGAAGTTATAACAATGGGGGGGGGGGGGAAGAGACATGAATAAAATGAAAAAAATGTGAACCATACTTAGGGTCTCGTCGTTTATTATAAGGGGGTTGAATGAATACATGTTGCATGTATTGGGGGGGGGGGGTTACAGATGTTAAGGGGTGTCAGCAAAATATGATACAGTCCCGAGAACAACCCCACCACCCCACCACCACCACCACCCACACCCACACACACTATAACAAAATACCAATCACTTCTTTAACATTAAAATATATTATGCAAAGTACAGAAAATTCTACAGTGGAATCAACATCTGATGTAAGTAGGTGGTAGTGATGGGTTGTCATGTTTGATTAACTTCTCTAGGTACTCCCTTCCATGGTAGGCTCGATCAGACATGCTAGACATGCAAGATACTCCCTCCATAATTCATAAGGCACGCGTTCCGGGTTCTGACATTCACGATTCAAGAACACCAATTGTTCAGGAAACGTAAGACTTTGCCTTATTTGAAGCATCTTTTGCACGCTGAATGATTCCAGGACATTTTTCCCGACGTAAGAGTTTGTTCCCCTCAAAGTATCCCTCGTTGCGTGGCATTCCGTGCGACTTGTCCGAGAATGTTATCAGACCTGTAACATGGCAACAAATATTGCACAGTGATCAATAATATCGTTTGAGTGAGTTGCAAATGAGAGGCTAAACTAATCTGTTGTTATTAGTGGTTAATTTTATAGATTTGTTTGTTTGTTGTCTAACGCTGCACTCAGCAATATTCCAGCTATATGACAGCCGTCTGTAAATAATCGAGTCTTGAGCAGACATTCCAGTGATTGACATTATGAGCATCGATCCACGCAATTGGGATATGATGACATGCATCAACCAAGTCAGCGAGTCTGACCAACCGATCCTGTTAGTCACCTCTTACGACAAGCATGGGTTGCTGAAGACATATTCTACCCCGGATCTTCACAGATCTAATTTAATAGAAGACATCAGACAACAGTTTGCATGGATGGACAAAATCTAAGTGTAGTCGGGCGTGGAGTCATCCAAAAGATGACATCTGTCACCTCTTTGGTCATGTGGACAAGTGTCCGACCTCGGATCAGAAGGTCTGTGGTTCGAATCTCACCATGGAAAGCAGAAATTGTATAGCTGCTACATTGGCACTGAGCATGAGCAAATTAAGTCTCTGTATCCTACTATGCAGCTCGGGACATGCCTTCTGTTGACTGGGAATATGTAGCAGGACGTGGAGTCATCCCATAGATGACATCTGTACCTTGTCAGCTTGGTAAGTGACTTGTGACAAGTATGGTTGAACTTGAACATAGGACTAAATCCATCAAAAACTCCAATAACATAATCTTTGGTTTCCTGACAGACAAGGATAGGAATCATATTCATCACTAATGTTGGCCCTTGTATTTCAGACTGGAGGGGCCAAATAACCAGGTAACCTTAAAGGTCTTAAAGATGTATAGTAGTTGCCATGGTAACTCACCCATGCCCCAGATTTTTCCATCCTTGTACTCGCCCTCGAACCTCATGTTGTCACAGCGGTTAAAGACCCCGTAGCCGTGGAACTTGCCCTGCCTGAAGTCCCCCTCATACCTGCAACAAACCATAGACAGGTGATGCTTCTCACACAGGTGAAAACTTGTACATACAGGTGACACATTGTACAGGTGATAACCTTTTCAAGGTTGCATGATAACAATAAACACATTTGGACGATCTCGTAAGCAGCCCTTTGATTGGTTGGATGAAAGGTCGTTCTGACGTGACCCGTAACGGATGGTCCTCGGATCTGTGTGTAGCGGTAGAATGTAGAGTAGTGTCAATCTGAGTTGTAATGACTGCCAACTGAATGAAGCCTAACACCACTTTAAGAGTGAGTGAATGAGTGAGTTGGGTTTAACGCCGCTTTTAACAGTATTCAAGTTATATCACGGTGTGCCAGCTTATTGTGGGAGGAAAGCCAGAAGTGATGCAGGTCTCAGACATTTACCACTTCGGTGAAACCCACGAGCACGGGTATGGTGCTGACAAACCTAGAAACATAATCGGGGCGAACCAGGATTCAAACCCATAATCATAGGTTTCTGGCGTGCCCAAGGGACACAACCCTGCACAGCGAATCGCGACGCCTTAGACGACTGGGCCACCCATGCCCCCACCACTTTAAGAGCCAACACAACGTCTCGACAGCCTGAGAAATTCAGGATTATTGAAAACTTTATTTCACTTGTCCTCAGAGTTTGCTAGTCATGCTTCAATGAGACCCAAAACATTTACTATGGTTACATTTTGTAAATTTTATTCAGTTTAATATTTATCAAAATTGAAACTTTGATATAAAATTGTGACTACCATGGTTTTAGCTTTAGTTGTCTTCACAACAATTTTGTTGTCTTGGGCTAGCGGATTAACCTGAATTTTGCAGCCTGCTATAGTAAAACTGCAGTTGTACCTGGAACCATCTGTGAACCTCATGACTCCAGGTCCTGAACACAAGCCATTGTCAAACATCCCCCAAAACTGTGACCCATCAGCAAACTTCATATATCCGTAACCATGGCGTTGACCGTTCTCGTTCCAATTGCCTGAGTAGGAGCTTCCATCGGGGTATTTATAGGAGTTGGACATGGTGCTGTTGGAGATGCAAGAAATTGAAATATAATCATTAACATAAATTGTTAACTGAGACACACACTGAATAAGACCATTAGTGTTATTGATACTCAGTGTAGTGTACCATGGTTACTCAACGCTTAGGAAAAAAACATTCACAGGACACAAATAATGGTTTCAACTAAATGTGAACTTCTAACCTGAAACTTTTTATGCATGGTTCTGAAACCCAAAAAAGTATTTTTCCTTATTTGTATTATCTGTACAAATTTACAAAGAAATATCTGATCGGAAAAACTTCCACTTTGAAATATACTAAATATGACAGTTCTGACCCTTCGCGCGATAACCCTGTTGCTTGTGGTGAATTCCTGTCTGTTGTTCTACCATCGATGTCTAAGGGCTTGTAACACCATCAAAACAATTTCACAACAATATACTCACAACATTCTCGTTCGTGTCCACGCGATATGACTAAAGTCACGATCCCGTGTTTTGGCAAGTCATATTTAGTTACTTACCTGTGCGTCACCTTTTGTTTACCTGCCCACGTGCATCGGTGTTACTGAACACCCTACCACACTGTCCAAATTACCGTGTAATCCGATTGTAATCTATCGAAATAACAAATTAAAACCACTCTTACCTAGGCCTACCTGACAAAGGCGTGGCAAGTGCTTCGAGTTGGGGTACGTTCTCTTCCTGGTTTCTCACCTGTACGTAAAACGTCACGAGTTTGGAGGTCACCCGAATTTGCACCTGTACACAAAACGTCACGGATTCGGGGGTCATGGAATCATGACGTAAGCGGCAGTGTACGGTCAACATGGTTGATTGCGGGAGCCCGCAGTGTGCTCAAGAGCGGCGAAATTTTAGGAAAGAATTACTCTCATGGAGCAAGAAAATTCCCGTCACCATTGGTAAGTGCCTTATTCTAACGATTCCGATAGTTTTTCGCCCTTTTCAGGTCTTCTGGGAGCCTGTTTGAGTCGGAAACTCGCGGCTCATCATTGTCAAATTTTCGCCAATATTTGGTCATCCCCGGGCTCGATCGATACAACGGCACCTTCCGCAGTCAAAAAGAATACAGGCGTATTTTTTGGCGTCGTGGAGGACCAGGCAGTGAAATTGTTGCTTTGTTATCTCAGACTGTTGATTAAACCAGTACAAATCAAAATTTCCCGCTTTTCCGTGTAAGCTTACCTTGATGACTATACAAAATTGATCCTTTTTCACCCAAATTTCCCAAACCATATTGTGCATCATTTTCATAACCGCCATATTTGTGCCCTTATAAAGATTCCTCACAATAGGCGTATCAAATTCATCACCGGACATGGTTTCTCAGGTGGGGAAATTATTTTGGTGGGGTTTTACAATTGGAAGTTTACCTTTGTGTTATTGATCTTTTTGTAACATAGGTAAGGTGAACAGGGATCGATGGCTTTTGATGTAGGTTACTGTGCAAGACGTGACCTCGCCCGCACTATGCTAATGAGCCTGTTGAGCTACGGCTTATTCCGTAGCCTGGGTTTGGTGATGGTGCCATGCTTGGTGCCACAAGACGACAACGGTCACTTGGGGTGAGGTTTTGGAGGCAGGGGAGGGGAAAACAGAAGACTGATACAAACCACAGCTTGCTGTAGGGCACAAGAAATGCAACTAATTATTTATTTAAGAGATGTTTGGACATGTTTACAAATTTTGTAGATATGAGTTTTTGAATGTTTTTAATTATGATAATGTAGCTTGTTTATTGATTTTGTTGTAGTTTTCATTCTATCATTGTTAGAAGTGTGTGGTGGTCATGGTATGACGGTCTCCGTTTCCTTGTTTCTATACATATTAGTTCTTGAGTTGCCCTCCGGGGAAATTATTTTTAGAGATAGTTTAAGTTTAGGAAGATGTCATTGGCGGTTCTTTTCAGCTGCAAGGCATATGTAAATCAGATAATTTTTTAGCAGCTTTGACTGTGTTTACATTATCAGAATTTGAGTTGTGAAGGAATCATAGATGGATTTTGTGGTTTCACTTGTTGATATATTTAAAGTAGGAATGAGGGGAAGTACGATTCGGCCCAATATCCATGTTTTCTCACCCTACCCCACTCCCCTCCTGTGTTGGCGTACAGAATTCAACATGTTGGTTCTACAGGCTTAAGCATCATAAACATAGGCTAGCATGAATCATTAAGTGACTAATAGACTTTATGTTGACAAGTCGTAGTGAAGGTACTTGTGAAGAGAGATATCTTTTAATTTTTACAAATGTCTTGAAACTTTGAAATTTCAATAATCATGATATTAGGATGTTGGTGAAATTCTGAAACATTATATATATCGGGATTCCCTGACCCAGGATGCAGCATAAGGATTTATCTAGTATTCCAAACCAAGTGCCTTTGGCAGGCAAATGGGTGGAAATTATTTTTTTGTTGAAATTTGGATTTTTGTTAAAGTTCCTGTTTTCTCATTTTAGCATGATTAGGATGCGTAAAAATCCCCTTCAATCCGCTTTATAGGTCCTGTTTACAGTGAAATACAACATTACAAGTCACCTCCACAACACCATAACATTGGTTATCATTGGTTTCACCTGTTACATCATGATTTGGGATATTATACATTCCAATTTGGGAATTTGTACTGACAATCGCTGCTGGCTTGTGGCTGAATATTTGCCGCTGAGGTCGTCGGGACAAATCCCCGATCGTGGTGAAATATGAAGGATTTAATTTTTTGGGAGGGTGTCATCATATTTCATGATTCTGACAACAAGTTTCGTCAAGTATCTGCTTGAAACGTAAGTTACCAGTCTACACATGTTGTGTCAAGGATAGGCATTTGGTCATTCATTGCCAGTGAGGCTCAGAACTGCCCCCATCTCTGCATCTGCCAGTGATGTGTAACACTTTGGAGCTGATCACTATGTCGGCATGGAAACGTTGAGATTAAACCGTAAGTTCTATAATGAAAAATGATGTATATTCACAGACATAGAGAAACGTGAATACCATACATGTTGGTTAATATATGAAAAATTAATCATATTCAAGAGATATTAAATCCCTTGAGGTTTCCTCTCTTTTTTAGTGGACACATCCCTGTATATGTTTCTGTGGTTTGCGTTTCTTTAGGCGGCGATTATAAATCCATATCATAATAAAAACGCAATGGTGATATTGTCGCATGGTTCAACAGTTGTGTGGACAAAGATTTAGTGCAGACAGTGAAATTGGGATTAGTCAGTTCCTGGTTGAAGGGGATAGCCAGGGGCATGTAGTATACACAAGTGTTTTGTTTACAGCACTCACATTACATTAGGGGCGGTCGGGTAGCCTAGTGGTTAAAGCGTTCGCTCGTCACGCCGAAGACCCTGGTTCGATTCCCGACATGGGTACAATGTGTGAAGCCCATTTCTGGTGTCCCCCGCCGTGATATTGCTGGAATATTGCTAAAAGCGGCGTAAAACCATACTCACTCACTCACTCACATTACATTTGCTAATTCTGAACAGTTTGGAAAATTAGGTACAACTTTCAACAATATTGAATGATAACATTGTGCATTTTCTGGAATGCTAATACTTAATTAAATTGGCCGCTGAATCAGAATAATTTGACACGTTGGGTTCTGACAATAACCTTGCACTTAATGTACAGTATCGTCTTAAAACACTGAACTCATGACCACCGTTGAAGATGCAGTATATAGTTTACATCATTCACAGATTTAAGAAGAGAAATCTTAGGATGATGTGGATGACAATTAGTCAATGTCATGGAAAACATGAACTATGAAAATAAACGATTTTGAAAGCCTTACTTTCAGTTCCTGGTGTTTCCTGGACTTTTTATAATGAAATAGTTATTTTAGGCGTCTTGTCAGAATGCTGGTCGTAGTTGAACATGCTGAATACGATGTATCATTAGCATGAGTAGTAAACAGAGAAGGAGGCATGTCTTGCTTGAAACCATTTGGATGCAGATTAATTCTACAAGTGGAAATTGCACACTTTTTCTCACTGCACTTAGTTTTTCTGTCAGGGCTCCATTGCACATGACTGCCTCCGTGGTCTAGTGGTAGAGCGTCCGCCCGGGGAGTGGAAGGTCCGGGGTTCGATCCCCGACCGCATCATACCAAAAGATGTTAAAAGATGGTACTTGTTGTTACCCTGTCTGGCGCTCGACATTGAGGGGCTAAAACAAGGACTGGTCGGCTTGGAGTCAGTATACTGTGTCTGAGTGGGGTATTCATGTTAAACTGCGGCATGGTATCTCAGTGAGCTAGCACTATAAATCGGCATCAGTCCGGACTACTACCAGCAGCCACACAAACACACACACGTACATGCACGTCGCTATATAAGTGCAATAATCTTGGACGTGACGTTAAACCCCATTTCACCTCACCTCCATTGCACATGTTGCAGAAGTTGTTGCTATGTAAAACCTTACAACCAAAGTGTTGAATCAGTGGACATACCCACTCAATATTGTACACAGGCTAATTGGGGACACTTGTAAAACACTTTGTACTGAAAATCTCAGACCGATGCTTTGTCTCTGAAAATATATTATTTTTACAGAAGCAAACATTTCCATTTAAATTGGAAAGGAGCCCAGTGTGATGGGAGATTCAGAATCTCTGGAAAATTTAGACATTTACTCGGTAGGCTATTGCGTTGCAGTAAGGGCTGGGCGGAAGGGAAATAATATGGTTCGGCGACTCTGACAAACCATAAATATCTGTAGAGCGAACTTATGCCCACATGTGGTCTCACTGTTAAGAAGAGTCATATGTTACACACGTTACAAACATAATGATATGTATGATATTATTGTAGACACATTTTAAGAATATGTATTTATTTCTGTTGTGACATGTGAGTACAGATTGACATTAATTGAGAACAAGATGTTTTTTTTGTGTCATGTCTGTGGGGCTGAGTGGCCTCAGGACCTGTATCGTTGGCAGCCCTTTGCTGTTGCTTCTAATGTTTGAATATTGAGTCATTAAGTCATCTGTAAAAGTTCATACAGTCTCACTTGGGTATTGGAATTGTTGAGCTTGCTGTGGTTAAGTTAGAATCTTTTATGCTTGAATTATAATAGTTGTTACCTGTGGATAAGACAGAACATTTTATTTGAACAGGAATTTATCTAGACCAGCTCAGAGGCCGATATTCTGCCCCAAGCATGCAGCAATTTGAATTACAAATTTCCTAATTTCTCCAAATTTAAAAAGATAACATTTAAAATTTATAAAAAATTTAAACAATACACTGACAACGAATTTTGAAACATTTATTAATAATATATCAAATTTGAGCAATGTACTGGCTATGAATTTTGAAAAATAACATTTGATAAAAATAAATCAAATTTAAACAATGTACTGACTACGAATTTTGAAAAATAACATCTAATAAAGATAAATCTAATTATAAACAATATTCTGACATTCCCAATTTGCCTCCTAAGGGCTCTGGTTTGGAATCGGAAATAAGTCTCTGCTGGAATGTTAGGAGTTGAGCTTCCTGTGTACAAGATAGAAACATTACAACATTTTTGTTATTAGAGATAAACAAGCTTTTACCTGTTGATAAGATAGAACAGTTTGACTTGCATATGGGGACTTGTTGATCATGTGAGTATTTTGTGGAGGATAGATACATTCTGATGTTCAGGTTTTGTGGGGGAAGATAGGATATTTTGACCTGACTATTGGAATTGTTGGATTTCCTGTTGATGGAGATAGAACAAGGCTACTTTTCAAACAACAAAGCTACTTGTGTCTCTACAGTCATTATCCCGTCCTGCCATCATTCCATCTTGGCTATTTAATTTGTTGGGATTAACCTATTACCATGTACACAACTACAATAATTGATGTAATTACTCAATTACAAATCAAACAAT